CGCTATTAGTCTATTGCACAAGATGTCTTATTTGGCATCTGAATAAATTCTCCCTTTTATCTCCTTATTTACATCTTTTTCAATTTCCTGAACATCTTCAGCCAACAAGTACCCTAGTCAAATTCATTATACGTTTTCCCACCTTACGTCCTGCACAAGAATCCTCCTTCTTCAGTATCCCTAAAAACTATCTAACAAACCTTAGTTTCACAATAATGGAGCTAAAGCATACCTTCCATGCAAATAGATCCAATCTAAAAGCCTCAAAGATAACAAACACCACCCCCCCCCAAAAAAAAATGAAAACATCAAGCTCAGTCCATTATCCATTCCATATAACTTTCCCTAAAAAACGGCAGCTATACATGTATATGAGTATTTCTTTTCTATTTCAAATAAAGCATGGATAAAATTAAGACTGTTGAGAAAGTGAACGAAAACTAACCTCAGAGATTGCATGATACTCTTTTGTTCGGTTAAATATCTGAGATGTTCTTTTATTGTTTGTTCTAAATTCTTAATGGGAAGAACAACTCTACCACACAACAGTTCTTCAGCCCCGCGCTTCAATTCTCCAAATGTCTGCTTAAATTGAGAAACTTTGTTCTCAAACTGCTTGTGAGAGCTTTTGCAATTCTCTACGGACTTACGCAAGTTCTCCTCCTTCACAAAATCCAGTAAGCATTTACGAGTAGAAGTCTGCAAGGCAGGGTGAAGTTTGAGGGATTTTAATTTCTCAGCATCCCTCCCAAAATTGACCAAAAGATCCGAATGCATCCGGTGCTGCTGCAGGTAACGTTTCATGAAGTCCCCATAGTTTTGGTTAATCATTCTATAGAACTGCTCCAAATTACCTCTTGCAATCTCCAGTGCTCTCACTTGAACCATCTGTTCCCTCAAAAGCCTCTCACAGTGATCATATTTCAGTATGGTACGACTGTAAATTGCATGCCCCCTTTGGTAATGATATCTGAATTGCCTCTCATACGAAGGTAAAGCCTTCAAAGCAGGATCAGACGCATCATCCAGAGGGTGAGGATCATGGGAGGACGATGGCGGTGAAGGCTCCAAATTATCATGGATATTCACTTGCTCCGGTGGTGGAGGGGTTGAGTTGGTCTGGAGTCTAGCTTTATTGAATATGAACACTTCTCTTTCATCAGATGGAAGCTTATAAAAAGATAAAGGCCTCTGTGATTCAAGCTTCATATCCAGACAGAGAACAAGTTGATCACTGAGATTAATCCCTGTTTCTGATGCAATATGCCGCATGACGGCCTCAACAAGCATGGTTTCATCACAGCTCAACTCATATGAGCGTCCATTTTCGGCAATATGAACTAGAAGCTTACCTTCATGGACCAAGCTTCCAGTAATGCTGGAACTCATGGTTGATTGTCGATTTTAAATCAAACAGCCCCAAGCAATTTACTCCGACCTTTTAAATGGATTGAGAGCTTGGCGAATTCCCAGATTATTGAATTCGCAAAGACCACCCCACAATTCGGCACATAAGGAATACACTTCACGATATATGAAATTTATATAATCAACCCAGCGCGAAATACTGCAACGATAGTTCGACTGTCAATATAACCAACAGATTTTCGTGGGAAATCACGAACCTTGGCCTTCGATCTTATCAAAACCGTAGAAGAATTCAACCCCCAAAATGAAAACAGCCCACCAGTAATGACGCTGAGAGTGGAATTCCTCTTATCACTGGTCAAACAATCAATCAAAATGCCAGAGAGAGACCAAGGTCACAGACCCAAATAACGCTCCGCAACCATGACAAATTAAGCCGCCGCCACGCCCACCCCGGCACAAAGAAACCGGAATCCAAGGAGGGTAAGAGCAGGTATACCCAAATTAAAACATAAGAATGATTTTGATCCAGACAAAAGGTGAGAATCTTGAACAGAGCGGCGAGGATAATTCGAATTGATTACGTGAAGATATTGATTTTCGTAGTATCAATCCAGCACAAACCCATTACGAAACCCTTGAAGATTTCTTATCATCGCTGCAATCGCTGTAATATATAAAATTTTTCTTTCTGTCACCACAATTCCACAAATTCTTTTCCACCAAAATTTTCTTTTTGAAAAACTCCTCGGAATCTTTTGCGAGAAGTACTAAACTGGCTGATCGCAATCTACCGGAGTGAATCTCTGTGACTCTTTCCTCCACCCTCACAGCCAGCACTTTGAAATCATCTTCTCAGTATAAGTAAAAGACTAAAAACCCCCATAAAATATAAAAGAACCCAACCCATTTCATCAAAAAATAATCCAACTCATCTGATCTGGATAAATACATAAAATATATTTAACATGTAAAGCAGGATATTTAAGTACTGATGACGGTAACTATTTTTCCATCAAATATTTGTAATGTAATTTTTTTTATCAAAAATAATATTAAAATCAAAGATAATAGTAATATTTCTAAAAATAAATTTTTTTGCCAGCAAATATTTCTAAAAATAAATTAGATTAACCTAACATAAAATTAAATATAAAGCTGAATTATCACAAATTAAGTGAAAATTTCTTATAACATATGTAATATTATAAACATAATAAATTTAGTATTATTCATATTCTTGACCTCAAAAACGCAGAGAACTCACATGACGGATCAAATCAAAAACCTATGAAAAAAAAAAATAATACCACATTTGGTTCTAATTATAAGAGCTAGTTGATTAATTTGAGGAGATTAAGAAAAGAAGTTAATTTAGTTATTTGTAATAAATATATACTCCTCCGATTCTAATTATAAGACCCAATTGACTTATTTGAGGAGATTAAGGAAGTAAGTTAAGTTGGTTATTTATAATAAATAAGTGTTGTCATTCCTAAAATATCCTTGCTAATTAAGTATATTGGCTAAAACTATCATTATTAGAAGGATTATCTTGAAAAAAAATACATAAATATAAGAGATAAAATGGATTGGGGTCTTATAATTAGAACCAAATAAAAAGTCAAATGGGGTCTTATAATAAGGACCGGAGGAGTATTGTCTTTTCTAAAATATTCTTACTAATCAAGTGTATTAGCCATAACTACTATTATTAGAAGGATTGTCTTAAAAAATATGAGAAACAAAATAGATTGTGATATTATATTTAAAATCAAATAAAATCTTATATTAAGTATCGGAGTAATAACTAACGGCACATAAAACTCAGGACGTTATATGTAATTCCCCGGGGGGATTTCGTACAATTAACGAAAGTTTACTTAAATAAATAAAAGATAACCGTCCATGAGCTTATAATGGGATTTGAATACTATTTGCTTTATACCGTCGGCTGCGGGATTACGTATACAATATGATTAGCCGAAAAAATTATAGTAAAGGAGAAAAAGGGAAATGCAAATCAAATACTACTACGTTGGAGTTAACTATACACAAGGGGTTAATCATGTGATCATATACTATAATTAAAACTAGACATAATCTGAATTTGGATGACTTGATGAAGTCTTATATTTAATTAATTATAAACACTAGCAAAGGTGGTTTAACATATAAATGAGGCCAAATAAAGAAAAAACTTCTCTTGCAATATGTTCATCACTATAAATAATATGATGATTTTTTCATTAGATAAATTTTATTTTGATTTAATTAGTAAATGTACTTTTTTTGCCGCCAATTATTAAATGTGTTTCAAACATTGTTTTAACTGAAATGTATTTATAAGCTATAACTTTAAAGTGATCATAAAATAGACACAGTATATTTGGCGTACATTAATCCCAATAAAGGTCATTTTTTTGGTGCATAATCTCATTGGTACAATGTATTTACATTTCAAAGTAATGATTATTTTACGCCGTAAAAGAAATATATTTATATTGGAGTATAATAAAGGGGAAATTGTAAAAAAAGACCTTGGAATTGCAAAAACGCAGATAGGGACCCTTGACAACTTCACTTTGGATTTTGACAACTTCAGGGCATATTATTCTTGTCAAAACCCAAAGTGAAGTTGTCAAGGGTCCCTATCTGCGTTTTTACAATTCCAAAGTCTTTTTTTACAATTTTCCCTATAATAAATGTTTTGCCAAAATTGAATAACTTCTTCCAATGCATGGGATGATTAAATTTAAAATTTTTGCCACTTCTTCCACTTTTTTTTTTTGGTAACAATCGAATATGGCAGGAATGCCTCAAAACTAACGAATATGGTACTAGGTAGGAATGTTTAGAAAAATATTAAAAAAAATTTAACATCATCGCAGGCCAAAAAAAGGGATAAATAAGAGATAAAAATGTGAGGTATTTAAACAAAGATATTTACTGTTATCTTTTTAATGAAATCCAAAAAAATGGATTTTTTTCATCTATTATTTACAATTTATAATGACATAGCGGCACGTTACTTATGTATTTGACTGTTTATTTTTTTTTAATTAAATCAAATAATATTTCATTCGAGTTAATTTTATATATTTGATAGATGCAATTAAAATTTCGAAATTAATGAAACAGACAAAAAATATTTAACATGAATAAATCTCAACGATGATTATCACCCAAAAAAAATCTCGACGATGATAAGTAAACGTAATAAGATATCATAACGATTTTTTAATTAAAAAAACAATTATGTTCTAATCACACCTCATCTAACACCACTCTAATGAACACAAGTGATGGTAAGTTACTTAGAAATTATTAGAAACATATAGAATAATAATACTCCTCCGGTCCTTAATATAGGACTCAATTGTTAAGTTGGTTTTGGTCCTAAATATAAAACTCATTTTTCATGTTTATCAATTTTCTCTAGATTACCCCTATGAATACTTCATCAACCATAATCAAGTAGAAGTGGGAGGGGGTATTAAGAAAGATGATTATGGTATTTTGGGAAAAACGTGTCACATTTCTTATAATTAACTAACTTACCTAATTTCTTTAATCTAATCAAATTAGTTAAATGGGTCTTATATTAAAGATCGGAGGAGTAATTGACAAGGATGTTGAGGAGGCAAGTTCCTAGAAACTTCGAATGGCAACAAGATTGTGAGAATAAGAATCTGAATCTTATCCTTCAATCTCAACGCACAAACCAACTACGAAGGAGGATGGCATTTTCCGGTAACTTTCGTTTTGTCTGTCTATGTGACCACATTTGGAATCTATCATCTCCTTCAAACTTTGCTTCCTCACAAATTAATTACAACTGGCTAATTATCTTCACGTCCACAATTAATTGACTATAAATCATTGACCTTTTTCCTCTCTCTTTTTTTTGAAAAAAATGTAAAAAAAGACCGTTGAAATAAAAAAATTACAAATAAAGACCTATGATAACATTAGTATAGGTTTTGACAATAATTTTTATAAACCGATCGCTATGTACAATTTTTCTATTTCAATGGTTTCTTTTTATCATTTTCTTTTTTTCCCTCCTTATCATAAGCACTTTTTTCTTGTTTTTTTTTATAAGAAAGTCTTCTTTTTTTTTGCCAGTCATAAGAAAGTCCATTTACACATATTTATAAAATGTGAGGTAAATATGTGTTAAGAATGTATTTACAAACATTTAATATAAGTTAACTCGTTACATATAACTAATAGCCATGCATGCACGCCATTGCGTCAAAAGGGACTTGGCAACCACCGTTTTCTTTTGAAAACATCTTACATATGCCCATTTAGTTCTAAATATAAGATTTATTTTGTAATGTAAGTTATATTTTAAAATACGTCTTATATTTAGAATCAGAAGAAGTATTGTGAAATATGAAAATAATAATTTGTTTGGAAGCATTTTGTGCGCAAATGAAAATGAATTTTGGCAAACCCATCTCTTTTTTTAAATAAAATAAGTCAATTGTATTATATGAAAAAATATAAGTAAGTAGATAATCATACATAAAAAACAGCACACATCAAGCACCAATTTATAAGGAAGTTCACACCAGACAACATAACTTCAGAACAACCATTAAAAGTATTCTAACCAACCATCAAATTGAGGCCTCCAGAGATAAAAGCATACAATAGCCAGCTTTTGGCAATGGTATTAAAACCATGGCCACAAAGCAGGGCAGAGAGATACACCGGGGGAGTCAACTTTAAGGAGGACCGGGACTATCATCCGCCGACTAATGACTAGACTGAAACGGAACACTACAATTACGGATATAGTAGTATCTCCGGTTTTAAATACTTTTTTATATTTTTAATATAAAAATTAGTTGATTAATTTAACTAAATTAAAAAAAACTAGTTAAAATAGTTATTTAGAATAAATATGTGTTATTTTTTTTAAATATTTTTACTAATCATGTGTACTAACTAAAACTATGATTTAATAAAACATTTAACATATGTAACTACTATAAGGATTATCTTTTTAAAAAAAATATTAGATACAAAGTGGATTAGAGTTTGATACTATCTCCGGTCCTTAATAGAAGACTAGTTGACTAATTTGAATAGATAAAAAAAAACTAATTAAGTTAGTTATTTATAATAAATAAATATTCTTTTTTCTAAAATATCATCTTTAATCTAGTGTATTGGTTAAAATTACCATTATTACAAGGACTGCCTTAGAAAAAAATAGATAAATATGATAGATAAAATAAATTGAGGTCTTATATTATTTAGAATCAAAATAAAAGTTGAACAAGCTCAGAATCAAATGTGATATTTAAAACCAAATTAAAAGTTTAATATTTAAAATCAAATTAAAAATTAAACTATTAAAAAATTTAGTTATTACTGCAATTTAGATTACAAGCTAGAGATTTCAAAGAACACGCTACGTGCTTGTGACATGGTTCCAGGGCACGTGTTCAATGAAGCCATGTTGAAGTAATTGAAGCCATCGTTTTTGAACGAAGTTGGGGAAGAAACAACCGGGAAGTGATGGCTTTAAAGTTAAGACAATGTCATGGGACAAAGTCCTAAACAAAAGTCAAATCATATGACTATAATGAGTGGAGATCAAGCAATTGAACGTAGACGGTGCACAATAAATCGCGCAAGACAACCGACAGAATGTCGCCATTTTTTTTTTTTTTGGAAATTCAAATTCAACAAAGAGTGCCATTTCTATTTCTAATTATTTTCAAAAGTAACTAGAATTTCTCCCTAAAACCTGCACAGCTCATTAATATTACACAGACTTAAATTTTACAAATCGTATCATCGAAAAAATAGTTAAAAGAGGTAAATAGTGGAAAAAATAATTTCCCCTAGTTCATTTGAATTTAACTCTAATGTATAAGGTGTTGGCACCAAATGTATAAGTTGATATATCAAATACCAAATATTTTATTAAAAGCAAAAAAGTTGCAGCTTCCTAACTAGAAAAGTAGACAAATCTTGATGAAGGTGCTATTCAATTGGATGGTGGAAAATTACGCATGTGGACCCAATTTTTTTGCACATAAATTAATATCTTCAATTCTTCATATCTAACAATACATAGTACTCTTTTTGTCCTGAATATAATACCCATTTTATAATATAAATTATATTATAAAATAAATTTTATATTTAGAATCAAAAGAATATAAAATTTATAAAAAAATAGTAGTATATCATATCTACAACATAACGCTACAATTACTTACAGGAATGAATAGGAAAAAGGGAAAATTACAATAAGGTCTCAAGTAAAAAAAAATTAAAAAATAAGTCTCAGAGGTTGTTATTTTCACTATAGGACTTGTCATTATAAACTGTTGAGATTGTTATTGGGACTTTTTGGTAATTATTTTTTTTCTGTGGGACTTGATTATAATTCCCCCTAGAAAAAATGGCATTTCCTATTTAGTACTTCTCAGTTATATATATATATATATATATATATATATGGATATATATTTATATGTGAGGTAGAGTGAATGTTCTTTTTTTTTTTTATTGACAGATCATATTATTGAATTTTTCACATGAATATAAAATTATATATTCACTTCACTAATATGTAGATGATGTATTTTTAAACTCCACAAAATATATGGAAGGGATAAAGTTGATGTAATAAATTTTAAAGCAGAATTAACTAGATTTAGGGTTTTTACGGATTCAATAAATCATGTTTTGAAAATATGCTATAAAGAGAACTGGAATAGTATGATAAATAATAACACGAATCCTTTCATATTATTATAGGTGTTATGATAGAAATATGATAAAATTATAAAAGATAGAATAATAATTTATGAATAAATCAGCATAAGATTGTTTTATAAATAAGTAGGCAAATTTAACTTATATTTCATTTCTATCAATTATAGAACAACCAGACCATTGCATGATCCAAGAGAAAATGCAGGAAAAAGGGAACGGGTTTCCTGAATACCAAACATCCATTTAGAATGTGACGGGGCAATATTTTTATTTCCTTACCCACTTTTTCTATTCTATGTGCCGCCCAACGTTTTGGGAAACAAAAGTTCAATATAATAAATAATTAAATATGCTTTCATCAGATTGCGTAACTAAGATAATTATTTAAATTAACTAATTAAAAATTTATTCCACTGCTTTTGAATCGATCTCCGTGTAAAAATTTCACCAGTTTATAATATTAGACTTTACAAGAGACTGTTGAAAATAAAAAAATTACTAATTATGATTTTTAATATAAGAACTAGTTTGACATTTAAATTGGTTTTCAATATAAAATCTCCGTTTATTTTATCTCTCATGTTTATTTATTTTTTTGTCAAGGTGGTTATTATAATAATTGTACATGTTAAATGTTTTTTAGTAAAGACATTTTAGGAAAGATAATATCTATTTATTATAAATAAATAATTTAATTTTTTTTAATTCACTCAAATTAATTAATTAACTTTTTATATTAAAAGCCACACGCAGTACTATGCGTGGAACTGGTTGGCTTCGGTTAATCATTCATGTGGGAAACGAGTTAGCGGTAATTAGTTAAGAATTAAGAATTAATATTGGTTAATGTTTGTTGGCAAAAAAAAAAAAAAGGATTGTTTGATGTCAACATCTACTGTGTACGTAATTTCATATTTTTGGATGTGACCAAAAAGGCATCCAAGGCTTTTAGTTTAATAAATCCAAACATATGGGTCCAAAATAAATTAATTAATATCAGTAGCACAATTAAAATGCATGTTAGTACAAACTTATTTATATATATAATTATGACTTGATTATAAAATATGAACATCGTTTGTTTTTACCATGTGATATTTTGGATATTTAAATTCAACTCGCAATAAATGATTTGTTTTATGGCATATGGATGAATGATTTTAACTTATGAGCTCTCTGTTTACTACCTTAATAAAATAGTTTGAATGTTATACTATTCACACTTTGAACCTATTTTTGCCCTTAGATTAGAAGACCATATCCGCACGTGCCTTTTGTATAAATAATAATTGATACTATTATAAATATAAGAACTAATTAACTAACTAATTTATAGAGATCAAAACAAAATCAGTCATATTAGTTCTCCGTAACAAATATGTATTAACTTTTTTAAAATTCTCATTTTGATTATTTACATTTGAAACTTTTTTTATTGATAAAAACGCCCTCTAGTATATATAATAAATAAGATTGTTGGTGAAAATAATAATAAATTTATGAAACAAAATGAATTAAATTATAATATTTATGGCTAAAACTTATCTTCTAACCAATTTTTATATTTGAAACCGGATAGAGTACCGCTACATAATTCTTATTTTCACACATGACACATGAAGGATTAATTCAAATTTCTCACAAAGGAAATTTTTAAACATTATTATAAACTACTTTATCAATTAGTTTTACCTTTAAAAGTATCTCTGCAGGATTTTCATCAGTTTTTAAACCCCTGTCCAAACTATAATTTTTCGTAGCATTTTCACTGCACAGAATAGTAATAATTCTTTTTAAAAAAATCACACTATTCCTAGATGAACCCTAAATAATGAAAAGAATAATCTTGCGATTCCAAATATATGACAAAAAAAAATATTACAATAATTATATAACCATCCCCCGTGAATTAACAATCTCAAGCAATAATTAAGGATGGGTCAAATACAAGTAAAGATCTAACGTTTAAACCAATTAAGAAAATTCTTTGTATAAAATATGCCACGAAAGTCTCCGATGAGCTCATTATATATCTAATCATAAAATACTAATGGTGATCTTACATAATTATCAAACAAATCATCTTGGGATATGACTACATGTCACAGATGATTTTCTTTTCTTTTTTCTTTTTTTGCCCTCCAAACAATAATAATTAATAATCTGACACGTAATCCATTATAATTACATGAAAGGAGATATTTATCATGATAATGTAATCGAAGTCGAATAAAGTTGGGTGCCAAAAGGGCATATGCCATTTCCTTGTGGGAATATTAATCTTATCGTCACAACTTATTTATTTTCTCAGTCTGAGGCTTATCTGAAGCTGATCCTCAAACGGGTGGTTCCAGATTTGTTTTTGTTCTTACCTTTGTTAATATACAAAACAAAAAAGAATATCGAGTTTATCAACAGGACGTGTCAAACGGTGCGTTTTCGTGGCGCCTACACTTTTCACTTCAATGGTCAGGAGAAATCACATGGTGACCTGAGGATGATGTTTCAATCGCTCGGGACTTCAAAGACGGACCACCACTGTGCTGTGACCATCACACGGCAATAATCACAAGGGCCCCAGGTTTATGCACCCAGGTGGGTTGAATCCGTCAGCTGCAAATTAATCCGGATTAATATGAAGCCGAGTTGGCTGTCAACTAATGAATAATGTGAAATGAGGATAGAATCCTTCAAAAACAGTTTTTTAATTGTGATTTATAAAATATGAGATAAACATATAAAAAAAATTAGTCTCAAATTGCATGAACAGGTGCTTTTGATTGAGTATGACCTAAACTTTTAATATTATTTTCCATCCTTAATTTAATACTGTTTGATTTTTATTTTGATCCTAAATATAAAATCTCAATCTATTTTGCCTCTCATATTTATGTATTTTTGTTTACAATGTAATCCTTTTAAAAATAGTAGTTTTAGCCAATACATTTGATTAGTAAGGATATTTTAGGAAAGAAAACACATATTTATTACAATAGCTAACTTAACTTATTTCCTTAACCTACTCAAATTAGTCAACTAGCTCTTATATTTAGGATCAGAGGTAGTATATTCTTAATATTTTTTGCTCCAATAATAGATCCTTAATAGAAAAATACGTTTCATGATTAAGAGATCGTGATAGTAACTTCAATTTGAAGTTAAAGTGAGAAGAATAATGAGCCTATGATCTGATTTGAAGGGCCCATGGCAATCTTCTAAAGCAAGCAGCATTGTATTTGTGAATATCGTAATCACCGTTTTTTGAAGTGGCTTACTCAAACACTTTTTGAAGGAGGGCCATGTGTCCAGTGGGCTTGGCCCATAACCAGAAGTACTAAGAGGTAAGAAGTTTGATGTTAGCATGGAATGTGGTCCAGAAATGTAATTTGCTAGTGGAGTGACGCATGAGCTTTTTGGTTCGTATTTTTTTACCAGTAGTTTTCTCTCTCTGTTTTTTTTTTTTAAACTTTTTACCAAGAATGTACTATCGAGTTCTGATTTTATTTCATATTATAAAATTATACTACCAAAATTAAAATGGGATGAAACTGTAAATTTAGACAAGAAAATTTTTCAGTCTTCTTTGGCCAAAAAAGAAAATTTTTCAGTCTGAAAATTAAAAAAAAAAAAGAGCCCATTCTGTTGTGCTCATGATTGAACAATTCTCTCATCATGCGAATTCACGTGATTCTGGGAAATGAAACTTTTTAATAAAGGCCGCTGTCGGACAATAGATAATCATATATATTGATCATCACCATGATCGAGAAATTCTTTTCTGTTTGTTGTTGCATTTCATAATATTAAAATACTGATAATATTAATTCTCAATTTCGAATTCACCTAACTACTATATTGCAGGTCCGTGGAAAACATGGACTTTTTCTTTTGTTTTGCCAAGAACTGAAATTGATCCATCTTCTCTGCATATAATTGTAACTTACAGAAGAGAAATCATAAGAAAATGAACCAGCTCAAAAACCAACTACAGGATGTGCATCCATGTTCATACCAGCTCTAAAGCAAAGGTTTTTGCGTCAAGTCACAATCCAAAAAACGCCCATGCGTTTCTCCGAATCATCTGATATCCTGTCTGTCTAGTTCAGAAGTCATAATGCAGACAAAACTCGGTGGCACAACAAACTAGGAGGTTGTTTGCTTATTCTGTTTGCAAAGAACAGCGAAGCAAGCATGATGATCACTCATTAACCCCACCACGAGATCCTGCTCCGTTTAAAGCGAGGGATCACGTACCAAAAAAGAATCGATCTTTGTCCTGGATTCAGTGAATAGCCCCTTTTGTTCGGGATACATGGCAAAACCTAACAAGTTACTTTTTGCTTTTTTGGCTCAGATTTTAGCTATAGTAGCCACCATTCCGGGAATATTTGGTTTGCTCTGGGGGCATCTTCCTCGGATCCGTTTGTTCAGCAACAACTGGACAGGGTTGATAGGCTGCCGGGTCAAACGTTTAACATCGAATTCGCACATTACTCTGGGTATGTCACAGTCAACCTGGAATCTGGGAGGGCACTGTTTTACTGGTTCTTTGAAGCTGCTTCAGACCCTGAAACGAAGCCTCTTGTTCTATGGCTCAATGGAGGTCAGTAGTCAAAACATTATTTATTTATGTTCGTTAACGTTTCGTTTGCTTCATAATATTGTGTCCTTGATTTGTAGCTGTTTTAAGGTTGTGAAATGTCTGTCTTGTATAGGACCTGGCTGTTCCTCCATTGCCTATGGGGAAGCAGAGGAAATTGGTCCCTTTCACATTCGGCCAGATGGCAAGACCCTTTATCTAAATCCATACTCTTGGAATCAAGGTAAATAAAATAGAACGTACGAGGGTGTTAGCATTTTCTTAAAATTCCTCTCAGATGCAGATGTGTCAGTCTAACTATTTGTATTGTTTTTATAGTTGCCAACATTCTTTTTCTTGATTCTCCCGTTGGAGTTGGATTTTCGTATTCAAACACTTCATCCGACATAGAGAACAATGGGGATAAGAGGACTGGTATGAGTCTAACCATTTAGCATCTCATGTTTCTGCTTTGGAATATGTGCATCTCGTACCACTCAAGTTTATTCTTTCTTCATGGCCAGCTGACGACTCGTTGGAATTCCTATTGAAGTGGCTTGAGCGGTTTCCTCAGTATAAAGGAAGAGATTTCTTTATCTCCGGTGAAAGCTATGCAGGTAAATGAAACTCCAGAATTCCCCTTTGATATAGACAAAGGACTACAACCTACAGACATCTTTGAGAATCATGGTTGGGTGGTAGGGATTGTGTCATCAAAAGGATTGGTTTTTTACTTGAACACTAACAGACATAAGAAAATAAAGTTGATGGGATCAGATCACATGTAAACTATTTGGCTCCTTGATTTCACTATGCTCAGTTTTTTGAGAGATTTCATCTTGTTCTGATCGCTGGGTATGCATCACTTGTTGGACATGTGTTTCAGGGCATTATGTTCCTCAACTTAGCCAGGTTATTGTGAATTACAACAAGAACGCCAAAGAAAAAGTTATCAATCTGAAAGGTTACATGGTATAGATTTTGTCACTTCATGAGAATAATTCCTGAATGTTCTGCTTCTCGTCACAGTACCAATGCAGTGAATAATATATCCGTCTGTTGCAGGTAGGAAATGCCCTAACTGATGATTACAATGATCACAGGGGAGTTGCCCAGTTTTTGTGGTCATCCGGTTTGATTTCTGATCAAACATATCAGCAAATGAACCTTCAATGTGATCACGAGTCTTTCATGAATCCTTCAGATTCATGTGTAAAAACTTTAGAGAATGCTGACAAAGAAATTGGCCTCGTTGATCAGTACAGTATCTTCACTCCTACATGCGCTGCTAATGTTAGCCAGGCAAACGAGCTGGTGAAAAGAAAGCATGTGAGTGTTACCTTAAAACTATTGATTCTCTGTCTATTTCATTTTTCCTCTTATTCTAAACACAACAAAATTATGAGTGGGAAATCTACTTAAAGATGACATTTTACTTGAACATTTTAATTCTCTCTAAATGAAGTTTTTTCCTGCTGAAGCAATTCTAATGTTTTGAATTATCCTCTATATATTATGGTGAACTTTTTTATGCAAAAGTTGATTTAAAAGCATTAGTTAGTTTTGGGATCTTATTATCCACGTAAGTCATAAAATTCATCCCAAAATCAATGTTGTAGATACACGAGATGATTGGGAATTCTACCGATAATCAAAGATACGTGAGAACCTAATTATGTGATTATGGGACATGTTCTTACTGATATGATATGTCATGTCATAGAAAATTGGCAGACTTAGAGCCGTATACGATCCTTGCACTGAGAAGCATTCCACTATATACTTCAATCTACCTGAGGTCCAGGAGGCTCTTCATGTTGATCCAGCTCACAGGCCTGCTGAATGGCAGACCTGCAGGTATTTTATGATCATTAGGGAAACAATTGAGGGCATCTATATGTTTTTCCCATGCAACATGTACTATAAAACAACAAATGGCTTAGGCATTCCATGTGATTTATCAGAATCCATTTAAGTTATTGCCATACAGGATTAATAAACCAAGTGACATGAAATTTTCCCTTCATATGTTTAACTAGTAAATGAGATGAACATTTAGCAGTTAGCTAACATCCTTTCTTTAGTTATTATAAAGATCAAGTTGAAAATCTGAGAAATCTTGCAACTAAATCAATTTTTTTAAAAATATTGCACCATTATTTTTCTTTCCTCTGTGTGGGCTTCTATATACTGCTTTGAAATGTAGACAGTGAAATGTGTCTTACTCTCAATGTTTTGCAGTGACAAGGTAAGTGGAAACTGGAAGGATTCTCCATTGACAGTGCTTGATATTTACCGTGAACTAGTTCAGGCGGGACTGAGGATATGGATGTTCAGGTTACTCTCTGAATATTTAATGCATATGGTTGATTTGCACCATGTACAAAGACACACAAACACAACCATAACCTCAAATCAAATGCATTCACTGCTGATGTTATGTTGCCTAAGGCAGTATGACTCAAATCTTAATCTGATGCGAGATTAGACCGCATAACTTGTGGTTTGGATATATAACCTTCATAAACTGGGTTGCATCAAATAAAACTATGAAGTATGCATTTAATAAATTTTCCCTCAGAACTGATGTTTCCTCAAGCATTGGCTTTTGTCCATACTAGATATTTAAGCGCAGGTTTTGCATGTTAGGAAGATAACCTCATGTAGTTTGATGCATTTTCTTGCTAGTTAGTAATATAGAAGGTTGTGTGGAAAGATTGTGTGATCAGTGATAGTGATCACTTAGGTTTTGTTATTTGAAAGCATCAAAACTTCCATTTCATGTCTTCATTTTCATTTCAGAATTTCTTTTTGTTCATGACAAATTTGTTTCACAAATCCTTTGATGTAGTTGGAAAAGCAAAAAAGGTTTTAGTGAAAGAGAATCTTACTATCCACACTCCTCATGCATGTGATTTGGAACTCAAAAAGGCCATAAATTTTTGTGCAGAATGTGATCGAAACTAAATTTTCTTGAACATTGTATACTCGCGTTTCCTCTTCATTTGCTATTTCTTTCACCAATCATAAACTCTCTTTTCCCATATGACAGTGGTGACACAGATGCTGTGATCCCAGTGACATCCACTCGTTACAGCATAGATGCTCTGGAACTTAAAACTGTGAGCCCTTGGCGTCCTTGGTATGATGATGGGCAGGTAAGTGATTGTACAACCTCTTTGTTTTTCGTGTTTCAATATGTTGAAAGAGATAATGTAAATAGATAGGCTTTGAGGCATGGTAATCAGTCTCTTATTAGCTGCATAGAAAAGAAAAAAAGAGAATGGCCGGTAAAAAGAAGCTTTGATATTGTGTATTTTGCATTTTCACTAAATAAATTTGATACGCGATGAAACAAAGATTTAAATTTAAAGCCTCTTGCTAACTGCTAATACCCTTTACTTATAGTCTAGATTACAACTACTGGTGGTTTTATTATACTTCATCTTGGCGTTTTTATAAGATACAGCTTATATTTTAACTATAAGTTGTTTCTTATAAATAGGCCTGGAGGTTTTGTCGTCAGATTCTTCAGCATAATATATGGAAGAAGTTCTGTGAAATACTCGAGTCTAATATAGTACTAAACCATACGCACATACATACATAGATACGAAGGAACCGACTTGTGATAAATGTCTGAAACTCGTTGACAGGTGGGAGGATGGACACAAGAATATGAAGGACTCACTTTTGTGGCAGTAAGGGGGGCAGGGCACGAGGTTCCTCTGCACAGACCAAAATATGCTCTCTCTCTCATCAAAGCCTTCCTTGCTGGAACTTCCATGCCTTCCCTTGACCTTCAGCTTGTCAGTGCCTCTTGAAATCGACTTTTCATTTTGTTCCACTTCAGACTCTTTAATTAAATCTTCAATTTAGCTTTTGAAGCTGTGTCACTTCTCTAATAAATTCTTGCTCTCCAGTCCTTTTGCTATATGAGCAACACAGTTCATTATATCTGCTATTTATACTGTTGGAAAACTCAATGTACTGAATACAAGTTAAATCCAAGTCCTTTTTTTTTTTTTTTAACAGTATAATCCTTGATATTCCTATTTATCTCTTTATGACTAAACATAACCTTTTAAAGATACTCCTCTTGAGATGCCAAATACTTCATCGGGTGTTGTTGCTTGATATGTGAAACTGGGCTTTTTTGTTTTGACCCCCTTTTTAAAGTGGTAGTGAAACACGTTTAGTTCTTAATCGTTACTCTCGCGATGTTTTGAATTTGATCAACGAATTTCTAAGCACATAATTAGTATTCTGCAGAAACACAGAAGTTTGCCCACTTTTTGTCAGTGACTTCCCATTAATATGGAAAGAAAATTAATGACAATAATCCCATACCCATCAGACTAGACAGATAAAAAATTTAAAAGCAGATGAACTAATAATAACCAAAAAAATCATTCTTAAACATTAGTAAACACAATAGATTTTACCCAGAAATCATTTATCGGATTGATTGTGCATTTCAAATTCTAGTTACTGAACAAATCTCAAAGGCACTCGGTTTAACTTGCATTATTCTCGCACTTGACAAATATTTTAACTGAGAAAGCATTTAAAGTAGATATGTTGGGCATCAATGGGAATCCCCTTGATCTTGGGCCCCCAAAGTGATACTGCTTGGGCTGGGTCGCTATGGTTTGGGCCCAGTGTGACATTTTTGGGCCACAATGATTGCTATCTGAAAAGTTCTGTCCCGTACAGCTGATAAAACTTGACCACGCAAAAAACAAAGAAGGAAGAATTGTAATAAAATCTTTTAAAAAAAAAATTATTAAAAACTCTCAATAATAATTAAGTAGTTTATACTGATAAGTTCTAAAAAAAAAAGACAATTTCTAACTTTTTTTTTGGTAGTTATATTTTTTTGTGACACCTCATTATAATTCTCACAGCAAAAAAATAATGCCACTAAATAAGATTCGGCCATGGAGAATTGGAGATTGGAGATATTTCCTTAATTGACCTGAAAGCGACATATGTATTACAAACAAAAGAATAAAATAAGATATTTTCTTGTGATAATTATTTTTTCAAATAATTTGAAACAAACATTTGTCATGAATAGACGAGTGACGTTGGAGAGGGAATAAAAAAAAACGGTAGGCCATACTTTGTTTTCTTAATAAAAAATATTAAATAATTGTGGCCACCTTATGTATTACTTCTAATTCTAATTATAAGACCTTATTTATAAACTGTAAATAAAGTTTTATAACTAGAGGCCGAGATAGTATGTTATCTTTTTTAGTTTTTACAGTTGAAGATATTACCTGCTTTTATTAACTAAATTAAATACTATCTCTTGGTCCTTAATATAAGAACTGATTGACTAATTTGAGTAGATTAAAAAAATTAGTTAATTTAGTCATTTATAATAAATATGTGTTGTCTTTTTTAAAATATTCTTACTAATAAAGTGTATTAGTTAGAATTATTATTATTATAATGATTATTTTAAAAAAAACAAATAAATATAAAAAACAAAATAAATTGAGATTTTATATTTATGATCAAAATAAAAATTAAACAAATTTTGATATTAAAAATTAGAAGCAGTATATTGCTTTTGTAACACGAAGAGAGGAAGAAAATTAACTAAGTACGTTATTTGTTTGCTTTAATCATTTTCGACAAAAATTAAATTACATCTTTTTACTTTTATAACAAAGTCTGTCTTTTTTTTCCCCCACATCCTCCAACAGATTAAACTTGGCTAGAGCCCGCAGGAGAATGAGGTCGTGCTTATGCATGTGTTGTGTTTTGTGGTCTCAGCACAGAGCAGGGAAGTGATGAAAGGATAAAACTTAAAAGGAGGTTGAAGTGCCTCCACAGGTTGGTTTTCACCCACAGCTTCAGCTTCTTCCTCAGTCAGTACTCGCTAAGCTCAATCGAAAGCTTCCTCTTCTATGGATATAACTGTATCGAATTGTTCTACTTGATGCCTTTGTAAATTCATGGCCCTGCTTAGGTTTCCAGTTTCTTTGGAGACCTTTGATTCAAAGAAGGCTAATTTCCCTTTGAATTCTGCTGATCGTAGCTCTGGCTTTTCGCCTTCTAGTTGCCTTCATGCGCTTCGAGCTTGCGCTTTCGTTTCTTTGAGCAGGATCAAGTACGTCCAAGTCTCTAGGCTCGAAAATGAGCTAACCGGCGTTTCTGACGAGGGTTTGGACGAGGGGAATCTGAATTCGAGATTTGAACCTGGGAAGAAAGTTCGGGTGGCAAAGACGGTAGTGAACAGAGCAGTTGAAGTGGATTTGAAATATAGATACAAAAGGAAACCTAGGAAAGGTGGTACACTTGATATAGACAAGTTCTTTGTATATGATGATGATTTTGATGTAGATTACTCTTCCATACGGATTGACTTGAGCTCTGAACTTTGTAATGCGATCTTGAAAAGGCTTGTAAAGAGAAGTGATAGTAAATCTCTGGTGTTTTTTCAGTGGATGAGGAGCAATGGGAAGTTAGAACAGAACATTGGCGCGTATAATGTGATTATTCGGGTGTTAAGCAGGAAAGGAGACTGGGATGCTGCGGAGAAAATGATTCAGGAAATGAGAAGCAAATTTGGTTCTGAATTGAATTTTCAGGTATTTAACACGCTTATCTACACATGCTCCAAACGGGGTCTTGTTGGGCTAGGTACAAGATGGTTTCAAATGATGTTAGACAGTGGTGTTCGTCCAAATATTGCGACCTTTGGCATACTTATGGGGCTTTACCAGAAGGGTTGGAATGTTGATGAGGCAGAGTTCACATTTTCAAAGATGAGGAGCTTTGGAATTGTATGTCAATCTGCATATTCAGCAATGATAACTATTTATACCCGTTTAAGATTGTATGAGAAAGCAGAAAGAATTATTGGGTTGCTGAGAGAAGATGGAGTACTTCTTAATCCGGAAAATTGGCTGGCAGTACTAAATGCTTATAGCCAGCAAGGTAAAATGAAGGAGGCTGAGGAGGTATTTAAATCAATGCAAGAAGCAGGGCTTTCCTCCAATATCATTGCTTATAACACAATGATAACTGGTTACGGGAAGGCATCTAACATGGATGGTGCTCAAAGCCTTTTTCTGAATATACAGAATGTTGGGACGGATCCTGATGAAACCACTTACCGGTCTATGATTGAAGGTTGGGGTAGAGCTGGTAATTTTGAGCAAGCAAGATGGTACTACGATGAGCTGAAACGGTGGGGATACAAGCCCAATTCCTCCAATTTATACACACTGATAAAATTGCAAGCGAAATATGCAGATGAAGAGGGTGCCATGAGAACCCTCGCTGATATGCTGGAGACCGGCTGTCAGTATTCTTCTATACTTGGGATTCTTTTGCAAGCATATGAGGGAGCTGGAAGAGTTGATAAATTGCCACTTCTGCTGAAAGGTTCCTTCTATCAACATGTTTTAGTCAACCAGAATTCTTGCTCCATTCTGGTCATGGCTTATGTAAAACATCAATTAGTGGATGAGGCCTTGAAAGTATTGAATGACAAAAAGTGGAATGATCCTCATTACGAGGATAATTTGTATCATCTGATTATTTGCTTGTGCAAAGAGATAGGTCTGCTTCAGGATGCTGTTAAAATATACAGTCAAATGCCCACACATGGCCACAAGCCAAATCTGCACATCTCATGCACTATGATTGACATTTATTGTATCATGGGTCTCTTTGAGGAAGCAGAAAAACTGTATCTGAAGTTGAAATCTTCAGAAACCTCCTTGGATATGATTGGCTTCAGCATTGTTGTAAGAATGTACGCCAAAGCTGGATCTTTCGAAGATGCTTGCACTGTTCTGGATGAAATTGACAAACGACCAGATATCATTCCTGATGTTTTTCTGTTACGTGATATGCTCCGCACTTATCAACGATGTGGTATGCTGGATAAATTATCTGACTTATACTACAAAATCTCAAAAGATCGAGCAAATTGGGACCAGGAAATGTATAACTGCATCCTGAACTGCTGTGCACGTGCTCTGCCTGTAGATGAGCTTACTAGGCTTTTTGATGAGATGCTTCAGCGTGGATTTTCGCCTAATACAATTACCTTCAATGTCATGCTTGACGTCTATGGAAAAGCCAAGTTATTCAAGAAGGCTGAGAGGTTGTTCTTTATGGCTAAAAGGCGGGGCCTGGCTAATGTGGTTTCTTACAATACAATTATAGCTGCATTTGGGAAGAACAAGGACTTCAAAAACATGTCATCGACTGTCCAGAAGATGAAATTTGATGGCTTCGAAGTTTCCCTGGAAGCCTACAATTCAATGCTAGATGCTTATGGAAAAGATGGTCAAATGGAGACCTTCAGAACCGTATTGCAGAAAATGAAGGAATCAAGATGTACCTCTGACCACTACACATACAACACCATGATCAATATTTATGGAGAGCAAGGATGGATTGATGAAGTCGCAAGTGTGCTCAGAGAACTGAGAGAATGTGGACCTGGACCTGATTTGTACAGCTATAACACATTGATCAAAGCATATGGTATTGCTGGAATGGTTGAAGATGCTGTAGATTTGGTTAAGGAGATGAGAGAAAATGGAATTGAACCTGACGACATAACCTACAATAATCTTATCACGGCTCTGAGAAGAAATGACAAGATTTTAGAAGCTGTTAAATGGTCACTGTGGATGAAGCAGATGAAATTGTGAATTTCATAAAACTGCACTCTGAAAGCGGTCTTAGGCCTTTCAGTCGTGCTTCTGTGGAAAATATCACGAACTCCAGGTCCTACTTGAGTACAGTCTAACCTTTAGCTTCCTTGGTAAGATATATATTTATTTTTTTAAAAAAATATTTGTTAATTTTGATTCTTACTTTGTAATCCAATAACTCATGCTTCTGAGATTTTATCACTTGATCGAGTGATTACATGATCTTGTATTCTTACAAAATTCCTTGACAAAAATGTATACGTTTTCTGGATGGTAATTCATACGAACTGTGGTTTAATTGGACAATGTCTGCTTCCCTGCCTTTAAAAGAGAGAATAATAAATATTTCTTAAGTTTTCACTTCCACAATTCGTTGGCGTCACGCTCCGATCAAATATTACAGGACGTGTCCTTCTTTGCTGCTAATGATATACGTTATATGCATTTTGCAGAATGAGAGTTAATTCATTAATCATCTTTCTAAATGTGACCTCAAGTTTGAATATTTTCTGTTTGGACTAAGTACTCTCAAAGTAGAATTTTGGGCAATGTTTTAAGTTCTGATGCTGATTCCAGATATCCGGGCTTTTAGGGGAATAGCGGTACGGGATGGTGACTACTCAAAGTGCAACAAGGGGACGGATAGGACTGGAATTATTTGGCGGCGGAGAGAAATGGTCAAGATTTAAGTATAAACTTTTAAGTGTTTATCATTAAAATTAAAATTTTCAATAAATACATGATTGAGTTCCTTTTCCCCTTTATAATTCAGCATTTCATGATTGAATTCGCCAAAAAATTTTTTTTTTTCATGTTGTGTTTTTTTCTCGAAAAATATGATAAATGCTCATACTTCATTTTTGTTATAATGAATTCTCTGGGATTATCAACTGAAGGAAGATAGGTGTTGCTTGGGGCTCTGATGAGGAAGGAGTTACTAGAACATTAAACGAAGAAAAAAGAATTGTAGTTTCCAATCCAAGCATCCATATTTGAAACCAAAATTATGTCTATCCCATTATGCCTACAATTCGTCTACGATTCTAGTCTTCAATACAATATGTTCCAATTTGCCACATTTCCCAAACAACTTGCTATGCAGTTATTATCTGCATTAAGTTTGACATTTGTCATGAAACGATTCTTATAATTGGATATCCAAGTGGTTGTAAAGGCTTTCTTTTGCCACAACTATTGTCTAATCAGTTGTATGTTAAGAGTCCTACTATTATGCCTATAAGACTATATAACATAGTAATTTTGAAGCATGGGAAATACGAATAATGTTGAAAGTCATTTTCCTATCTCTCACACTCGTCTCACTCTCTGCTTAGTATCATTAGTATCAGAAATACACTTCTAAGATGCATGATTCTATGCCAAATTATGGCAACCTCCTGTCCTTTTCTCCTCTCCACCGAAATAAGTGCATTCATGCATTATAATATATGTAAACGGAATAATGCTTTGAAGTTGCTTTGTCGGGCTGTTAGCTACATGCTGTAGGGGGAGACCAGCTGCAATTATCTGGCACTGAAAAATTATAGATAGCCATTAGACATAAGCTTACAAAAGAGGATGAGAACCTCCCAGTTAAGAATATACACATGCACCTGCCAAACTCCCTTTTCAGTAAAGCCTAATTCTGTCTGTTAACGAAAAGTAAAGCCTACTCCTGACATGTTTACATATTCTACATATTATTGACTTGTTCTGCTTATTTTTTATACAGTTTATCTCTAGAGATATCTCACAAGGAAAACGCCACTGTCAATTAAGCAGCAGAGCCGGGTGAACAAAATTGTCAAAATTGTCAACGCCAAAATCTTACTGGGAATTCATTCCCTATATGGTGGAACAGGAATTGAAGCTTTTCTCCAGTTGAACCAGAACTGTATAAATAAGATCATAGTACATTCTGAGCATTCTGGCAACGCACACGGGTGCTGGAAAATATCCTTGGGGTCCGATATCTATCCTTCCTAGGCATTTCTTGAAGCCAACATAGGTCTTTGTTCCCCCCAAGGCTTCCAAGACAGGTTGCCATGGAAGCGAAGAATGTTTCTGTGGAAATCCATGATTCTAGTAGAGAAATGCTCAGTTGAAGAAATATGGTGACTCTAGGACCTTCTGCAAGTCAAAATCACCTCTCTCTGGCAGTGCAGGGAATGTCAATCCTGGGTATGATTTCTGAAAGCCCTCCAGCAACTGCAAAATTATTGATTGTTCAATTATGACAAGTTTTTTTTCCCTTTTGTGCGGCTAAATTATAACAAGATTAAAGCAAACAAATAATGAGGTTTGATTTCACCATTCTATTGGTCTAAAAGGAAAAAGCTACTCAGCTCCTAATCAAGGACAATTTTAATATATCTGGAGCTTAGATGCAATGATAGTATGGTAAGATGGGAGAATAACACTTAGTGGATCAGCGTATGCACAACTCTCTTTGGTCAAATGGTTCAGTAAATAATGATCATTCCACCCTAAAGCAAGTATAAATACAAGGTCATGCCTAATAGAGACACAATCTTTTATTTCGCTGTACAAATCTTTCAGGTCTTGATAATAAGCTATTTTTCTTTTGTATTGTTCCACAATACTCAAGTTAAGTGAAGGCCTCCAGGAACTTGCGTATTTGATCATAAGAGAACAGGATAACTCTTCTCTTTTCACCAAGTATTCCTACAAAATAAATTCAAATTCTCATGAAACAGCAAGAAGAAGGCAAGGACTTACATTTTCGAGTATTGGCGAGCTATAAAGCTCCACAAATTGTTCTCTAAGAATCTGATTCATTTTCTCCACATCACATGCATGTGTCCAGAATGAGTCATGAACCCCTGCAGACAAATTATTTTACGGAGTTTAAGCACCAACGACATAGACGCCAATTTTTTACACTTTAAGATGCAATAAGTTATTGCACTTCCACGAGAGTTTTAAAAATGCCTGTTTATAATTTCATTGGCAAAATTAGACTCTGAGACCTGCAAAACGCAAGCCAGCATCCCTGCAGGCAAGAGCAGTCATCATCATGTGTGAACCATCCAGTGAATGTACAAAATTTGGAGGAAATGCGGTTCTCTGTTTTCTGGCATTAACCTGGAATACCATAGTGTAAGTAATAAGCAAATGGTTAATAAAGACAGACTGACAGGAATAACGGGGTTAAAGGGGTTAAAAAGGGGAAATAAAAACACTTACTGCATCACCCTCCCGCTGCAAAGCCAAAACCTGAAGAGTTGTTTTGACCTGCGTTACATGGTAAGACCTCCGTTATTCTAGAGATCCAAAATAAAGGTCTAAAAAGCAGTTTTAATAACTACCCAATCTGAAGTAAATTCATTGGTGCCACGGTGGGTTTTCTATAAGCCAATAGCAGCAATATTCCACTATAAGAATTTTGCTGAAGAATGATATGGTCCAGCATTTAAGTCATCAGTTCCAATGCCTAGGGGCAAAAACATTCTTGTCCTGTTTTTCAACAGTTGAGTTGTTATCGCACAAATGGACCTCCAAGCAGCAAAAGAGCCGGAACAATTTTCCTTTAGCTACCAAAAAGGATATATATATCTATATATATAGACATATATTGAAAGCAAGTCATTCACTGAGATTTACGATCAACAATCCAACATAGGGTTGCACCTGCTGAAGTAAGCGGTGAAACACCAAGGCAGCAACAATTACAAATGCCAAATGATCGTGACAATATGTTACAGAAGGAACCACATTAATCAGTAAATGGACACGCATGCTTCTTTAGTCTGATTGTCACAGACTTGTATCCTTTTAGCTGGCATTATTTACCCCCTTGTCAGCGACTCATTGTTAAGCACATTAATGCCTAGAATATAACATGAACGGGAAACAGTCTATGCAGATGGCTTACCAGATGACGCTCAGTTTTGCAGTATGGTTGTACAACAGGAAGACCAAGAGGAGTGGTCCATCGAACAGCCTGATGGTCAGAAGCAATCACCTAAAAAAAAAAAAGACAAATAATGGACGCAAATACATTAACCGCATAAAAAAGTCTCAAAACCAAAAGAGATGTTGAGGTGACGACAGTGTTTACCTTTGCACAATCACCAAGCCAATTCATAATGCCACGTGCAGCTTCAAAAATTTCCCCAAGGGCATCCAATGTCACCTGAAAAAAGTAAGGATGGTCACATGACTAAGTCAGCATGACACAGCAGATTAAAAATGTAAAACAGTGTCTACATATTTTATATGGCATAGATGAATTAAACCCAGGTGAACATGAACACTCGACTAAGAACATAATATTATGAAATGACTGCCTCCATTTCAGCTTTCATTTGAGCATCGTTTCCCAAAGATTACTTTTAAAACTAAATCAACAGGAACCGATCCTGTAAACGATAATGATAACATATCAAGGAATCTATTACAGTCTCTGACGGCTACAATATAATTTTCAAATTCAATGGAAGGATGCTTACTTTCGCAGCATAGCATGCTGCATCAAATATAAGTTTGTCATCGGTTATGAGGCCTTTCTCCAGTAATCTTCTTTTTATTTGCTCTCTTGCCCCAACAAAAGTCACACCATACACTGAAGTCATAACTGTCTGTTTGACCAGTTTCCTATCAACCTGAAAGTGTGAGACTTAAGTCTAAGAGGAAAGAAAAAGGAGAGATCCTGACCGATTACCGGAGCATATATTGTGCAATATGCATAACTTCACCCTTTAAAATGAATACTGACCTTGTCAATTAAAACCTTTGCTAATAAAGCTTTTGGATTTGTAGTAGGATCTTCACTGCTATCCCTTATCATGATATCATGAACCCTGCCCACATTTATAATTTATAATTGAAGTAACAATACAATATTAATCATGCACAGTAATTCCAAAATTTCCTTCGCACATAAGAGAGCCTTCTCAAGTAAAGTTATTCCAATGCAGTGCACTTGCAATTAACAGAGGTTGATTTGACATACCTAACAGCAATCTCTGAGTAAACATCAGCTGGTTTTTCTCTGGCAACCAAGTTAACCGCAGCAGCCTCCAACTGATAGCATATTTAATCCAGTCAAATGACAATAATAGATGTAACAGAAATCAATTATCAGGAGCTAACCTTACATCAAAAAATAAGACAAAATAGCTGCCACATATATTTTACTGTTAATGTTCCTTGTTACATTATGGCATGTTAAAATCACCGATTCACTATAGTGTGCTAAGACTACCAAGGAAGGACACCATCTATTATGTATTAAGCAAGCCATCTTGTATGGTGCTGTACGAGTCAAGAAAAATCAATTATCTTAGCAGACATACTGAGATTTCTAAATTACTTAGTGATAGTTGCAAAAAAGAAACAACCATAAAAACTTAAGATCATCAAAAAAACAAGCGAATATAAAAATCTCTATTGAAAGAAGCACAGAGAATACAAAAGTAATTGCAAAAATGAATAAGAGTTAAGTAAACCTACACAATCTCTGCCCAGGGCTGCATAGTGCTGTAAGCCATTACAGGAACCATCCTAAACATATAGCAGAAAAGTGTTACCAAAACTATCTTTTAAAAGACAAAAGATAAAGCAAACATTTTTTTTAAAAGAAAGCTGACTAAATAAGGTATAGGTCTTTATGATGAGAACAGGCTATTATGCAGTTAGCTCTAGTGTTTTGTGACCAAAATTTTCAACTACTTTACTTTTCTCTCTTTAACCTATTGTAAAATTTTAGGTTGTAAGTTCTTATTAAATGACAAAAGGAAGGTTGTACGTTCTTATGAAAGATCTCCTGAAGGCAGAAGAGTTTGTGGCTGATTTGACTACTTGTAGAATAAGTCTGCAAAATTAAATTACAACATTTTTCTCACAGATATTAAAGTCTCCAATAACCTGATGAATTGGCAGATGTGAGACAACGGAATGTGGTGATGAGCTTCTTAAGGCCTCTGATAGATTGAAACATGCAGCAAGGCATTGGAAAGGATCTTCAGCTGTTAACCACCAACGGTTACCATTAATTGGGTTATCAGCAGAGTCAAACACATCGTGAAGATGGTTCTCCACAAATTCTAGACGCCCATCATAAGACAATTTCTCAACACCACCAGCATACAAATTCGCCAAATGTATCTTCAGCCACTTTAGTCCAGACTTCCCCAATGGCCGTCCTTCAGCAAACTCAAGCAGACCTCGACACAGATCAGAACTTAAATGATTCAGGTGAGGATGCATTGGATATGCTCTGCCACGGAAGTCAAGATTGTGGGGATAATAAAAGCCCTCCTCATCTTTCATTCTTCGGGCCACCTGTATCAAAATGTATTTTATTATGATTATTGCTCATCTAAATGGGATAGACATATCATAAAAATAATAGAAATTATGCCATTCATGACAGACAAATGTGTATATGGTTATACAGTATAGCACATGTATATGGAAGAAATAGGCTACACAAATAGGCTGTTGATGTAATGACAAAAATATTCAATTGTTCGAAAATAATATCAACGGATATCTGACAATAAAAGGGGAGATCATACAGAAAGCTTAAGCTCAGTGTCACATCTTTGAGCATGCCTCTCTAGATTAATTTTCTTTGCCTTCCTCACACTCCATTTCCATTCCCGAATTAGTTTTAATTCCTCAACCAGTGGCTTTTCTGGTATGGGAACCTAGCAATCCAAAAGGAGAATACATGTAGGTCAGATGAATAAAAAAGCAATAGATAATATCAGGAATTCACCATATCTCAAACTTATTAGAGAAGTTGTGCATGGCGTTCATGTGGCCTGCATTAGACCAAACCGGTTTTGTCCAATAAGTCCTGATATATTCAAGTCACTGTTAAAAGAAAACTTCTCTTGTTTATAAGAACCTAACAAAACACAGTTGTTTAAGGCCATCAAATGATCTAAAAAGTCACTCTCTAATGTGAATAATATCAGAATTTTTTATATTTGTTGGTCTAAAACAACTTAAATTTAGTTCTGTATATAATTTTCATAAGAAATGGGTAAATAGGTAAATATTGACAAAAGAGGAAGACCAACAAAAAATTCTTTTATGAAGACTTCCATTTCTATATGTTTCACCCCTTAATCATACAAATGTCTCTGTAAGTTTGCGCTTACATCTTGACGATCAACCAGGCCTGCAATTTTACCTCCTCCATCCCAGATTGTCTCAACAACACCAAGCAGTCTTCTATTTATTCGCCATTTGGTATTACCAAGCATATCCAAAGCCTTCAAATGTTTCGGTTAAAGAAGAAAGAACAAGTCAAGACTATACATCAAGATGAAGTATTGAAGAAGCAGAAGCAATTATGCCAAACAAACATACACACATCTCTCTCTATACACACACACACAAAAAACTATGCAAAAGTGTTAAGAATGTAAAAACATAAATAAGATAATGAATAATAAAATTTTCAAAACAATTAATAAACTCAGAATTAACTATTTTGCAATGACTCTAAAAAGGTTCCTAACTATTCTTCCAATATTATACAAATAAAAGTGCACAGACCTTTCCCAGATGATCTCTTTTATAGAATACTGCATCACTCTCTCTTAGGCGATGAAAAAGGAAAATGCATCTTTACACGTAATACCTCAAAAACTTTTTGCATTTGTTTCCCTTTGACATTCTTCATTACATCTTGTTGCTTTCTAGATCCATGAGTACGCATAATATAAGACGGCAAGAACAAGTGTCCACCCTTGTCATATCTGGAAAGAGTTTTGGAAAATTTTAGAAGGGGGTACAAGGAGGAGAGAGGGAGAAAGAAGCTGCCAAGACACTGAGGATTGAAGAGGACATGTGGACAGCTAATTGTGCCCTTTGCTACCTTCCAAACTTTTACATTGTTGTTAGTTACCATGCTTGAAAGAATCAATTACAGTTTCAAACTTATGATCTTTTATTCTCTTCTTTCTTTGGTTTGCGACAGTGTTATAGTTGCATAAAACCTAATCAAACACGATTTTCATTCAATCATGCAACACGACCTGCTCTTCTCATCATCAGACGAGCAAACTCAAAAAGAATAGTTGACATGAGAAGTGGTCTGCGAGCCATTTCAGCACAAACCTATAACCAATATTGGTCCTAAAAGACTGAAAATATTTGGATAAACATAATGTATGGTTAACAATTTTGTCATTTTCTTTTTTCAGCAGCTAATAATATATAATAAAATAAAGTCCTTAGTCATCATTTTATTTTATATTTTGATTGTGCTTATTCATATAATTATTTTAAAACTTCTTAAAAATCCCAATTGAATCACTTTTCAACCACAATTAAGTCATTAAAGTATGAAACAATATCACTACTCTCCTCAGCGGCTTGATGACAACAAGTTTTCGATGCACTAGCATGATCCAAGTTATTTGTCATACCCTTTCCACTTTTTTGGAGGTATCAACATTGGCATGTAAGGTATTAACATATGTTTAGCCTGCATGAAAATAAAAGCAATAAATAGTAAGCAAACAAGTTAAGATATATTTACAATGTTTGAAGTGCAACTAAGTGCCTTGAAACGGTTTGCAATTTATTTCATAGATGGATCATTATGTGGAACAGGAAGATGAATGACTTCAATAAGAACGCTCACTATCTCAGATATCACTAGAAACAACAAGAACAAGAGGAAGTCAAAATAGATGGATCATTAAGTTCCTTTTAGTACGACATCTTTTGCAAGATGTTTAGCAGATTAATTAGAAAGCAGGGTGTTAAAATTCTTCTTTATTTTCTGTGGAGGAAGGTTGGGAGTAGAGGCATTTGCAAACTTCAAATATGGAAAGATCATAAAGACGTTGTTAGTGATTATAAAATGGATAAAAACAGGACATCTTCACTTACAGATTTATCAAGCCCAGCAAGGACTAAGGGATCACCTTCTATAACGCCATAGTTCTTCAAAATCTTTTGCCTACGAGTACAAATAGTTATTCAGAATAAAAATGGATAAAAGATCATATGATTTACGAATTTTCATCAATCGTTTGCAAAACAACTCCAGGTACATTTTTTTTAATGGCTTTACTACCAAACAAACATGTGAAATTGAGATTCCCATAGAAAGGGTAGTAAATTTTTTTCTTTCAGTTCAATGATGCTAGCCAAACTCAACCGCAACACCTCCTAAGCTAAAAGGCCAATGGTGTTTGCTATCCATGTGTACCAGTGGGCATATGTGTGCGTGTGCACATGCATGTGTGTGTGTGTGAGTGAGAGAGAGAGAGAGGGGAAGGGAGGAGAGAGAAGGAATAATATAAGCATCATATAAATAAACTGAAGGAAAGTGAGAATGAGAAAGATAAGTACCAATAAGCATTTAAGTAATCAGGTGATCTCCTACCCATGAAAAAGCCAATGTTCAATGTTCCTAATGTGGCAGTGGCAGTTTTATTTTGAAGCTAAGCTAAGGGTTGAAGTGTTAAAGTATTAATTAATAGTTAAAAAAGAAAAGGAAAATAAAGGGCAAAGTCTAACCTTGGACTCTTTGACACAGCTTGAAACCTGTGCCTGAATGCTGGTCGAATATCAGGTGGAGAATCAGCACACTGCGTAACGGGAGACTGTATATATGCTGTTTCAATTAACAGTTCTATCAATCGACATCCCAGCTGCATACCAAAGTTTGCTCCATTAGGTTCCAATTTAAAACCAAAGCCCCTCCCCAAAAAGAATTCCCAATAAAAAGAGTAGGAAAAAAGATGGAGAGGAAAAATACACATACAGTGCACACAAACCTTAGCCTGAGTATCACGAGCCCATGAACTAAATTCTTCCTTTTTCAGCAGCATCTGTACTTTTTTAAGTCTTTTCCTCCTAATCAAAACATTCACACGTTTCCTTAGTTTTTCTTTATCATTGTTCAGACTGTCATCAGCATTAACCATTGTCTTCTTACCCTGGTGGCTTCTAGTTTTTTCCAGGAATTTATGAATTCTCACCTGTAAAATAATAAGATAATTACAACATATGCTTAATACACAAACTAAGAGGAAGTGGAACCAATCAGGAAAGGGTGCATTTCTTTTCCGACATATTTATCAAAAGCTACGGTAAACAATAACGGCAGAGAGTAGGTGACATGAAGACACAGAAGGAAGCTTCAATGACTAAAAATTTTCCGTTGGTCCCTCTCCCATCAATGAAGTGAGATGAGTCGGAATTCCTTGGCAAAAGAAGGTTGTATCAGTTGCAACTAAAAGGATAAACCAAAGGATCTATATTGCTAACCGTATAATTGCTATTGTATACTTCTGCTATTTAGCAACCCTTCTCCCAATTTTAAAATATAACGTATTCCAACATTTGAAAATATTCAACTTAAACAGGGTTAAGCAACACTCATTAGAGTCACGGTGATATGCCGGGGGTAAAGCAAAGGGGGGAAGATCACGCACAGAAATTGCACAGGATTAGCAGAATAGACTTCTCAGGTTTCACTTCCAAGACAATCATAATGTTTCCAATTAACTCTTTTTATCCACTTCTCAAGTAGAGATAAGTTGGCTGCGCACTTATCAGTTATTAACGAACTCCTAATTAGGAGACTCTTAGCTAACTACTCAATTATCAATCCTTAAAACTAATAGGACCGCCATATTCAACATATCGATAAAAAAAAAAAAAGGAGACGACTCCCAGAAAAAAGAAAATTTTAATATTAAAACCAATTACCTCTTGTTCTATGGCCATCCCAATCTGAACAGCAGCCTGAACAAGTTGAACACAACCGGCTTCATAATCCAGCATGAGCAAGCCCACCATTTTATGCATGACAATAACAGCCATTTTAGCTGCAGGCAATATATCAATATAGGGCGAATATGCCGCCTTCTTCTTCTTCGACATCTGTGACTTCTGCTCCCTTTCTATGGCCTCCCTCAGGGGATCAAACCACCCTAAAAACAGCGACTTCACATGAGGCAAATTGGGAGCCAAGTTCTTCTCACGCATTTGTCTTTCTAGTTCTCTGTACTCCTCCACCATCCTCTCCCACGCTTCAGTCTCCGCCTTAATCTGCCTCCTTCGCAACAAATTATACTTGCTCTTCTCAATTTCCTTAAACTCCAATTTCAACTCTCTGTTAGCTACATTATTGAGTCCTTTTGCAAAAAGCGAAGAAATCCAAGGTGGGTCCTGAATAAATATTCTCGGGCACGACGACTCTGGGGCCTGGACTTCATAAATTCTATTCACGACGGGGTTGTGTGGATTGAGTGGATTGTCAAGGTCGTCGATGAAATTATCGTGGACTGAATCCGATAAGGGACGAAACTGAATTGGGGTTGAGGGGGAAGTAATGGTCAAGGGAAAAGAAGAGGTGGAAGGGAGTGAAGATAATAGAGTGGAGGGATTGGGAATAGAAAGAAAGTGAAGGTTTTTGTGAGGTTTTCTTTCAACGTGGAGACCGGTTCTTGAGTAAGCATGAACCTCGGGGATTGAAAAGGAAGCTGCCAAGCTCATTGTGGAGCTATGGATTGCTGGGAGAGAGTGTGGAGAATCTGGGAGACATAGAAGTATCTGCAATTCTGCATAGACCGAGGATGAAACCTCGCTTAAACCTGCGCGCGGGCCGCGGAGGCCGCCCACATGATCTAACTTCAATTCGGAACTGGGTCTTGCCGTTATGTTCCATGTCAAGTATAATAATTTAAAAATATCATATCAATAATCAATAAATAATCTCGCAAGTTCATTAAGATTCAGCCCACCTGAGCCCAAGAGTTTTTTGGGCCCAAAAGGGGAAATGGATTATCCATATTTTAAAGAGCTGGGTTTAAATATTGTTTCATTTATGGGACATGTAATTAGCTCCTACTTAAAAAAAATAAATATAAAAAAGTCTCTTAAAATTATAAAATTATTTTAAAGTCTCAAGAAATTTTATTGTAATAAATTTTATTTGTTTAATTACCAAATTATCTTTTTTTTTTTAAGTTTGCATTGACAACTAAAAGAATAGTGGTTAACAACTTAAGGTACAAAAATTGACAACTATTACGACAGGTATTGACAACTTATGCATTACATTTTGTGATGTGCTGAGAAAATGTGTTGTTAATACTTGTCGCGATAGCTGTGTCAATCCTTACACATTAAGTTGTTAATGACTGCTCTTTCAATTGTCAATACAAATTTAAAAAAAATAATAAAGGCAATTTGATAATTAAACAAATAAAATTTATTGTAAAAAAATCCCTTGGGATTTCAGAATAATTTCATATTTTAAAGAACTTTTTTTTAATTTAATTTCCTTGGATATGACCTAATTGTAATTTTTCCTTCATTTATTTAGGAATACAATCATTTTGAGTTTTTCTTTATCGATATCCATAATCAACACAAATATAAAATCCTTATTAAATCGTATTATTCATGGTGTAACTAAATTTATTTAATTTTAACTAAAAAGGTGTGCAGATGCTTATATAATAAGCATGTTTTAATTAATAAGCGTTGGTTTAATGGCTTTAGTAGCAGATATGATTGCTTAAACACATAACATTGAGTTCTTTTTTTTTTTTTTGGACTCAACATACCATTGAGTTCAAATTGGGTGAATATAAAAGACGTGTACTTTCACTTACTTCTAACAATGCCTGAACTAATCTGATCATATTGCATATCAAATACTATATTAAAAACAATATAAATTAAAGAGAAATCAATCAACAATCACTTAGCAGGCATATTCACAATTCAGACCCAAAACATTTTAAAATTTTATACAAAATTAAGGGATGTCATATCTTTAGCTTCTGTTTGGTATGAAGTATCGAGATTGAAAATGATAAGTGAAAATTAGGATTGGGGTTGAAAAAACCAGAGAGAGAAAAAAAAAAACTAGTCAAGGGGTGAAAACTATAGCAGTATTGAGAGATTCAGATTTAAAAATCTCCAGACCCATCATCTTATTTAGTGCCCATTTTGCTAGCGCGTCGGCCTGTTGATGGCTTGTGACTCAACTTGCCATTCTTTACCTAACATACTTTTAATCTCAGAGAGAACGCCTTTGTCATCCTGAGACGTTGATATTTCCATTTTAATCAGTTGTGTTGCCTCGCCGGAATCATTTCTAAGGGTGATTGGACATATACTCTTCTGGTTCTTAATATAAGATCCATTTAACTAATTTAATTATATTAAAGAAGTTAGGTAAGTTAGTTAATTATAAGAAAAGTGAAATATTTTTCCTAAAACACCATAATCATCTTTCTTAATACTCCCTCTCTCTTTTCTACTTGATTATGGTTGAGGGAATATCCATAGAGGTAATTTAGAGAAAATTGATAAATATGAAAAATTGGTCTTATATTTAAAATCAAAACTAACTCAAGAATTAGGTTTTCTATTAAGAACTGGAGGAGTATATGGATTAGGAAATTCCATCTCCACCCATGATCCAATGAAATTTTAAAATAATTTTGAGCTCTTTCATTAAGGGAGTGTTTGGCAACCTTCAAACTATGGTTTCAGAAGCACTTTTCCGCAAAACAAGACAAATTCCTCCACATATTTACTTCGTAAATCATAAAAACACTTTTGAAATCATGATTTGGTTTCTATCCAAACATCTTCTAAAATTTTTCTTATAAAATACTCAAACTTGAAACACAGGAGGGGCGGTGGGTTGATGAACAGAAGTTAAAGTCTATGCAATGAATTGATTGATGATATTTACCCACACTTTCCCTCTTTTGTTTTGTGTACATCTGATCGGCAATAAACCAATGAGCATTTGCGGTGATCTTCAACGATGCGACACTTAATCTCCGTCCGTCCATCCGTCCATCCGTCATCACTTTCTACTTGACATCATCATTACTCAATTATATTAAAATAGTGCCCACGCACATCCCAGCCTCATCCGACAAGTTTACCAAAACCACTGTTGTTGCATTGTAAGATTTGTGGTTTCAAGTTTACAAATAAATTATATTTTACTCTTATCGTACAATTTATAAATTGCTATTAACATTTTTATACGAACTAAAAAAAATCTTAAATTAAATTAATTCTATTTTAAAATTTAATAATTTTTTAATTTTATCATAAAACCTTTTACGTGTTTTATAAATAGGATGAAAAGAGTATAATATAATTAGAATGAATAATTGGCAATTTCACATATTTTTTTCTCATTCTATTTTTAAGTCACAGATTTAAGTATGTAATTATAATTTAGTGTCTAAACATGTCGAATTGTTTGAGTGTAAAAAATAATAAAAAATTAATAAGCGTGTCTTATGCAGTGTTGATGATTTTCTTTGCTAATAGCACACACCACGCACTAATTCCTACATAGTACAAAACCTAAATATTAAAGGGGAAATTTCACTGTAGGACCGCAGAAGGCAAATAATTTCAAAGAGCCCTCAAAACTTTCTGAAACCTCACTGCAGGACCAAGGGACCAATCTGATATTAATTTTTAGAGTGAGATTACAATAATACCCCTCCCTTTTTATTTTATTAAAAAATAAATATTTACCGGAGTTACTGTTCCGGCCACCGGAGGTCGGAGGTCCGGCCACCGGGGCTCAGGTGGCCGCCGTCGGGGTCCGGTCACCGGTGGCCGGAACAGTAACTCCGGCGGGAGTTCCGGTGGCCGAAGTTTTTTTGTTTAAAACAAAGTGGCCAAGGGAGGGTTTGAACCCAGGTCCCCTTGGCACACCAAAAGACTTGTAACCACCAAGCCAAGCAACCCATTCAATCATAAAATGCAAATAAAACTACATATAACAAAATAAACGCAACAGTCCAAATGTAAGTAAACAAGTGAAATTAGACGATTTACAAGTGAAATTCAGAAATTTGCAACAAAAGTTAGGCAATTTACAAATAACATAATAGAAGTCATAATCCAAAATGCAAGTGTTTAAGTGCAAATGAGCAAGTAAAATTTGAAGATTTACAATAAAAGTTTATGGATTTACAACCCAAATTTGGTAAATACAAGAGAATTCACAGCCCAAAATGTAAGTGTTTGAGTGTAAGTGAGCAAGTGAAATTAGATGATTTACAAGTGGAATTCAGCAATTTACAACAAAAATTAGACAATTTACAAATAACATAATAGAAGTCATAACCCAAATGCAAGTGTTTAAGTGCAAATGAGCAAGTGAAATTTGAAGATTTACAATAAAAGTTTATGGATTTACAACCCAAATTTGGCAAACACAAGAGAATTCACAACCCAAAATGTAAGTGTTTGAGTGTAAGTGAACAAGTGAAATTAAACGATTTACAAGTGTAATTCAGCAATTTACAACAAAAATTAGACAATTTACAAATAACATAATAGAAGTCATAACCCCAAATGCAAGTGTTTAAGTGCAAATGAGCAAGTGAAATTTGAAGATTTACAATAAAATTTTATGAATTTACAACCCAAATTTGGTAAACACAAGAGAATTCACAACCCAAAATGTAAGTGTTTGAATGTAAGTGAACAAGTGAAATTAGACGATTTACAAGTGGAATTTAGAAATTTACAACAAAAATTAGGCAATTTACAAATAACATAATAGAAGTCATAACCCCAAATGCAAGTGTTTAAGTGCAAATGAACAAGTGAAATTGTCGAATTTCACTTGTAACTCTATAAACTTTTGTTGTAAATCTTCAAATTTTATTTGCTCATTTACACTTAAACACTTGTATTTGGGATTATGAGTTCCATTATGTTATTTGTAAATTGCCTAATTTTTGTTGTAAATTGCTGAATTCCACTTGTAAATCATCTAATTTCACTTGCTCACTTACACTCAAACACTTACATTTTGGGCTGTGAATTCTCTTGTGTTTACCAAATTTGGGTTGTAAATCCATAAACTTTTATTGTAAATCTTCAAATTTTACTTGCTCATTTGCACTTAAACACTTGCATTTTGGATTATGACTTCTATTATGTTATTTGTAAATTGCCTAACTTTTGTTGCAAATTTCTGAATTTCACTTGTAAATCGTCTAATTTCACTTGTTTACTTACATTTGGACTGTTGCGTTTATTTTGTTATATGTAGTTTTATTTGCATTTTATGATTGAATGGGTTGCTTGGCTTGGTGGTTACAAGTCTTTTGGTGTGCCAAGGGGTCCTGGGTTCAAACCCTCCCTTGGCCACTTTGTTTTAAACAAAAAAACTCCGGCCACCGGAAGTCCCGCCGGAGTTACTGTTCCGGCCACCGGTGACCGGACCCCGACGGCGGCCACCTGAGCGCCGGTGGCCGGACCTCCGACTTCCGGTGGCCGGAACAGTAACTCCGGTAAATATTTATTTTTTAATAAAATAAAAAGGGAGGGGTATTATTGTAATCTCACTCTAAAAATTAATATCAGATTGGTCCCTTGGTCCTGCAGTGAGGTTTCAGAAAGTTTTGAGGGCTCTTTGATATTAATTGTCTTCTGCGGTCCTACAGTGAAATTTTCCCAATATTAAATATGCTGACGTGTTCGCCACTATTGGCAAACGTTCAGTGACGTGGTGCATGCGTCTGATGTTAAATCGTCCACGTGTTCACTCCAGATACGTCACCTCCAAAGTCATGCCATTGGCGCCAAACGCTCGTCGTCTACTTCAACGGCAGTTAGGCATGTCCTTCATATTTTCCTTCCACTTCAGATTTTCCCCCCCACTTACATAGCCTTCAAATTCTCTCATGGTCGTCATGGCTCCTCATTTCAGCTCACATTGAACTTCGAACTTCGAACTTCGAGCTCTTCTTTCACTATTTCTCAATGTTTCTATTCTTCTATCTTGTCATTTTTCGCTTTGGTGGGGTTGCCGGTGGGGAAGAAAATGCTCGCGAAGTGACTGATGGAATTTCACTAAGAAATTTCATGTCAGGGATTGTTTCAGACCCAGAAAACTCTCTAGCTAGTTGGAGATCTCCTGGGGTTCCGTTTTGTAATTGGTCTGGAATTGTATGTAACAATGTGAGTGGGGAAGTTACAGGGATTCATCTTGGAAGGAGGTCACTAGGGGGTATAATTTCCCCTGCTCTTGGTAACCTCTCTGCTTTGAAAGTTCTTGATCTTTCTGAAAACTTTTTTGTGGGTCATATCCCAAAAGAGTTGGGGTGCTTAGTTCAGCTTGAAAAGCTCAGTCTGTATTGGAATCTTCTAGATGGGACGATCCCTTTAGAGCTGGGTTCACTTCACCGCTTACGCCACTTAGACATAGGAAGTAATATGCTTGAGGGGATGATTCCACCTTCATTGTTCTGCAATTTGTCATCCTCACTGACAGATTTAGACCTATCTAACAATTCACTAGTTGGACAAATCCCCTTGAATAATGAGTGTGTGCTTTATGAGCTTAAGTATCTCTTAGTCTGGTCTAACCATCTTGTGGGACAAGTTCCTCTAGCTCTTTCAAACTCCACAAAGCTCAAATGGATTGATTTGGGATCGAACATGTTTAGTGGTGAGCTACCATCAAAGATTATAGGTAATTGGCCACATTTACAATATTTCTACTTATCCTCCAATGACTTTGTTGGCCATAATGGCAATATCAATCTTGAACCATTCTTTGCCTCCTTAGTTAATTTGACCAAACTTCAAGTGCTTGAACTGGATGGAAACTATCTTGGGGGGAGGCTACCTCGTATAATTGGAGATCTTCCAACATCATTGATACAGCTTCATCTTGAGGACAATCTCATATATGGTTCCATTCCCTCACACATTGCCAACCTTGTCAGTCTAACTCTATTAAACTTGTCCAATAACCAACTAAATGGATCAATCCCTCCAAACCTATCCCTGATGAGTAAGCTTGAGAGAGTTTTTTTGTCCAATAATTCATTATCTGGTGAGATTCCTCCAACCATTGGTCATATTCAGCATCTGGGTCTGTTAGATTTGTCAAGAAACAAGATTTCTGGTTCAATACCAGATAATTTTGCCAATCTTTCCCAGTTAAGAAGGCTTTCACTTTATGATAACCAGCTTTCTGGAACAATACCACCAAGCCTTGGAAAGTGTGTCAATTTGGAGATTTTAGACCTATCTCACAACAAGATTTCTGGGGTGATTCCTACAGAAGTTGCAGCCTTAACTAACTTGAAATTATACTTGAATTTGTCAAGCAATAACTTAGATGGGCCTCTGCCATTAGAGCTCAGCAAAATGGACATGGTTCTAGCGATCGATCTATCTATGAACAACCTCTCCGGTAGAATCCCACCACAGTTTGAAAGTTGCATAGCACTTGAGTATCTTAACCTTTCAGGTAATTCTTTAGAAGGCCCTCTTCCATATTCTTTAGGCCAATTGCCTTACATTCAAGCACTAGACGTGTCTTTGAATCAATTGACTGGGGAGATACCTCAATCCCTTCAGCTGTCTTCTACTCTCAAAGAACTCAATTTCTCTTTCAACAAATTCTCAGGGAGCGTCTCAATTGGGGGAGCATTTTCGTCTCTCACCATAGACTCTTTTCGAGCAAATGATGGCCTTTGTGGCTCAGTAAAAGGCTTGCCTAGCTGCCATAAGAAGCAGAGCCATCATTTGATTCTCATGTCAATTCTTGTGTTACTCTTTGGCACCCCCATGTTCTGCATGTTTAGGCTCAATTCAGGAGTCCAAAAGAAACTAGCCATTGCTAGCGTGGGAAACTCGGAACGCGAAGAGGATAGAAAAGAGCTCAGTTACCCAAGAATTTCACATAAACAACTTGTTGAAGCCACTGGGGGCTTCAATGCTTCAAACTTGATTGGTTCAGGTCGGTTTGGAAAAGTCTATAAGGGAGTCCTCCAGGACAATACAAGAATAGCAGTGAAAGTATTAAATGCTACCACTGCTGGTGATATTTCAGGGAGCTTTAAAAGGGAATGCCAGATCCTAAAAAAGACTAGGCACAGAAACTTAATAAGGATCATCAAAATTTGCAATAAGCCGGAGTTTAAGGCTCTTGTTCTTCAACTAATGCCAAATGGTAGCCTCGAGAGGCACCTATATCCGAGCAGTGGTTTGAGCCGGAGGTTGGATCTTCCTCAGTTAGTGAGGATCTGCAGTGATGTAGCTGAGGGAATGGCTTATCTCCACCATTACTCTCCAGTTATAGTGGTTCATTGTGATCTTAAGCCAAGTAATATACTTCTTGATGATGATATGACAGCTCTGGTGACAGATTTTGGAATTTCAAGGCTTGTTAAATGTGATGAGGGCAACCCCTCCAATAACTCAACATCTTTCAGTTCGACACAAGGCTTGCTATTGGGCTCTATTGGCTACATAGCCCCTGGTATGTAATTCATTATCCAACTGCCTTTTTCTTTTTGGGGAAAAAATGTTATTATCATGATGTTAGCAGTACTTATCAGGAAGTTAAATTGTTGGAGTCACTAAGATGTGACTTATATGAGACATTACCTATGAATTATAATACCCTTGCTCACCATCAACCTTCTTTTCCCTGTTAATTGAGAGTGCCGTCCTAGAAAGCATGGATACAAGTATCCAAAGGTAGATGCAAAAACGTTGATTTAGCATGTCGTACGAGTGTCCAAGTCCAACACATGCCAAAATAAAAACATTTCCTCCTTTGAAGTTTCCATGTTTTATAATATAATTCAATTATTAGTATAAAGGTTTAACAGTGAAAAATGAGCAGGGGTTGAACTGAACTGATAAAAAAGACAGGATTAGTGTAGTTATTTAGTCTGTTACTGCAATTAAAGAGCAATTTTTTTTTTCTGCATTATAAGACATATTTATGAACTTAGTCTATGAAGCTCACTATCTTCTTCTCCCACCATGGGAATGAGACAGAGTATGGAATGGGAAAATATGCCTCAACTAAAGGTGATGTCTACAGTTTTGGAGTAGTTCTGCTAGAAATTGTGACAGGCAGGCCCCCCACAGATGTCCTTATCCATGAAGGTTCTAGCTTGCATGAATGGGTTAAGAGACAGTATCCACGCAAGCTTGAAGCCATTGTGAAACAAGCATTGGAAAGGCACTTTCCTTTAAGCCTCCCTTCAGAGCGACATAACAGAATCTGGCAAGATGTAATAATGGAACTCATAGAGCTGGGCCTTATCTGCACACAGAACAATCCTTCAAGGAGACCAAGCATGCTGGATGTAGCTCAAGAACTTGGGAGGTTGAAAGACTACTTGTCTAATCCATCACATCATATGACTGAAGAAGTCAATTGCAAGGGTGATATCCTTTCTACTGTGAAAGCATAGTGAATTTGAATTTGAATCCATTTTACTTCTTTCTCATTTCTGTATTGAAGCAGTTTTGAAGATGAAATTGAAAATGAGTAAAATAAAGGGATTGTGATAATAAGCAATGTATCATTTCTTTGCTTTCCCCATCTTTCTCTTTATCCTTAAAATGCATACCCCATGGGTGAACTTTGTATTCCTTAGTTGGGATTATTGATCTTATTTGATTCCTAATCACAATTAGGATTTCCCTACTCAAAGATCATATCATTCCTAGGGATTTCCCCACTCAAAGATCATATCATTCCTAATCACATATATTGCGGCATTTTGATTTAGCAATTAGGACTCTTATCTGCGTAGGACAGTTTTTCCCCCTCCTTTTCAAATATGTATTGAAATGATTGTGTTAGTATTTGAAAAACAAAATGACTATTTCAGTTGGTCAGCTCAAGCGCTTGTCTTGTTTAGATTATTGCTCGGATTTGCTTAGGCTTTTTTAATATCACTCCCAAATCTCAAGGCACTACTTTCTTCTTCAGTGTCCCCCATACTGTGTGGATTGTACTTAACCCATTCTTTGCCATCTCCTCTCTTTTTACTCAAATGCCTTCCACTATTAAAGTGGACCTCTTATCTCTCTTTATGCCTACCTTATAAAATTGTGCGTGTGAAGCATAGTGGAAGTTGATGATAACACCATTATCACCTTTTTATATATATACACGATCCATTTCGTGAAGCACGACATAGAATCTATTCTTCTTCTTTTTTTTTAAAAAAAAAAATTGCCGAGCAAATTGTAATAATCTGTTGTTGACCTTGTGGTTAAGGTAATGCAAATATAAAATACAATCTGCATCTTAAATTTGATTATAAGCTCCCCCATCCCTTTCCCTTTTTTTTGGCTAATTAATAAAATTTATGATCATTCAAGAACTTGTATAGAATAATAATTACGCTAAAAATTTAAAAAAAATCAACTTGGATTATTTTTTAAAATTATCGTTATCATTAAGATTATCCTTGCAATATCAAGAATGTCAATGCGTTGTAAGAGAAATTTGTAGTGATTTTATTTAATGTCAACTTGCTTATCGGCCAAACTCTCCGATTACATTTGTTATTTTGTTATTATTAGTCGTTAAAATGTGTAGATGTATTTACCTATAAAAATTTGTAAACTTTTGTATAAGCTCTTGTGATGTAAACTAAAATTTGTAAATTTTGATATGGATACATGTTATTTTGCTATTGTTGGGCGTTGACATGTGTGTATTCACTTGTAAATTTACTTATAAAATATAGACGCTTATATTTTGTTATTATTAATTGTTAAATTGTGTGTGTATATATATACACACACTTATAAATTTACTTATGAACTTAATCTAATGAATATAAGTAACTTGAATTAAGTTTTATCCTTTATTATTTCACATGAATATTTAGACAAATCTTTTCCTAATTAGTGAGACTAGCTATTCTATGTGTTGTGTAGGTAAGTTTCATAAGAGGTATAAGCCACCATTTGATTTAAAATTTAAAGAGTCATCCACTCATCCCCATGGATGAATTGATAATAAAATAATTATTTTATTCATTCTTTTTCAAAAAAAAATTATCCATTTCTAGTTCTGTTTAAAACTTGCATTTCATTGTTCTTAAGGAGAACCAATAAAAAAAGTTTAAAATTAATAAATTTTAAAATAAAATTTCTATAAAAATATATTATTATTTGCAAGTCTAGTGTTAAAACCTGTTAAAATATTGTTATTAAATCTGATTTGAAATTCAGTAATTTTTAAGTTTTTTGTTTTTCAGTTTTCCATTCCTCTTATGTCCATCTTCCCCCTAATTTTCGTACAGGAAGCTACTTTCCAATTGAATATAGGAAAGAGTGTCGTGTGTGAGTGGTCATTCCTCACATAGTCACTTGTTAATTTCTTATTCACATCTGATCCACGTCAGATTGCACTGTAAATTTGGTTTATGATGGAACAATTTTGGTATAATTGTGCCTTGCAAGCCAGAACTTTCCTGCCAGTCGAATGAAAATTGGTCGCCTTTGCCGTTTTCGTATTGGTCAACCAGTTGATACACCTATCCTTTCTTCCTTTTCAACTCCCCACTTTTCTCTTCGGGAGGGTGCCAAAAAAATATCTGTTGAATTTTAAAGTGATAAAGTAGTACGTGCTAATAATTATTTTTATAATAGTTTTAACTAATTTTTTTAATGATTTTGACATTTATTTCTTGTTATTTTCTCTCTTTCCCTTTTTGTCATTTTGCTGATGGGTATTGTATAATTGATAGGATACGGAATCATAACTAATTAGGATTTTTTTAAAAAAATTTAGAATGCAATAATGATAAAAATTCAAAATTCAAAAATTAAAATAAACATAAATAAAAATGATTCAGTGTCATAAATGAACAAGGTAATTCTTTCCAGATTTGAGGGATAATTTTTATTTTTTATTTTTTGCCAACATTGAGGGATGCATTCAAATTACGGAGGGGTGCTTTTGTGCTGTCTTGCATTTAAAACGTACAAGACTGCATATTTTCCTATAAAAGAGAAGAACTATATTTTTTTAACTTTGCTTTTTTACAAATCAGGTAGGAAAGTTGGCAAAAACAGTAAGAAAGCTTGCAGAATAAGTAACATTTCTTGTGGATTTTAAAGGTTTTTAATGTAAAATCCTTATGCACTTTGGATGAGTTTTAGAATTTTTACCAAATTGATGTAACCTGTAAATGTTAACCATACCACATTTATGAATCGAACAGAGTGTCAAAACCTCTATTTTATTATGTTAATACAAAAAAAACTGTGGCATTTGGTTTTTCGAGCCAAAAGAACTGATGCTTCGTTTCCCTTTTCAAAACTTCTTCGTTTTGTCATGCAAAATGGGTTCATCTGAGGAAGAAAAGACAGAAACTCAGAATTTTTGCTGCCATTCCAGTATTAGGCATGGAATTGAAAGCCTTCCAACTCGTGTTACTGTGCTGTACTTGCTCTGATAATGGAAAGCCAGAATAATGAATTGTTAAAAATAAATCAATGATGGGAAAAGAAGTAGACCAGTTGCCTTTCTGAGAATTTTCACATCAAAACTAAAACAAGAATATTCGAATTATAAATTTAGTCAAACGAATCGAACAAATCAAACGTTTGCAATATCTTTAATACTAATAAGAATTAACATCTTCCCTCTTTTCCAGTAAATACAAGCTCTCCGTGTGATAACAAATGGAAACACTGTTTTCTACGGCTTTCATTAAAGCATAAGTTGAAGTTATTGGATTGTACCTACGAATCTCTCCACCTCCCATGTCTAGGATGAGGTCACCATTCTTCCTTGCACCTAATATGTAATCATCATTTATCTTTGTCGTGTTTGAGAAAATGTTTGTCCATGACTCATAATTACCATATTGTCTCATAATCCAAATAGAAAAAAAGATAGATATATTTTCATCATCTTCATCTTCATCTTCAACTTCATCTTCCATAACTTGCACCTCTTGTACCAATAGAAGTGAGTCTCCCGTTGTCACGATAGAATTCAAACAATAAGAAAGTGCGCCATCAGGTAATAATATTTGTCCAAACACTTCATGTGTTAGATCAAATGTAAGTATAAATTCATATCCATATCCATTATCTTCTTTGTGTCGGGCAATCCAATGAAGCACACCATTAAAGAGAACATGTGAAGAGTCAGGCACAATGAACCATGAAGGAGGGATGCCACATGTGAGACTCTTCCACGACCACGTAGCATATTAGAAAATCCAAGCTGAGTCAAACTTAGTAGCAACCTTAAACTCATTAATGTAACGATAAACAATGCTGACAACCTTAAAGTCATTGCTACTACGATCAAAACCAAAACCTACATGAGGTGGTGTTACATCCCAAGTCATAGGGAGGGGAAGACATGCATATTTTCGAATAGTAAGATTCAAAAGAATGATTTTGAAAGGTAGTTCACTCTTGGCAAGACATACTAACCCATTGCTTACATCTATGACTTCAGTGCCTTTAAAATCATCAATGGCAGGACTCTCCAATGTACGAAACAAATTGAATTGATCATTATCCCAATGCAATGAATACGTTGCTGGCCATTGATGACAATACCGAGAATGCATATATTGTGTTCCTACAGTTAACATGCTCTTCTCTCTGTTCTTTTTGCAAGAACAGACTTTAACAAGGAGAATTTGGTCTTCAGAATCAAAACTTCGGTCCGAGCTGCGAGATACAAAATCAAGACTACTAACAAGGATATTCCAGTCTCTGCAGACAAAGATGCGTTGAAATAGGGTGTGGGTGTCTAATCTGAGTAAAATTTCTTCAAAAACATGGAGAGGAATAAAAGGAATAATGTTGCCATTTAAAGTTGCAGCGTGTTTGTGACACAGTTTTGCATCCATGGAAGGCATCATGAGCACGACAACGTTGATAGCAAGAAAAGAAAATATAGAATAACAATATCAAATATCAATGGTTAATGAGATTGATGAGTCTTAGGATGAGGCGTATATAGGATTTAGGGTTCATGGAGGGTTAAGTTTGCGGTTGGGCTAGGTATTATAGTATATAGTTAGGCTAAAGTATATATTTGGTCCTCTAACTTTATGTAAGGTTTCAATTTAGTCCTTTAACTTTAAAAAGTATATTTTTAGTCCTTTAACTTTAAAATTGTTAGTTTTAAATGATAATTTTTTGTAATAATCATGATTGTTTTGAAATTAAACTTAATATGTTAACATTTGGTAATGTTTTATCAACATTGAAGAGCTTAATATTATCATTTTTTGTTCACGGTTGTAGGGTTAGAGGACTAAAAGTTTACTTTTTAAAGTTAAGGGATCAAAATAAAGCCTTGTGTAAAAATAAAGGACTAAAAGTATACTTTAACTTATATAATTATTACTATTAATGCATATTAATTAATTTTATATTTGTGTCACTTTGAATTTCAACTGAAGCGATCTTTTTTATCAAATATTTTTTTAAAATGATCAAATTTCAACTAACATGCGAAAAGGAATCAATATATTTTTATAAATAAACATTTTTTGCGATAACTATGTTTAGTATATTCTGTCTTTTATCTGTTAGTAACATTAGTAATTCTATTTTATTGGTTTTTTATTATTAAAATATCAATTTCTTACTAAAAATATCATTATTAAAAAAATATGTTTATGATAAATATAAACATTTTTCTTTCAAAGAAATAAGCGAGATCTTATCATGTCACCTAATATATCTCTGATATAATTTTCAAAAGTATATCATCTATCATATCTTCTATTAGTTTATATCTTATGACTTATATACAATATGTTGCAAAATCATATTATATAATTTTTGCTTTAAGTTTTGGTTTTTTTTTTGGAGAACTAAAGTTTTATTTTTCAATAAAGTGAAGCAAATCAATGTTAAAGTTTAAAGAAATCATTTCAAATTAATTTTAAATTTTTTGGTTTAGTTAATAAATTTATCTCCCTGGTTTCAAGCGCCTAAAAAGATGAATGATAATTTTGAATTTTATAATAAAAGTGCACATATATGCACCAAATAATCTGAACTTTTGTTGGCCAACATATTATATAGATCAACGTAATTTTTTAATTATCTTATCAACTCGTATCATTGCAATTTGCGTTGATATTTGATTAACAAACTAAAATAAATTATTTAAATTAACATTAAATCTTTAAAATCTGTGGATTTTTGGATTAATTTAAATTAATTAATCAGAATATCGATTTCTTAAATATAAAAATTTATTAAAAAATTTATCAATATTAAGAATGAATTTGTCAATTACACTATTCATAATATAGAATTCAAAACCTTAAATAAAGAACTATAATAACTCAACATAATCACCATCAATATTTTCAGCTAGCATCACATCACTGATTACAACCGAACAATAAATTAGACTCATTAATTAGTCAGACCCGAGTCTATAAATAATTAAAAAGAATTTAATTTTGGATTTATCACAAGTTAACCATAGATTAAAAAAAAGTAGATTTTGAATAAAATCTTTTGAATAATTTGTGTTTAAATTTTAGATTTTGATACTGAGATATACATAATCTCTCTAAACTTTAGATTAGCCACTGATCTTCTCCCAAATAATGCATGCCCCTTGATATGCATAGATGAGCACATGAAATTAGGGTGGCAATTTTTAATTATGTAACAATTTTTTGACAAATTTTAATTACAACAGAATCAATCCTAATGAACAAACAAATCTGTTAAAACTAAACCACTATCTTCAATCCTTAAGATTAATAAAGTTATCAAATTACTTAATTATAACATATTTTACATGATCTTCTAAAAATAATTATGTAGATCATTAGATTATACATCAAATCGTAAGTGAGACAAATTAATTTAAAAATAATAAATATAAATACTTTAATATAATTTAACAACTTTCTTAATTTTTTTCAAATTAATCAACTGGGTTTCAGAAATTAGAAGTAGTATTATTTATCAAAAAGAAGGGGGGAAGAGAGAGAGAGAGAGAGATGGCAATTGGTTGCTTTCTGGCTCAATGACATTAAGCACTTCTTTTAAATTTCCTTTAAACGCAAAATTGCTTGTTTGACCCTTGGCGAGCATGATAAATGCCTGAATTTTTTTCTCGGATAAGAGATGAACAAACAACAACAATGGGAAATCACAAATAATCAGTTAGATTCATGCACCATTTTAATTAATATCTCAGCACAGGTAGGTATTTAAGCACATTATAAAAAAACTAGCATGCTCCATGATATGCCAATGCCATCATTACAAACGACATAAACTGGATTTACATTCATACATCCTATTATTAGGAGCTGTTGTGAACGACATATCGGTTGGTGAGCTTTAGAGCATATTTTTGGTCAGTCAAATCACACGATATATTTTTTTTTAACGGTGAGTTCCGTGTGGGTGATCGTTTTGAGTTTTAAAGTTAATCAGTAAACCCTTCAGTCCTTAAGTATAAAATTTAGTTTAAAATTTTGTTTTGGTCCCAAAATAGCATGCTCTTTCCTGTCCTTTTTATAAGATCTCAAAAATCGAATTGATTTAATCCTTTTTATAAGATTGTGCTTAGGGTTGTCTATACATTAAATACATGTTTATTATTTTTAACTAATTTTAATTATTTTCTTAAACAACAATTTAATTAAAATGATCTTATAAAAAAAGACTGAAGAGAGCATAATCTCAATATTCTTATCTCTTCACTTAATATTTTTTAAAAGTATCTTAATTAATTTCATCATTTTTCTCATTCGCTTTGCATCTCCCATATTCAATACCCTTGGTTTGGTTATTATTGTTAAATAATTATGGTATAAAGTGGGATTAAGAGAAATAAATAACACTGAATTATAATTTATTGCATTTAGACAACAAGCGGATCACTAGCAGATGCCTATGATGGTTCGTTCATAAGAAAATGTGATTCAAAAGGCTGTTTCACGAGTTTACTGTGTTGTTATGTCTTGTGCCATTTAAGATATAGTGCCTGACAGTATCTCAAATAAAATTGTCTCTAATAGGAGGACATCCATGTGTAGCTAAAAAAAAAAAAATAGTTCTACAATTATTATGTCTGTGTTTAGTGGGTTCAATTATACGAACTTTTGCAGTAACATGAGGCCACCATCTAATATTTCTGCTGCCAATGAGATTAGGAATTCAAGATTCAAAATTACATAAATGAATGTTCTCACCTCATTATATGGTGAGCGGAGCATCAGGATTCAAGAAGCTCTTCCATCCACAAGGTCAATCTCAGAGGGCAACACAGTAAAACACAGTTAACCCTGAAAGAGTGCCTAATGTACACAGTATGGAGTTCCAGCTCGGAATCCATTTTGTAGTCATCAAGTTCAATCAAAAGATCTATACTCATTGGTCATACTTTTTTTTTTTTTAACAAAAAATTCATAAAAAAAGAAAAAGAACAATCCTCTCCGTAGACAAAGGGCATATGCCTCAAATAATGAATCCAGCATCTTGGCTGTCTGAGATGGTGCTCCTGTAATCAATTAGAGCCAAAAATGCAGCATTGCCTGTTCAAGTATTCATAGAAATTTTCTATCATCAAATTCTTGAAACAACTAGGAAACAAAGCATGAATGATCCAAGATTTCAGGTAAAGCAACAGTCCCAAATTAACCCATTCCCAAATTAATTTGTGGGTTAGTTTAGGTCATACCCCATAGGTTAGTTGATTTGCCCAGTCCAATGGGGAGTCTGTACGTAATACGAGACCGAATGAATCAAATTGGAACTCTAAGGGGGCGTTTGGATACCAAGTCGTCCTTTTAAAAAGTCGGTTACCCAATAGCTCGTCTTAGTAGATTTTTTTTTTTTTTGAAGCCCAATCACAAAATTTAAGAGTCACGGAAAAGTAAGTTTGACAAATACAAGTTAGAGCTACTTCTGCCGGTTTGAAACTTTTACCATTTGAAAACCACACAGGTTAAGTTGTAAACATATGAACCTTTAAAGCTTAGTAGGCTTGGGTTGAACTGCGGTTCAATACTCTATTCAGTCTGGGCTCAAGCCCACAAGCAAATATATTCATCAATATCATTCATTTACACGCAGCAGCAGCAGCAGCAGCAAGAAATTTCTTTTTCCTCTGATGAAATATAAAAGGAAAAATCTCTAAATATATCTTACCTCTTGGAGACGAGCAAAGGACACATCATCCTTAGGTGTGGCTTTTTTGGTTTTCCAACTTCTAATCTCTGACTGTATTAATCTGAGTTGACTATGTATTTCTTTCAACAACCTCAATTGTTCGCTCTCATTCTCTTCAGGTTCAATCTCTTCCCTTACACTAGTTCTCTCCCTCTCCAACCTCTCAATTCTCTGATACAGCTTCTGGAGCTCAGCTTGAGTATTGCAATCTGCATTCGTCGCTTCTTCCTTCTGGTCAGTCACATTCACATCATCTTTTGCACTGGTTATTTGGATGTCATTGTTTGTGCCAAGCCTGCTATCAAGACTGTCTGGTTTATGCTGAACAACTGATTCAACTGTTCCCCCAAATACTGAGTCTGGTATTGTTACTCTGTTCCCTGCTTCTGCATTCAATTTCGCAAGTGCCCTTTTCCAACATTCTCTAACTTTGAGATTCTCATGAGGTTGTGGGATGTCAAAAACATCATAGAAGTTACTAACCAAGCTAGTAGAAGATACTGTGTCTGGTTGATCACATGTTATCCTGCTTCCCTGTGAAAATGTTGAACATGAGTTCCATCTTCTGTTCTCCAAATTTACAGCTTTCCCCTCTTCACACTGTTTCATATTTGACATCACTTTCACTTTTTCATCTAGCCTTTTGATCTGATTCCAGTAAGAATTAAGGGTTCCATTTCCATATGCGATGTCTCCTGATTTGCTAGCCGAATCCAAGCTTTGTGCTGTACCTTCCTGCTCAGCGATCTGCTCCATTTTTGTATCTAAAACAAGACTAGGTGATCTTGCCATTTTAAGATTGGCTCTTAGAGAGTTCTTAAAAGGGATTGGCGGCAATGAGCTTAGCCTTCTCAGGTTACTACTTTGACTGGTTTCTCCATTCTGTTCTGGCAAGTCAAGTTCAATTGTATTCAGATCACATCCCAAGCTCACAAGCTTGCGTTTATAAGCCTGAACTTGAAACTCCAGAGACGCCATTTCCATGTCCTTCTGATTCATGAGCTCTTCAAAGAATTCAAGAGCGGCTTCAGCATGGCCTATCTTCTCCTCTGCCATTCTTTTATAGTGATTTGCTTCCATCTTCACTGCAGCCTTTTCTCCTTGCAAACGAAGGATCATATCCAGAGCTTCACTGGCTGCAGTGGCTGATGCTTCTCGTTCCTGATCCAATTCTGCGTATAGATTCTGCAAAAGTTGTTGTTGGGCACAAAGTGTCTCCTTCAAGGCTTTAATATCAACTTCAGCCATCCCAGATGATATACCAGTCTCTGTCATGCTTTTTCAGTTTAAATCCAGAAACAGTCCCCCAGTCCTGGACATAAAAAAGCAATTTTTGTTTCAGTCTTGAGATTCTCACTACCCACCTAAAATCCTCAATGGCAAGATATATATATATATATATAGAGAGAGAGAGAGAGTGAGAGAGAGAATGTGTGTGTGTGGGAGTAAAAATAGTAGGAAGTGTATGGAGGATACAATGTACCAATAAGACAGGAATTTAAGACGGTCTAGTTTGACCCTGTAATAAAAAAAAATAAAACTGGTTTCTAAAATGTATTGTTCATTGATTCTCACAACTTTCTTAAAAGATGTCACCCAAAATGATGTGGTTTTTCTTGAGGTTTTAGAAAATACCACACCATGTGGATGTGAGACAACCGACATCTCACGTCTTGCTCATCAAAGTACGAAAACAACTAAAATCCATAACTTCGCAAGCCTCCCGAGAGTCTCACGCCCACGCAAAATACCGTTAAGCCTTTCTAGTTGAAGTCTATATTTCGATAAATAAATAAACAAATACACCAAATCAACACGGTGAACCTAATACACATAAATCTTAAAATGACTTCCTTTTTTTTTTCCCCCGGGCGTCCCGGGTGTGCATGGGCTGGGGGTCCACTACATGTGCTGTGGCTCGGAGACAGATAAATGATCTTACCTTTACGAAAACTTTGGGAAGAAGCGAAAAAAAAAAAAATTGTGTGATCAGGTTTAAAAATTTCAGAAAACAGTAAGCGAGGAGGAATAACTTTTACAACGATCGCCTCGAGAGGAAAGGGAAGTCTCTGGTGATCGGAGACAGATATAGTATTCCTTGACGCAGATAAAACCCATGGGAAAAAAAATCAGCTACTGCAAAAATCAGAATAAATTGAAACTTGAAAGGAGTTTGCTCTTTAAGAAGCTCCAGCGAATCTGTTTGGTTCGCAAGAAAAGAAAGGAAAGCGGCGCAGAAAATGAGTTATGGTAATGATAGTGTACAGAGAAAGAATCATATAAACGAGGGGAAAAAAGACTGGAAACCGAATTTACCTTCGTCTAGGCGGATTCCGAAGACAAGGATACTTAACGTCTGAATTGTTTCCATTTTATCCATTTCCTTTTCAAGTCACCAGTCGTCTGGAAATTCGCTCAAAGTGCTTTGTCATTCACACCAAACGGGGACCCAGAAATGAAGATAAAGGCGACAAAAAAAAGTTCTGGTTGGAAAAATCCAAATAAGTACTGTGGGTTTTGTATCTCCATAAAAAACAAAACCGTATTTCGTTTCGTTCAAGATTTCAGCCTTTGCCTTAATTCTCAGGTTAAGGGATCGGTCACTGAGGCATTATTTCAAACAGCTGGTGTGTAAGGGTCGGACACAACCATGTTCTGCCGACCACTTGGTCAAATGACTCTCACAAGTCAAACTTCCACACATGGACGAAGAACCTTCCAGGTGATGATGAAGCAAACGATCATAGTGTCCTCCCTGGAGCCATGTGTTAGATCCTAGTTCTGCGAAATGCTGGGAGAAACGAATAAAGAAAACGAGAAATGGTGGCGATGGAAACGCTGATGACAGTTTCGCAAAACAAAACTATGTAATAATCCCAGAGTTAATATAGGAGTTACGGGAATATTTATAAAAAAATTACTAACTTTGATTCTTAATATTAGAACTAATTTAATTTTTAATTTAATTCTAAATATAAAATTTTAATTTATTTTGTTTTTACTATTTATTTTGGTCTCAAGTAATTCTTATAATAGTTACATAATTCAAACACACATAATTAATAAGAGTGTTTTAGGAAAGATAACATTTATTTGTTACAAATAACTAATCTAACTAAATTTTTTAATTTCTTCAAATTAGTCAACTAGTTCTTATATTAAATATTAGAGATAGTATAGTGTAATCATTGCTAATATATCATTACTAAATTAGCCTTTTATATTATGGGAATTATAAAATAACTAAATCTAAAATTGAGATGTTTTGAAATTTTTTGTAATCACTAAAAAATAAAATAACATTAGTTTTAATAAATAAATAAAAGCATGCCCGTATGAGATTCTTGTCTTTTTCTGATCAGCCGGGATAAATCAGGAGGGGTGCACCGGCTAACAAGTTATTAGTGTTCTTTTTAAATCTAATGCTTAATGATTTTAATGTTTCATACTTTGGTTGACATTTGAGGGCATGCATAGGCATAGTTTTATTACCTTCTGTTTACAGACACTGAATATTGTTTGCAGTTTTCCACTTTCTCTTTATTCTTATATGTAAAATATTTGATTAAATTTGGACGTAATATTTTATAAAATACGTTCTTTTATGTTCTTTTTAATGTAGTTTAAATTGTTTAAATCAAATTTTACCATTTAGACATGTTTCTTTTTTATTTAATATTTTAATAAACTATTGCACGTATATTAAATTTAAATTATTCAAGTTTAATCACATAATTAAGGAAGTGGAAGATGTGTCGAGGTTTGGGACGAAAATAGAGAAGCCATTCTCTCAACAGGGAAAATAATTTCATTTTTATGTGTACAAAACAAAATACATAATATGCAGAAAATATTCTTCTAATCAGACAAAAAATTTAATTTCGTCGAGTTTAAAATGGCAGAAAATATTCTCCCTCGTAAAATTCGAAGTTCTTCTTAATTTTCAACAAAATACACAGTATGCAGAAAATATTCTTCTAATCAAACTAAATCAGAATTCTGAGTTTGATGGCTACGTCGTATACTGGAGGATTTCAATGACAATTATTACTCTCATTCTAATCCAACTGAACCTCAACTTCCATCTTCAAACCTGAGTTGCCAAGGATCTGTTTACAGAAAACAATATATAAAATATCAAACAAGCACTATTCATACCAAATAAAGTATACATTCAAACATCAAGAATTGGTTTTCAACAAAAAGAGAGTTACAAACAGGTCCTTAATAAGAAAATTAATTTTTTTTGGGTGAACAGAAAATTAATTATTTACTCAGTTTCATTTACAAGTCCAATTTATATATTCAGATGTCAAGGTTTTGATATGACTTGTGGGTAACTAGTTATTTAGGAATTCTCATCCAAAAAGAAAATCATGCAGGAAGTCCTGGCCAAAATATATATACATATAATATCAAGCAGAAAGGAGGAGGATGAGCTCAATGCTGTGCTATAAACATAGTCAAGAATCCGATGTTATCCTTGTGCAGTGCTACAAATTATTATCCAGCAATTATACAATCAATCGTCAACCTCAAACCGTCATGAATGATAATATCAAGCCTACTGACAAAGATAAGCATCACTTTCGTGTTTTTTTATGAGTGCCAGAAGAAAATTTTGAAGTTGATTTAGCGCTTTAACTGGCTACCATCCATGGAAATGAGAGTGGAGGTATGCCGTTATTGTATACTGTGAACTTGAGAAGGAGCGATAATATAGATCAACAGATGGAAATCCCATTCAAGATCCTCAAAATCTTATTTCCTCGTGTTACTGCAAAGAATTCTGTCCGTGCACTAGCTTGCATTGGACAACTATTCAACAAAACTTTTTTATGCCTTTGATGATACAAACAAGCAAAATAACATGAGCACAACAGTAGTAAAAAGCCACGCAATAGGATACTAAAGGTAACACATTAATATATAGGTTGGAAAAAGGATTTAACTTGTGACAAATGTCAGTGTTGCAAGTCATGGTTAGGTGTTAATTGTTTTAATACCTTCTTGAAGTCAGACAAGACTAACAAAGAATCCTTTTCATAGCCTGCTTCCTCCAGGACTTGTGTCAGTACTTGCTGCATCAATTAAAGGAACCAAATGCAAAAGAGGTAATCAGAATCCGATCATAATCATCGTTATTGAACTTATTCAGTTGAAATGTAAATTGGTATCCTCCTAGAAATTTAATTCTCAACCTCATTTAAGAAATTTTCAAATGAGCTGATACACTTCAGGTATGTATTTTTCTATGTTAAAACTGCATTTATTTCTGTTCTTTTGTCGAGGTAATAAACAAAGACATGAAAACAACGTGTGACTCTCCTTGCTCTTTATTGATAAAGAGAAATGCCATTAGACCTAAAAGTTTCAGAATCTTAGAAAGGTAACCATGACCAAGCCTCCAAAGAAAGATTTACCACATTTTGAAGTTACATGCTGTCGTTTGCTTTTTGTTTTAGCTTGGCAGTATGCCAGTCCCTATTGTGGTCCCTAATCCTTTAGTCTTTATATATCCAGTTTTATTGGTACAATTTATCCCCTAATTAATCAACTTTAAGCACTCTTTCAGAGACAGAGAAGTGGGAAGTATATAAAGTTTCGGGTTTTCTTCTTCATGTCGTACAGGTTCAATAATAAACTGATTGATCAAAATAAGTAAACGGACAGAGTTCTTTTTCGAAAAGAAGCGCAAACACGTTTTTAAAGGATTAATGCGTTTCTTACATCAAAGAAGTGAAGAATAGGTCCAATAATTTTTCACCTCTCTCTGTTGTTCAGATATAAATTGTCCGGTCATATCCCGTAAAACGTCCAGCATGTCAGTGAATGAAACCTTTCCATTGCAGTCTGTATCGTATACCTTAAAAATAACTGAAAAAGAAAACAGCTCCCAGATTATAATTGAACAGTAGAAAGTATAATAATCAATCAATCGCCTATGTATTGGAAGGCACTTTTGTGGGTGTTAGAGATATTCATTACACTCAATTTTGTTTTCTAAGGTTGCACGAGGGCTGAATGCAGACAAGAAAGCCACGAATTCCTTGAAATTCAATCCATATAGCATTTTCAACAATCTCTGCGAAATTAATTTAACATGCCATTTGATTTCCATAATGTACCGAGAGAGAACAAAACAAAATGGACCATTAAATTCAAACCCACGTAAAGAAAAAGGGATTCAGATTTCAGAGAAAGAAACCTGGGAGAGAGGATTCACAGCGAATTCCGGAACAGACAGAAATTCATCAGCAGAAATGAACCCACACCTATTACGATCAAGCTGACAAAACCTCTGGTACAAAGAAACTATCTCCTGCTGATTGACTACACCGAAATCGAAATCAATTACCATGCTCAAGGAACAAAAAATTAAGCAAACCAAAGAAATAAGAGTTTCTGAGGGAAGCCGTAGAATGGTGAATTACATGTGTGGTTACAGTGTTCCTGAACCTCTTCAATGTCGTACTGGGTGAGCATGGAGGAGGAATTGCCCATGGTGGCTGTGGAGAAGAAGACAAGGACGAGCGAAGAGCAGTTATGAGAGCTCAACTACTGTATACGAGCAGGTCAAGAAAATAGCAAAAAACGCATGTAAATGCATTTTGGCAATTAATTGATTATTGATTACGATAGAAAGGTACACATTAAGTGGTTCTGTTAGAAATTTTATCCCTATAAAATTTTTTTAAGCTAATTTTTGCTTTTTTTTAAAAGAAAATGATGAAAAATCACTTGAATGTGTTCGTGGATATACCAAAAAAGCTATTGGAAGTATCAGTGAAGGGAGCAGATCAAATACCATGGAGCACCCTGAAAAGAATAGGAAAAAAAAGGATAAAATTGAACTTTTCAAATAACAATATGCATGTATATTTGATTGTTAACCAGTGTACAATTGCATTGTACTACTACTATCATATACCTAGGTGCTTTGTAATGTCAAACCATTAATATGACAATCTTTTCTTACAACTTTTGTGGATATGCTGATATTGTGAATTTGTGATTGATTGATTCTTCACATTGAATTGAGGGTGACATTAATTAATTTTGAATATGGTAGGTTGTGACGTGTCTCGATGGATAATGCAGGTGTGAACTTTGATTTGCTGTGCTTAAATTAATAGTCAAATCTTTTGATAACGTATTATCCGCTTCTAATCCAAAAAAGGTTTTGACAGATTTTTCTTGTCTTTACTAACCATGTGTGTTTTTCTATTAAAAATAATATGTTTGAGATACTATCGAGTACTAAATATGAATTTTTTTTAATGGAGATTCAAATCTTAATTTGATTAAATAGATTTTTTTTTGATAAAGCATAGGTATTTTTTTATTGGAATTAATCCTATTCAAGACACTGTTCGGTACTAAATGTAGACACCTTTTTCAGTAGAGATTTAAACCCTGATTCGTCATGTTATGAGAGACTAACCTTTTAAGCCAGATCCTCTTATTGGAGGGATGATAGATTTTTTTTTTTTGGTTCCTCACCCGGTTCACCAGAGCTCTGCCCTGATTAAGTCCGGATCCAACCCGCGTCACGTACCTGGGTATGGTGGGTGAGTCTCCCAGCAGGGGTTTTCTGCATCCATGAGAAATCGAACTCAAAACCTCACTTAAGCGAAACCGAACCGCTTACCACTCGGACCAATTCCTGTTGGTTGGAGGGATGATAGATTTGATTTAATTGAATATTGGAATATCACCTGGCCTCCATGCCATGGATACGGGTTATGGGCTAGTTGACCCAACTTGATAAGCCCATGCATGTCAAGTTATAGAAGCTTGTGGGCATGGATGGAAGATCCAATGTTTTTCTCCAATCATTTCATACAAACGCGTGAAAGTTGGATGAGCTTTTGGTGATTCGGGTTGATCTCCAAGTTTAAACAGCGCTTGCTAAAATACTTAGAAATTACGTAGGAAGAAAGTAATAATATTGCTAATGAATTTCACATTCGTATTTTTGATCAAGCATGAATCGTAATCTATTTTATATAAAAAAAAATTTGACTAAAATATATATTTGGTTTTTTAACTTTATCATTTATACAAGATTATAGTTTAATCTATTAATTTTAAAAAATATATTTTTAGTTATTTAACCTAATAATCGTTAGTTTGAAATGATGATATTTTGTAATAATCATAGTTGTTTTAAAAATTAAACTTAATATATTAGTATTTGAGAATATTTTTATCAATATTCAAAATTTTAATATCATTATTTTTTATTAATAATTTTAAAATTAAATAACTAAAAATATATTTTTTAAAATTAATAGACTAAACTGAAATTAAAAGATTCATTAAAAATTTAGATAAATTGGATTTCAAAGTATATGCATACCTCAATAGCCCGTATTGGAAGTTGGAACCGCCATGGCTTTTTCCGCGGTAAATTGTTAAGGAATAAAATGATTGATTAATAATTATCCCTTTTATTAATTTTTTTTTCCGGGAAAGTTCAGACGCGGGCATCTCACATCTGCACGCGCTCGTAAGGGAACGAAAGGGGAATTGACAAAGTCTGAGCTTGTGAAGAACCAGTAGCTGTGCGGAACCTGGCAGAGCAAGCTCTTCCTGAGAAGACGAAGGTTAGAATCATGTTCTTCGACATCTTCTCCACTTTCCTTTTCCTTTTGCTTTTCTATGGGCCTTGCCCATTTCAATTTATTCCTGTTTAGTTATTTTCACAAATCGAAGTTAATCGTCTCCATCAAGTTCCCTTTCTTCCGAAATTCTAGTTTTAAACAATAATGTTTGAAAAGTTCTTTTTATTCATGAGTTAAAATATTTTCACTATCTCGATTTTATTGTTTCGCTTTTTTGGATTGCAGGGCCGGTAAATTTTCCCCGCCAAGGAGGAGCATCGGAAGCGAGATAAATGGTAAGCGGCTATTCTAATCACATATTTCGGTCGCTTTCCTTCGAATCAAAGTTGTTTACGCCAATGTTTTAAGGCCTTGAGGGTGAACAAGTTGAATTCTTAACTTGTTTATGGTCTTGGAGAAAGCTGCGGTGGCAATTAGTGCTTACTGGAACATTTACTAGAAATCACAATTTTCATTTTGCTTTCGGATTGGAGAATTCTATTCAGGAAGGATGAGAGTTAACCAGTTGGGTCCCACACCTTAAATATAATGACAGTTAGATCCCCGAAAAACTTTGCTAGAGTCTGTAAATATTGACGAAAGTGGAAGTTGCAAATCAGGAATTAATGACAGTTAGGTATCATAATTTGCAACTGAGAATTTCTTATTTGCAACTGTCTAAATTGTTATTTGCAACTGTCTAAATTGTTATTTGCAACTTACCTTTTAACAAAGTCTTTTAGGGATTGATAGATTCAATGTGGATAATCATATTGATCTTGCGATGTTGGTTGACTTCTCAAGTAATCTAATGTAACTGGGAAGTTGCTCTTAACCTTTCAAATGTATAAATGTGGGTTTTTTATGGATTGCAAGTGATGGAGCGGAATGGCTAAAGTGGGTTGAGTCTTGTTTAGGACCATTAAAAAATAGAATGAAACGGCATAGGATGGCCTCTAGGACCCCTCTTTGCCCTTCAAATTACCGATTTTTGTGTCCTTCCAAATCCTGGTCAAGAATGGAATGACTCACACTCGTATTGAAAATAAAAATGCACCCTCATACTCTAATGTAATATTGTATGTGGCTTTATTTCATAAAGGCAATATTAGAAAAAATATATATAAGCCATTTTATTTCATTAATGACTCACTCCATTTCATCAGTAATCTCCTCAAATAATAGAGTGGAACATAAATTGTCATTCCATTCAGTTCCATTTCTTCATAAGATACCTTAGTAGTTATCGCTTTTGATTTCTGGAAAGTCATTGACTTTGCTTTTATCATGGACCAATGGAAGTTTGTGCTAGAGTATGTGGAGTATGGCTTGAAAATCCAATCGAGAGTCAGTCTACAGTATGAGGGAAAGTTGTAAAAATTGCTGTAAAAGATGAAAATGTTCTTTGCTTATGTTTTTATATATTAAAAATGTGCTTCTAAGTCTGTCATTAGAATTTGGGGAGGCGGGATTTATACGTACATGTGTGAAATTACCATTTCAAATCTTGTGTTTGTTCTGGATCCTTGGCCCTTTTGATCTCCTTGGTCTTTATTAGTGTGATACTAATTTCTTTCATATTTTAACATGCTGATGCTCATAAGTTGCATAAATTCAGATTAAATTTTGAAGATAGGAGCTTAATTAGTTTGATACTTTTGGTTAGAATTTTGCTATAATGTAGTTCTTTTGGTTTGCATCTGAAAAGGACTATTGCAGTCTTTCTAAACTGGACATTTATATGATTTCTTATGAAGGGATAGAGGTGTCATCCTGATATTTGTTAACATAGTTTTAGACCATAAAACTGCTAATATTCTAAGATGGATTAAGTGTCAGATGCTATTTTAATGCTAGTCTTACTCATAAATAGGGCCCTGTTTCTATTTATTACATGATCCTGCTTAGAAGTTATAATTATGTACATGTATCTTTCGTGCTTGATCAAAATTTATGACTGATATGGACTGTGGCTGCACGATAGGATATGTACATTCGTGTTAAGCGTAATAAGACAACATACTTCATCCGGTGCAAGCCATCTGACAAAATTCTTGACATAAAGCAGAACTTGGAAGAACTCATTGATAAGCCTGTTAATAATCAGCGGTTAATCCTACCTGGTACAGGGGAAGTATTAGATGACTCAAAAACGCTGGCTGAACAAAAGGTACTGCTGCTGCATGCTTTGTGTGGTTTTTTCTTCTTTGTATGTTTCTTGAAATACCAGCATTTAGGTTATGTCTTACTCTCTGGTATCTTTATTTCACTCATTTTTAACCTCTTTACCCCCATAATGGCCTTTGTGCTCATTATTTACTTGTGTCATAAATGTTGACGAATTCCGACAACTTTTCCTGTTCAGGTTGAAAATGATGCTGTTGTAGCACTGACCTTGAGAAGAGGTATTTATCTTACCTTTACCACTCCATCCCTCCTCCTGATATACCTGTTGCCGTTTTGCTTTAAATTTTTGGTAATTAATCCATTTGACAGACTTCAAAAGATTGGTCGTGTTAGACTCCTTTTAGGTGGGAGAAGCCTCTTTCATTTTTTCAAATCTACGGAGACGAGGAGATAAATGAACTAAGGAAAATTTTAAAACAACTAAGGAAATTGTTGTTTCTGTTCAAAATTTATTTTCACCATATGCGTTGAACGTCCTGCTGAGCTGCACTAGTCAGACTTGATTCCTTCATGGAGGAGCTACACTTTCTGTTGTTGTCAATGTTGAATCACATATTGAGGAATAATCTTCTATAGTTTGAGTGATACCTAACAGAAATATAATTAGTTGATGACATTTTTTAGATGACGTGATGGTCTTTCTTTAGACAGTCCTGTTTATCTTTTTCTACTTTGATTTGGGTTTTGTCTTAAATGGTGCCCCCCCTTCTCTCATTGGTAAAGCTCCCATGTGCACACATGCATTGAAGATATAATAATTACATAGACATTGCACAAAAATGAAAAATGGAAGTCTAAATATGTCCTAGTCCGGAATGTCTGAGAAGACTATTTCACGTTTTTTTACTTCTATCTTACCTTGTGTGGAAGGACATACTGAAAATTTTGTCCTTGTGTTGTAGATGACAATGAGTTTGAGGAGGTCAACATTGTGAAGCCAAATGATTTCTACCCATCACGGGATTCAGATGGTGCCAGTTGGTAGAAGCCATAGTGCTGCAGCAGAAGGCTCACTCACTCTCATACCTCACATCACCATCTAGCAGCTTTGTATTAATTAAGCCCAACCATTAAACTAGTTTTTTGTTACTGTTTTAGGCGAAAACTTCATGTGATGATCCAAAAGTACCATCCAGTTAATCCAATCAAGGTGCCATTTGTGAAGTTTCTTTGGTGCCTGTAGAGTTGAAATACCGTCTTCCACCTCTTAAACCCGTTTGATGTGATTAACAAGTTTTTCTTTCTCTCTGGCCATTTCTTTTCTCAGGTTTTAATTTGTAGCACTGAAGTGTTGGGATGTTTGAGTGAAACCAAATTATAGTTTTAAAAGTGATTTTAGATATATGAAAGTAAATATTAAAAGAGTTTGTTTTAACTTATGTGAAAGTATTTTTTTAAAAATGTTTTTGGAGAAACCAAACACCCGTTTATTAATTCAAAGAAGTTGAATTACATGATATTTGATATGAAAAACTTTTTAGTAGTTGCTCAAGTGATTTTTTTTTTTTTTGCTATTCAAAAAGAAACCTCTAGTCACAAAAAAGAGGAAAATAAGTTTTTTAAATCAATACTACTTCCGATCTTCAATATAATATTTTATTTTATTTTTATTTTTATTTTAAATATAAGATCTTAATTTGTTTTGTTTCTTATATTTATATATTTTTTTAAAGTAGTCCTTATAACAATAGTAGTTCTAGCCAATACACTTAATCAGTAAGGATATTTTAGGTAAGACAACACTTATTTAGGACAAATAACTAACTCAACTTACTTAACTTACTTTCTTAATCTTTTCAAATTAGTCAACTAGCTGTTATAACAGTACATATCAATACATTTATTACATATAATTTAATAATTTATTCAATATTTTAATAATAAAAATTTATATTAAAACTATTAAATGTTTAATCATCGATGTGGCGGTAAAATGTAAACGCCAATGGGGGAAAAGTTCTGCGATTTCGCGCAAAAGATTAGCTTTTTATTGTTTCACTTTAATGCAGACGATGAGTCCTTTCCGAGTCAGATTCCAAGACTCGTTCCATTTCATAACGGGGAAGGCCTCTTATCCGACTTCATAATTTTGCAGCCTCGCTCAGTGCTCTGCTGTCGCTAGCCTCACCAGCCATGCACATTCTTCCCTGCTCTTTCTCCTCCAAGCTTAGTGCTTTTAACTTTCAACCTCCCCGTAATCCTGCGACCAGGTTTCCCTGTCCTGGTCACCAAATGCTCCGTATCTTATGTGCTAAGAGAACCGGCAAGAGGAGATACCCATCGGAGAAGAAGAAGCTAAAATCCAAGCATAAAGAAATTCTCAAAGACTTGAAGGATGAGAACAAGTTTGAGGGTACATGGAGGCTTTATAAGCTCGGGGTTCCAATTGATAAGGATCCTGGCAAGGATTTTCTCGATGTTTCAGATGGGCTTCTTGAAGAGATTGCCAAAGTTCTTGAGTTCCCGGTAAGTTCTGAGTTTTCAGGGGTGTCTTTTTTCTCAAGTTCGAGTGGATGAAAAATATGAAGTCCTTAAGAGCTCTCTCTCGGGTAAATTCTATTATTTAAAGTTCTTTTGTGTAGCCTTAATGTCCGGTATCTTGTCAGTTAATTTTCTCTTGTTATGTACACTATTTGCTTTGCCTTTGTTATAGTTGTTTTGCTTTAAACCTCAGCGACGTGGAAGCATTCGAAGTTATGATAACATTCAAATTTCAATTCTTGTGCCAGGTTGCTTCATTGTTACCACGTGAAGCTTTCTCGGTTGTTCGGAAATCATTTGATGCCAGGAAGGTTTGTTCAATGCTGCACTGGCCCACAGATGTGTTTATTGAATTATCTATCATTCTATCTTGCTAAATTAATCATTAAAAAAGAATCTTGAGCAAGATGTTAATAGATGTTGAGGGTGCTATAGTAACTGAAAAGTTTTTTAGGCTTACAACTTTTTCATGATTTAGTTTTCTAATGAAAATATGTGCTCTTTAAACTGCATTTAGTTGTAAGAATAATTTTGAACTCTATTGTCCTGATTTTAGTACATCCCTTTTTTTGGGGGGGGGGGGGGAGTTTTTCACCAGTGATTAGTTATGGGCATTATAGATTTCAGAGCATCTTCAGATTTCGATAGTTCTTGTGTATGTATATTAGTTTTACTTTTGTGTTAAACCGGCATGCATCTATATGACGAAATGAAAAGTGTAAAACATGGATGCCAAATGGACTAAGTGAAAGCCTGCATGTGCACTCAAGTAGACAGAAATTGTGCAGCAGTTGTTTGATTTTCCTTATCGTGAAATCATTGTCTCATCTGTTTTCAGGTTGTAATAAGTTGTTGATTTGAAGTGCACTTATTTTGTTTCACTGATTCCTTTTAGAAATTAAAGGAGCCCAAATTTGTGCATACTGTGGACATGGATGTAAAAAAACTCCTCAATCTAGAGCCTCGAACTTGGGACTTCATTTCTCGGCTAGAGCCTAAAGTTGGCCTTGTAGAGCATGTGCATGATGGAAGAGTTTTGGGTGATTTGACGAGTATAATACACGATTACAAAGATCATGATGAAGATGCAGCAACAAATATAGACAGAAATAACATTTTCTCAGGAGATTTGTACCAAATCCGAGGAACTAGGAAACCAAAAATTGCAGTAGTGGGTGGCGGGCCTTCAGGTCTTTTTGCTACTCTTGTTCTTGCTGAGCTTGGTGCAGAGGTAACATTGATGGAGAGAGGCCAGGCTGTTGAAAAAAGGGGGCGTGATATTGGTGCTCTGGTTGTTCGTCGGATTTTAGAAACAGAAAGCAACTTCTGCTTTGGGGAGGTTGTGCCTTGCCTCTGGATTTGCTTCTTCAAAATGTTTTTGTTGTCATGGTACCTAGTAGATGTTTTATTCAAAATCGCATTCACTTCTGAGGTCTGGACATAAATTTTTGAACACTGCTTACAAAGTCATCCAATTTATTTCTTTTACTTTCAGTTGCTGAGAGATTGACATATTCTTGTCAAATATACAGATTAATCAAAAAATTAGCATATTGGAGTACTGTGTTGTACCATAAGCCTCGTGTATAACTCATAAGCGGCTGTGAATACACAGATAGACACACCTAAGAACTACTAAAATGCATATTAAATTCATCATGAACCGCATAATGAGTTAATTCATGGCCTCATTTGTGATTTTGCTCTATCTTTTTTGTTATCTCACTAGCGTCTCATCTTAGTTTGATTATTTATTCACTTTACCAAGGACTTATTTGTGGCAGGGTGGTGCAGGTACCTGGAGTGATGGGAAACTGGTAACTAGAATCGGACGAAATAGTGGCAGTGTTCTTGCGGTTAGTGTATGCCTTACATATATGAAGTAGATATGTGCATTTCATGTATGTGTCTCTATCTAGCCCTTTTTTCTCGCAGGTCTTCTGATAAATGGTACTGAATGGTTTTTCTGAAACCCAAATATTGATAGTAATTATTAGTGTGAACTCAAGTAATAAAGAATACTGTCACCTATATTTGTGTTGATAGACCACTATACGAACTTTGCACTCTTCCAGCATTTATAATAGCTTCTCATGGGCGTAAAAGGTATGGCTTGTTGCCTTTTGACAAAAGAGATAAATTGAGTGTTTCCCCCACCAAAAGCACTGCATAGCGTTCGATGTTTTGTCTAGGCATTTGTCTTCTGTCTAAGTCACTGGTCCCATTATTATATACAGTTTGAAACATAAATTTTTGCTTTTACTCCTGAATAGATTTTTCCTTTTTGTTTTTCTCCAACTTGTATGACTTATTTCAATGGCTGACTTAATGTCTTCATTTAGGTAATGAGAACTCTGGTGCAGTTTGGAGCTCCCCAAAACATATTAGTTGATGGGAAGCCCCATTTAGGAACAGATAGATTGGTTCCGTTGCTTCGCAACTTTCGGCAACATCTGCTAGAGTTGGGCGTTAGTTTCCTTCCTAGCCTCTTTATATTGAAAATACATGCATATGAAATTGCTCTTTTGTCTGCAACGACCGAGACCAAGTGACAATGTTTTGGTGCTTAGGTCTCCATCAAGTTTGGGGCCAGAGTAGACGATATAATCATTGAAGATGGACATGTGCTGGGGGTTATGGTATCTGACTCGACTGATAGATTACAAGCAAACAGCCAGAAGATGGAATATGATGCAGTTATTTTGGCTGTTGGCCATTCTGCTCGTGATACATATCAAATGCTTCTTTCTCATAATGTGGTTTTGGAACCAAAAGATTTTGCCGTGAGTTTCTATACATGTGATCTTTCAATCTGCACTTCAATGTAGTAGCATGTTGATGCTTATCTGTTTGCGTATAGATGAGTTTACTTCGTCTGATTATCTGCCTGTTAGAAGATTGTAGCTTTTCTCCCTCTACATTTAAGAGATTCCACTGAGAGTGATTTTGTGTTGTTTTTGCGGTGCTTCATTTACCTCTTCCACTTGGGATGGGGCTAGTTTGACACTCAAGGTTTCAACATTCTGCTGTATTGATCTATCATGTAACATAGAGGTACAATACCCAAGTATGACTTGACAAAACCTGGGGTTCTTAGGAAATTAGTTGACATTTCATTGGCAGAGAGGAACTTGTCCTGCACAAGTGAGGACCTTTTTCCATTGGATGCTTCTATGTATCACATCATTGTGGTTGATTGAGAGCTGCACAATTTCTTAACATTTTCAAGAACCTTGATGGATTGACACTGGTTCCTTTGTTTGTGTTGGTGGAAACGGAACAATAGATGCTGTTACCTAGTGCAATGGCTCTTACCAGAAAGTATTTTCATTGGGCCAGTTTACAATACTTAAACTGATCAAATAGGGTTTTCTAAAATTTGTTAGCATTTCTGTTTTGTTGTTGTTGGGAATTGTTGCACTAGCATCCATATGTTGGCCCATCTGAACTTATTCTTTCGAATAGAATTATATTATTAGATATTGTGGTGTTTGTCTCAAAAATAATGTGTCTTGTTTTCTTTTGTTGTTTATTATTAACAGGTAGGACTGCGGATTGAGCATCCTCAAGAACTAATAAACAGCATACAGGTTAATACGTATTCAAATTCGGACCAACACATATTGCATTGGTTGAACTTGCAATTTTACATTGATTTGCTCTGTAGTGGTAGAAAATTTTTATTTTATTATCAAATCTTTTTAATATCATGATTTATTTTCTATTTTTTGTTTTGATCATGACACAAATTTATTCATATATATGTTCAGTATTCTGAATTGGCCTCTGAGGTTCGTAGTGGACGGGGTAGAGTGCCAGTGGCAGATTACAAAGTTGCCAACTACTTTCATGAAGAGGATAGTCGTGATTTATCTAACTATGGGATGGCAAATCGTAGTTGCTACTCTTTCTGCATGTGTCCAGGTGGGCAGGTATGTTTCCTCATTTAATTTCCGTATCATATGATTGATTGGAACATGAACTATATTATTTCATCAACAGCTACATTGGAGTGCAAGATGCTTACTTATAGGTCTAGTCATTCATCATAGTCAGAATAGACAAGCTAACTTATTGACGTAAATGCATCACTGCGTAACACATACTGTAATGGTCTGGTATGGAAAATTTCTTATTCATAGAGCCGGGGGTGCATTTAGTTGCCCTGAGATTATGAGCTCAAAACTAATACTGATTATTTTTAATTTGCGTGGGACATAACATGTCAAATGTAGTGGACTGGAAGTTTACCATGGAAAATTTGAAATTTGTAGGTGGTTCTCACCAGCACAAATCCATCTGAACTATGCATCAATGGCATGTCATTCTCTCGGCGAGCATCTAGGTGGGCAAATGCTGCACTTGTGGTGACAGTCACAATGAAGGATTTTGAAGCTTTAAATTATTATGGGCCTCTTGCAGGTGTCGAATTTCAGGTAGGTCTCACAAAATCCATGCTTAGTACTCTTGTTCTCTTAAGTATTTTAAAAAGAAATATCATTTCTTTTATTTTCTCTTTCATGTCTATATTTACCAAGTGGAGCAAAATAAATTATGGGACTTCCTTGTTCATGTTGCCATAGTAAACCTAATGTTGAAACCCATAAGTGATGTTTTAATTCTCTAGTAATCAAATTATGTAGTTTAAAAATCTTCAACCTCTTTCTTTTTCAAAACTGCCGATATACAAAATGATTCGTGCTTCTTTGCCAACTATATAGCAGAGTCCAAAATTTAAACTTACAGAATCAATGTTGCATCTAATACTTCTATTGTTCAGAAAGAGTTTGAGCAAAGAGCTGCCACAATGGGAGGGGGAAACTTTACAGTGCCTGTCCAGACAGTGACTGACTTTTTGGAAGGGAAGCTATCTGGTAAATGTTTCAAACTTTATCCTTCATTTGTTATTTGCAGAACTAAGTTTAACTTAGCTAACTTGTTTGTTCCAGTGACATCGGTGCCTCCATCAAGTTATCGTTTGGGTGTGAAGGCAGTAAATCTTCATCAGTTATTTCCTGTTCACATAACAGAGGCTTTACAGCATTCAATTGTAGCATTTGACAAGGAGGTTGGCTACACTCTTCCACTCTAATACTTCAGTGCCCTCTTGAAAATTATCTGTTCTAATTACCAAGCACAATTTTTTTCCTGAACTTCCCGTTTCAGTTGCCAGGATTTATCTCTAAAGAGGCACTCCTTCATGGTGTAGAGGTAATAAGATGCTTTTACTTTCCTAAATTTTTTTTTATTTTTATTGTTTTTAAAAATCTTTGTACAATGATGCTTGTGTCGATAATATTAATCTTATCGGAATGGATAAAGTCTGTTTTAAATTGTCCCATGACGCACACATGCACATGCATGCCCACAGTAGTTCACAGATTTGGGCTCTATATGCAGTCAGCAATGAAAATTTCTGCAAGATTTGACTTCTTCACTTCTAAGTTACACTCTTTCCATGTCAATGTTTTCACTCCAGACTAGGACCAGTTCTCCTATCCAAATTCCACGCAATGCTGACACTTATGAAAGCACATCTCTGAAAGGTCTTTACCCAGTTGGCGAAGGAGCAGGTTATGCTGGTGGAATCATTAGTGCAGCAGTGGATGGAATGTATGCCGGATTTGCTATGGCAAAAAACTTCGGGTTATTTCATGGTGACATTGAGTCTGTTCTGGGCAAAGCTCAGAATGTTGGATTTGTCAAGTACTAGGCATCATCTGACTCTTGCTCAGTTTTACCCGCTAGTATTGCCAGGTGCACAAGTTTACAGGTGATATTCTCCAAATTGCTGTGGATAGTGGAATTGGATCGATTATCCCAGTCTCATCACCGTGTATTTGAGGTAGTGAAATAACGCTTCTTGGGTAAAACTAGTCTTTTTTCAAGAGATTGTTATTAATTCTTCAGTAAAACACGACATGGATATTTACTAGCCATCACATAATTGAAATTGCAAACAATGCACCTATCACTGATAAGTCCATCCACAATTCCATATATTATGTTCATTCGAGGAACTTCGAATAAGCTTTGTCAATTCCTTTTTCTTTCCTCCAAGTCATCGGGAAAACCATAGGTTGTATTTTGAAGCCTCTTTTTCCTCTTGTGCTTGTGCAGCAGGTGTAAAAAGTTCCGTGATTAGTTTTGGACGATTTTGATCTGAGGCATGATGCACTGAGGTAATCATAACCCTAGGAACAATTTTGATCGACCGCTTTCTTTTTCCCAGTGATCTTGGCATAAATTGAGAAGCATAAAGAGAGACTTCCTTGCCGTTTGAATGTTGAAGCTTATAACTACAACCTCAGATTCTGAACATTTGACTTGGTAGCTGTAACTTCAGGTGCCCATCAATTTGGTTAGTTAATGATCATTTTATAGGTAGCCCTTGATATATAACTTCAAGCATAGGAAATGCTATTAAAATAGTTCATTTTGTCTATGGTTTATGTTTTTAGGCGGACTAAATAGGTATACTTTTTAGTGGGGCCCATCTAGTAAACTTAATGAATTTTCGTTTCTTTGGCTTGGCATGCCAAAGAATCACTTTGTGCTAGGAGTCATTTAAAAATTCTACTTCCTTGTAAAAGCTTTTGATTGGTTAATCAATGAAAGAACCTATAATATTGAGACGAAATAAGTGAATACTAGACAACTTGATATCTTAAAGCCAATGAACGTGGTCACCATAAAAAACAAAGTCTGTCGCCGAAAGTTATATATTCCTCTAATCATGAAGAATAATAATTTATTACTTATGCCATATATATATTTATATATTTGTAGTACATTATATCACGGCATGGCATAATGGCCCTGTCCGTTGTTTATCTTTATGACGGCATGTGCAAACGAAATGTATGCTTTTGTTGAGCTCATGGGTTAGCCTCTTTCTTTTCTATTCGTTGGCTCTTGTGATGTTGAGTGAATCAGCCTGAGTAATTATACTGTAAATATGCTTGAAAGATTATGTATGTTATAATATTTAAGAAAATATATATATCAGTACCTATTTTCTTATCATTAGTATGTTGCAGTAATTTTTATGCATTTATTTTATCTATTAGGATATGAAACGTACGGAAGGTATCATCTGAAGTAAAAGCTCAAATCCAAATGATGCCTTTATGGGTATTTAGTAATAAGAAGCTCATTTAATACCCATAATGTTACTGAATTGAAGATAATGCCCCCACAAGAAAAGAACATGTTATAACTGCTTTGTTTTTCCTTTTGTTAATTAGGACCGACATGGTATCCAATGCAATGGCAATATTACCCAAAAAAAACAAAAACAAAATCGGTGGGAACTTGCATTTTTCTATGTGGGAAAGGACAAAGGAGGAGTTCATGATTCTTATTTTTATTAGAGTTTTGAGGAAGCTAATATAGTCACATGGTCTTGCTACATGGCACACCATGATACGTGTCTCAAAAGCATAGCACAAAGGATTAACAAGTTGCTTTTGTCGACCAAGATCGATGAGTTTAATTAAAGAAAAATAAATCTGCCAACCCTTGTTATGGTTGGTGGCATCGTCTTCAACCCTAGTGGTGACTCTGACAGAGAGAGAGGACAGCGGAGAGGCAAGGCATATGCATGAAGCCTGAGAATTTTATGACACGGGACAGTGTTGTCCTGAGATTACAAGACCAATCCAAGTGTGGAATGGCTCTGAAATTACAAATTAGTCTATCTTCTCTTTTACAGAATGATTGGTTTACTTGCATCTTGTTCTCTATAATTCTGTGGTATTCTCCTATATATATATATATATATATATATATATATATATATCAAACTTTAGTTGCCACTTACCTGATCTTAGGGATCAAGATTTAACTTTGTCAACGAATGAAGTAGACGCCAGCACCAGGACACCATTAATGAATAAGTTTTAAGCGGAGGGATTTAAAGTTAGGCTCAAACTATATACTTCTTTTCATTTTTAATACTGAAACTTATCATTGCATGATGTTTACTTGTGAGACTTTTTAATGAATGATTACTTACGTGGAACTGCACAGTTTTTTTCTCGTTATCGTGACAAAAGTTAGATCTAGTTGAAGATGTCAGCCCCTTACACTACAAGAAACCAAAATCTAAATCCCATAAAAAAATATATTTTAATATTTGACAGTGTTTAAACGTAATTATTTCTGATAAAAAGATACATATGCAATGTGTATGTTTTGGTCAATGAATACTGAATGCTTGTGTTTCCTCATTCTACAAACTCACGATCTTTCTCTTTGTAACCCCTGAAAGTGAGTATGTTTGATCTGAAAAATTAATCCAACTCAACATTAGCGAGTTTCAGACAATATGGTTCATGTAAATCGATTTTTTTTCCCCCCAGTTCAGCTAACTTTTGACAATGAAGTACTATGAAAAATGAAAGTGAACCATATATAAAACAACATTTCACGTAAGCTTTGGGTCACATCCATCATCCATCAAACTGCTTAATTGCTATCAGTTAAATATGATTGCTATGTCATCAAAATTGTCCCTCTATGTCAGCTTTGCATTATTAACAATCAAACCCATTATGGATTATATTATCTCAACAAATAGTAATTTAATACTTTGGCATTCAGTTATATGTATTTTTTATTAAAAAAAAACAATTAAAATGTTCATCTTTTCCGTAAGTTCTTTATTGGTCGAGTTGTGTCTATTTGTCTAATTCCGTATTGTTTAGTCTTGCGTTTTTGTTTTTCCTTCTGGCTTCTTACTAAAGGCGCCCATGAATTTATCTATTGCCCCAAAAAAAAAAAACTCAATAATGGTCACAAATCACAATCCCAAAACAATAATCATCGTTTTTAATTACAATAAATATGCAATACTTTATAGGAAAAAAATTAACCGGTCTATGGAAAGCTATTTCTTTTATAAATTATATGGTGTTTGGTATTTAAATATTATTGAGTCCAAAGGGTGCAATCATTAAGCTTACTTTAAAATATACGTATTGAAATTGAAAATCTTTCACCTTAAGCCTAATTATCATTGATCTCCTATTAGTGACTTAAATTAAAATCTTGTATTGCTTGACTAACAAACCAATATTATTTTAAAACTCAAGTTAAAATTCTTCATGTTAAATTTTCAAAAAAATAAATAAATAAATTCATGGTCGACTATTTTTATAAATAATATAAAATATCCGAACCTCATTTTGGAGAAATCTTCACAGGATATATTGTAAAATTGTGAACCACTAAACCTAGGTAACAGGGTTGGCAGAGGACAGTTGACAAGTTACCATATAGTGATGACAATACTAAAGAAATATTCTATAATATTGAGAATATTAAATTAGAAGAATTGTTAAAGATATATTACATGCAATTGGAGAAACTGCACTCATGAGTTGCTTGCATTCAAAAACCTAAGTTTTCATATATTTTTAAATAATAAATTTTATAAAGAAGATCTCTATTATTTTCAATCTTTAATATAAAACTTAGTTAATTTAGAGTAATTAAAAAACTTAAATAAATTATTTTAAAATATTTATATTTATTGTTTTTTAGTATTTCCTATTTGTTGATAAGAGGAAAGATGGCTGAGGCGTTTTGTATGTAGCGGTGAGGGCAGTTAGGTCTGCAAGTCAAAGTGTAGGACAGGAAGTGAAAAGGTCAAAAGTAAGAACTAAAATTTCACGGATAAAAAAAGCTAATAATTCTGGAAACTAGTATCTGTCGTTCATTAAATTAAAATTTTTACTATTTGCTTTATCCTTTGATTTTGACCTCTCTTTTTATCATCCCAGGGTGTCACCTCCAGTCCTCCACCTTGTCTTTTCATGTTCTGCCTCTTGACTCCCATCCCCATCGTTGTTTGAAGCTAGCTAGGATACGCGTCAATAATTGAGATAAATATCTCACATGTTTATTTTATATTTTGTAAATTGTAAATTACACTTCAAAAATTACTTTAAGAAGATGACAAATTTAAAAGTTAGAAAATAATTAAAAAATAGTTCTTGATATAATATTTTATAAATATAGGTAAATAATTAAAATGCTCTTATATAAGAACAGATAATGATAAGTATTGAATAACAAAAGACAAAAAATATATTGACAATAATAAATTATTTATTAATAAGTTGTGAACTAATAATAACAAGTATTGAACAGCTAATAACAAAAAATATATTACTAATGACAATGTATTTTTATAAATAATATAAAATATCCCAACCTTCTGGAGAAATCTTCACATGATATATTGTAAAATTGTGAACCACTAAACCTAGATAACAGGGTGTGGCAGAGGACAGTTGACAAGTTACCGTATAGTGATGACAACACTAAAGAAATATTCTATAATACTACCCGATCCTTAATATAAGATATTATTTAATTTTTATTTTGGTCCTAAATATAAAATCCTAATCAACTTTGTTTCTCATATTTATGTATTTTTTTCCAACATAATCATTTAAATAATAGTAGTTCTAGTCAATACACTTGATTAGCAGGATATTTTAGAAAAAATAACATTTATTTATCACAAATAACTAACTTAAATTCTTTTCTTAATTTACTCAAATTAGTCAACTAGTTCTTATATTTATGATCAGAGGTAATATTGAGAATGTTAAACTAGAAAAATTGTTAAAGATATATTACATGCAATTGGAAAAACAGCGCTCATGAGTTGCTCGCATTCAAAAACCTAAGTCTTCATATATTTTTAAGTAAATAAATTTTATAAAAGAAGATCTTTATTATTTTTTATCCTTACTATAAAACACAGATAACTAATTTGAAGTAATTAAGAAAACTAAATAAATTATTTTAAAATACTTATATTTTGTTTTTCAAACTAATATATCTTACTTATAAAAAGATATATAATCTAATGCTATTGATATATATATATATTTTAGACATCATACTACTTTCAATCCTAATTATAAGACCTAATTGACTAATTTGAGGAGATTAAGGAAATAAGTTAAGTTGGTCATTTGTACTAAATAGGTATTGTCATTCATAAAATATCTTTGCTAATCAACTACTATCACTGGTCCTAATTATAAGAGCTAATTGACTAATTTGAGGAGATTAAAGAAATAGCTTAAGTTAATTATTTGTAATAAATAGGTATTGTTTTTCCTAAAATATTCTTACTAATCAAGTGTATTGATTAGACCTACCATTATTAGAAGGATTACCTTAGAAAAAAATACATAAATATAAGAGACAAAGTGGATTGGGGTCTTGTAATTAGGAACAAACTAAAAGTTAAATGAGGTCTCATATTAAGGACCGGAGGTAGTATATGGTTAAAACTATCATTATTAGAAGGATTACCTTGAAAAAAAGTATAAATATGAGAAACAAAGTGGATTGGGATATTATGTTTAAAACCAAAATAAAAATCAAACAATATCTTATATTAAGAATCAGAGATAACATAATATAATTAAATATATTTTTATTTTCTCATATTAATAAACTGAGTCTTACATTATTTTTTATTCTAATTATAAAACTTCATCTATATTCTCATGGAATCGTTTTGTACGCTGCTGCGAGGGCAGTTGGGTCTGTAAGTCAAAGCGCAGGACAGGAAGGGAAAAAAGTCAAAAGTAAGAACAAAGATTTCACAGAGAAAAAAGCCAATAATTCTAGAAACTAGGATCTGTCGTCCATTAACTTAAATGAAAATTTTTACAATTGCTTCATCCTTTGACCGCCCTTTTCATCATCCCAGGATGTCACCTCCACCTTGTCTTTTCATGTTCTCCCCTGCCCAGCTCTCACTCTTGACTCCCATTCCCATCGTTGTTTGAAGCTAGCTAGCATGCGCGTAAATTGAGGTAAATATCTCACGTATTTATTTCATATTTTATATTCTTTTTGTTTTAAATATAAATTTTTTATATATATTAATATATGAATCTTATATTTAGAAGCAGAGGATTAAGTTGTAAGTTGTAAATTATGTTTTAGAAATTATTTTAAGAAAATACAAATAAAAACTAAAAAAAGTGATATTTCAAATAAGGTATTTAAGAGTTGAAAATAATAATAAAAAAGTAATATTTGATATAATATTTTGCAAATGTAGTTAAATGACTAAAATACATTTACATGAAAAAGTTTATTAACGAGTTTTAAACTAGCAATAACAAGTGTTGAATAGTAAATGACAAGAAATATATTAACAATAATAAATTATTTATTAACAAGTTGTGAACCTGTAATGACAAGTGTTGAATAGCTAATGACAAAAAATGTATTAGCAATGACAAGTTTGATAATTTTTTTAAAATATGATACAAAAATATTTTAGCCATTTAACTACATTGCAAAATATCAGATCAAGTACTACTTCATTCTTTATCATTTTCAACTCTTACGTGCCTAAATTGGAAGATGATAATTTTACAGTTCTTTTTTAAAAAAATTTTCCAATCATTTTTGAAGATTTTAATTGTTTACAAACAAGTTGCTACTTACAGTCCTAATTATAAAACATCATTTGTAGATTATAAATAAAATTTCATAATTAGGATAGGAGGTAGTGAAGAAAGTTGAAAAATATAATTGCTAATTGCGAAATATTCGTCAAAAATATTGATGACACTAAATTAATGATCATGAATTATAAATTATAAATTATAAATAATATGATGACGTATGCAAGAGGTTTATCTAATTCTGGATAACATTGAATCTTATTGTTATCATTATAGTTTAGCCAACCTCAAATTTGCACAAAAGTATAACATCGAGTCATCTTGTTATCATGTGGTTTTTAACTATCATGATTAAGCGTGGCCAAAAATAAGATCTTGAATGTAAAATAATAAAAATATGCAATGATAGAAGTTCAAGGAGAATCTCAAAAAAAATATCTTTAAATTTTAAAATTTTAAATCAATCTTGTTTATTATATTTTAATAACAACACATTTTTTCAGTCTTTTTTAACTTGAAATTTTAAAATTTTAGAGATATTTTTTAGGATTTTTCCAAAGCTTTTTTTTGCCTATGTTTTTTATTGGGAGCCTTCCAGACATATATTCAATATTTTAGAGAGAGATATATAATCCTAGAAAATATATAAGTCTTTATAACTTCACTACATTTTTTTATAAGGTCATTATAATTTTTACTGTTTTTTAAAAATGAGATCTATGCCTTTTTCATGTCTTTATAATTTCATATAATTTTTAATAATATTATTGTAGTTTCAGGCGACTAATTGAACAAACCTAGACAATCATAATTAAAACTTAGATAAAATTATAAAAATTTGATAAACAGAAAGAATTATAGGACCTAATTAAAAATTAGTAAAAAATAATTATTTTGGATACTCTGAAAAAGTTCATTTTTTAGGCCATGGGATCTCTGAGACGCTCAGTAATCAAAAGCAGGTTACGCGCTTAGGCGCGGGAAACAACTGTCCCTACTCTGTCCCTTTTATCAACCGAAAACCGTTTTTCTATTACTATTTTCTTTTTAAATTAAATGTTTATTTATTTTATTTTTAAAAACTAATTACTTAAAAAGGGGAAAAGGGAAAATTGCCTTCAATCTTGAAATCAATTTTATTGCTTTTTCTTAAAAATTTGTTATTTGGACAAATCGATTTCCTTCTCTCAATAACTGTCTCGCTTCCTGTTTCCTTTCACCCCCGCCATTCTCAACAACTCTGCTTCAACTAAACAATGAGCTCTCGCCGAGAATTTCCCTCCGATGACCGGCCGCTGCAACTCTGTCCTTCTCCAGCGACCTTCTGTAGAGTTGACGCCTTAGTCTTTATTTGATTCTAGAAGATTCTGAGGGTTCTGGATTCTCTGTTCGTTCTCGGAAGACGACGGATTGATCACGGATTAAGTTGAGAGAAGCTCTCAGTTTATCGGAGATGGTTGTTTATAAGACACAGTAAGTATTTTCTTCTTTAATTTTATATATTGTGATTGATTGTGCTAAATGCTAATAAATTTATTCGGTCCTAAGTTTATTAAATTTTCAACTCCATTTAGCTATTTGATTGAGTTTGAGCATCACTTTCAGAATAGAATCCAATGTAGATGTGCTGTTTGTTTTTCGTTCTGCTGTCGCTGAGAGATTACGTGAGCACCGAGTACTGGACCGCTCAACGTGTCTTCAGTATGAGAGACACGAGCCTGTTAATCCAGACAAATGTCATCGAGCCCTGTTCAGATCCCTTGTTTCTTTCGGAGTTTTCAGGGAAAATTGTCTATTGCGTTCATCGATACTTGTTCCTATTCATCTGTAAAACAATTAATGGCTGTCAAAAGGAATTCACTTATTATATTATCTTTAATTTCGGAGGAAACAATGACTCAGAAATCAGAATTGTTTGCTTCTTTTTTTTATCTCGTTGATTAACTCTGCGAAGCATCTTAGGTTTGCTCAATAGGTTCGTGGGGATGGACAATGATCGCCCTTGCACGTGGTCCTCCATGTCCTGACCCATCTTCCTCAGAACATGAGCACCTGCGAGTTCAACTCTCGAATAAACCAAGAAATAAAATATTATGCATACAAACAAAGAACGTAGTTCACAGATTCTATTGGAAATTCTCTGCGGAGGAAATTTCATAAAACAGTTACTATTAAGAAAAATTTGTGGTTCATCTTCGGGAAAAAAAAAACTTATTCTCTTTCTGCCCCCTGTAAGTTTTCTTGTCACTTTCGTTGAAATCGCTTTCGTGAGGAGTGAGAAGAAAAAAAGACAGAATGAGCTTATGTGGAGTGAACACGTTACGAGCCAGCGCCCGCGATATATAGTCATTCTCGTGGGAAAGACAAAAGGGGAAAATTTAAAGTCTGTATTCTTCATTCACAAAAATGAATAAATAAAAGTAAATAAAAATAAAAAATCTGTATTCTCACACTATGCTGTTTCTCATTCTTATCCTACGCCCCCCTGGTTCTGCAGCCTACTCCCCCTCGGCATGCTCAATTTTTCCAGGGGGACCCCTTCCCCTGCGAATGAATCTTCCGTTAAGCATAAACAACACCAATGTACGTCGAGACAGTTTCCGCGAGTTTCTCTGACCCATTACATCATCAGATGTTGATTTCCCTGTCTAAATTCTTCTTGCAGTGGCCTGATCTGCTTGGATTTGGGCTTTCTTTGATGAGAAAAACATACCCACATGCTTTTATCACTTATGATTCTGAAATTTGTTCTCGGACAGATCTGGGTCTCTGTAAAGATGTGAGCTTTTAAACCTTTTTTTTTAAGGGGGGAAAAAAATCACTTATCTTTTCCTTTCCAATTGGATGTTCTTTGCTTTTCCTTTATTTACCAGTCTGTAGTATCTTTCTTACCTGTAGCCGCTGGTTTGTGGCAGATTTATTGCAGAGAAAAGGATCTTCTTTCTGAGTAATTGGCGCTGTTCTTTTATTCCGTTGAATGCGGGACTTATGATTGCCACAGCTGCCAAATCCAGTTTGGTTTTATGAGACATTTGATCAATGTGGTCTGATTTCTATAGAGTGGATGGATATATGTGAATCACTGCAAGCATTACCAAGACACCGAGCTGTGGAGACCCGAAAACCACCCTTGGTTTCGGCCAAAAAGAACAATGCAGTCACCCACCGGACGAGGTATAGCTCACCTTCGACGGCAACGTCATCGAGTCCCCGGCGATGTTCATCTCCAAACCTCACAAGAACAACTACTCAGTCTTCCCAATTGTTACATAAAAGAGCTCAATCAGCGGACAGGAGGCGGTCTTCAACTCCTTCTCCTCCGGGTCCATCTACACCAGTTCATGAGTCATCTGTTAATGTGCAGATGTCATCAAAAAGGATAACAGGTAGTCGTTTACAGGAGAGTTTATGGCCTTCCACAATGCGGAGCTTGAGTGTTTCTTTCCAGTCAGATACCATTTCCATACCTGTTAGCAAGAAAGAAAAGCCAACTGTTTCTAATTCTGATCGTACTCTGAGACCGACTTCAAACGTTGCCCACAAGCAGCTTGAAGCACCAACCATACGTAAGCCTAGTCCAGATAGAAAAAGGAGTCCTCTCAAAGGGAAGAATGCTTCTGATCACTCAGAAAATTCCAAACCAGTTGAGAGTTCGCATTCTCGGTTGATAGATCAACATCGGTGGCCGAGCAGAATAGCTGGAAAGATCTCTTCTAATGCGGTGCATAGTAGTTCTGAGTTTGCTGATAAGGCAATCAGAACATTGCCATCTTCAGTTCCTTGTACCGGGTCTTCTCCAAGAAAATTGTCCTTATCAAATGAAACAAGCAAGCCCTTTCAAAAGTCTTCTAGAGATACTTCAAGACTAATAATGCTTCCTGAAAATGATAAAATAAGAAGTGAGGTGAAACATGTTGATGATAGTTCGCTATTAGTAGTAAGCCCTCAAAAATTTGTTTCCGCGAGTTCATCTGATAAAATAGGATTATTAGCTCCACCTGTTAGATCTCAATCTTTGCCGACTCCAGGAATACGTCCACGTTCCCCAAGTAAGACCTCAGTTCTATCCTCCTCTAGTTCAAGAGGTCTGAGTCCATCTCGGTCAAGGCCGTTAACACCCCCTTCCAGAGGGGTTAGTCCATCCCGCATAAGGCCAACCAATCTATATAGTCAATCCAACATTTCAGTTTCGGTGCTCAGTTTTATTGCTGATTTTAAAAGAGGTAAAAAGGGTGCAGCCCACATTGAAGATGCTCACCAATTACGGCTTCTTTATAACAGATATCTGCAATGGAGATTTGCCAATGCAAGAGCTGAGTCTGTACTTTATATCCAAAATGCAACTGTGGAGGTATGACTACGTTGGACAAACTGGCGCACTATCACGTTTTAACCGTCTGTCCTTCTGCTTGAATCATAGATCAAATAATTACCCTCCATGTTTTTCAAGAACTTGTTCAATGGTGCAGAGAACTCTGTATAACGTATGGAACACTACTTTGTCTGTGAGGGATTCCGTAACTAGGAAGAGGATCAATCTCCGCCTGCTGAAGCTCGAGCTGAAGTTGAACTCTGTTTTGAACGATCAAGTAATGCTTCCTGCTGAAATCTTTCATCCCGCATGCTGGGTTTTATTGCTGTTGTGCAATAGAGTTTGTTTTCTTTCACTTTTCTTTTATAAAATATTTATTAATGGGCTTTTGAGTGATGAAAATGATGTATTTAAAGTGAATATCGTTATATCAGAATTTCTAAAGAAATTATGACTTGTTTTTTCGAGCTGGAACTTTGGCACATCTGATCTTTTTTTAGGGGGAAAAAAATGAGGGGGGGGGGGTTGCTAATATTTTAATCTAGTTACTGATATTGTGTAAAATCTCCTTAAAGCTGAAGTTCCAATACATAGCTAAGCTTTTCTTGAAATTTTACAATAACTGAAGCAGATGGCCTACCTCAATGAATGGGCTTCACTTGAAAGTGACCATGCTAATGCTCTAGCAGGAGCTATAGAAGATTTGAAGGCTGGCATTCTTCGGCTTCCAGTAACAGGATGGGCAATAGTAAGTATGGTTGTAGCCCGTAGGAGTCTTCTGGTTTGAAGCCTGGAAACCAGGCGGACGGATTCTGACAATTATTGTTGTTTTACAGGCAGATAGTGAGGATTTGAAGGTTGCAATCTGCTCAGCTGTCGACGTCATGCAAGCAATGGGATCCACAATCTGCTCTTTGCTAACGAGGGTAAGTGTTTCAATATCAATGATGGTGAAAGCTTTGAGTTAATCCTTCCCATAACTTCGCATAATCGATTTACACCTGTCTACAATGCTATTCTGTAGCACAATGCAGTTAGTGACTCAGTTTTTAGTTTTTTTGCGAAGTGCTTCCTAATCCATTTTCATCATCTCAATTACCAAACTAGCAGAATTACGACTTTGAATTAATTGGTAAAGGGTCTCACGAGCATTCTTTTTACATTATCATATCATATTAAATGCTACATTTTAGGAGCCGACACCACAAGTTTGTTTTTGTTTTTGGGCATGACAGGTGGAGGGCACGAATGATTTGGTTTCTGAACTTGCCATTGTAGCAGCACAAGAAAAGGCCATGCTTGATGAATGTGAAGAGCTTTTGGCCTTGGCAGCAGCTATGCAGGTGAGCATCATTCAAGGACAAATATTATCTCAGAAAAACGGAAAATTTTTGGACTATCAATTTCCTCAAATATATGTTGCAAAAAGTAGTTGGATTAGAGAATCAGTAAATGTAATAAGCTGGGACTTCTTTTATCGTGACCTTAATATCTTCACCTTATTTGCTCCTTTGCCCCTTTCATCATTCCTGTTATATCAAGTGCAAATAAGGCCCGCATATTTCTATCAAGTGGCTTGATGGTGCGTGTCAAGTTTAATAATTCAACCTACTTAATATTATGGTTTCAAAAGTTGACGTGGCACCAGGGCATACCTTGAGTTACTCCACCTTGTTGTCTGCTGATGTTCAGGACTTGTTTCAATAAAGGAATGTTTAGTGGGAAGTGGTTCCAATTTGAGATCCCATATGCTCCTGAGTGGAGAGCAAAGTAGTAGTTAGGGTTACAGTTGGGAGTTTCCATTTTTGGTGGTGATGTTTATTGAGAATTGAAATATTTCATTTTGCATATAAAGGAGGAGTTATATCAACATTTTGGCAAGTCCTTACGGACAGACATTTTAAATGGAAGTGCTTCATCTCATCATTTCTTCTTTTCTCTCTTTCTGAACTCCTTTGTCTTACTTTCTAATCTATATTTTTCTTTGGCTAAAACAGGCGGAGGAAAATAGCCTTCGGACACAGCTTATGCAAATGAAGCAAGCGTTGGAGACAAATAAGTAACTTAGGTTGAAACTTTCAACCGGCTTGAACCTGACCCGCTTCTGAGCTGAACCTATCTCTTGCCACTTCAATCATGATAAATGATATATAGTATTTACTGTGTCTTCACCATTGTAAATCTCTTTTAGGTTTGTCTTATTTATGTTGGAATTACATTGTTTGAAATTTTTTTCCCCTTCCCTCCATACTAGTGGCCCTCTCCTCCTTGTAACTTTTAACTTTGTATCAGGCAAATCGAAAGAAAATGCAAAGCAAATGAGCAAAATGTTGAGATTTAGCATAGAATAGCAGCCTTAAGGTCAGAATGGGACAGAAAATTCTATAGCAGCAAATTTCTCATAAGCATTCATTGCAATTCTATTAGCATTGTGGTCGATCAGGGATCAAATCTGATTTATATTAGTTTGGTGAAGTTTGAGGATCCAAGAGGAAGAAATCGTTACTCAGCTGTTAAAAAAAAAATCAATATTTGCTCGCCAAATAATATAATAATAATAATTATTATTATTATTATTACTACTACTACTATAGAATTCCTTTCTTTTGTTAAATTCTAGGCTTTATATGTGGCTCGAAAAACCGTATAAAAGAACGCGCAATAATGCTTCCAACGGATATGATATTGTAATGCCTTCGTCATTAAGGGAGTATTATTTAAATTGATTATTTCATGGTAATTTTTGTTCTTCATTGAGCTTAACAAGACGATATACAATTTGCTTGGAGGCAATGTGGAAAAGGATAGCTGCTGATTAATATGGAAAAATTAATAAAAGATAAGTTAGTATCCCAATGATAATGGTTGGTAAATTATGGTGGGTAAGTTGTTACAGGGATTAACTAAAAGCAAACACAAAGTAGATCAACAAATACTATTTTAGGGAGACTTAAAAAGTTAGAAAAGTAAGAACTCAAGTAAACATAATATAATACCTCCGCTATTTAATATAAAAGTTAGATAACTAATTTAAAGAAATTAAAAAAATTAATTTAAATTGGTTATTTATAATAAATGAGTAATCTTCCCTAAAATACCCTCTTTTATCATATGCATTGGCATTGTCCCTTGATAAAAACTTTTTACAATCAATTGGGAGATAAAGTGAATTAAAACCTTATTTAGAAACAAATTCAACCTATAATTAGCTTTTATATTAAAAACCAGAGATAATACTTCCCAAGCTTGAAAATCAATCAAGAAATCCCATGAATGGCTTGGTAGGGATTTAAGATTGACTTACATGGCCAACCGGCACCACCATGTATATGTATGTGTTGTCTCTTCTTCCAATGACTCAATACTTCTTTACAACAAGAGGACGTTAATGATTGGACTTAGAGATGTCTTGTCAATCTGGAATTAAGCTCGTCCAATAATTCACTCCCATTATTTCAAAAAGAAAGAATAGGGGAAAAAATTAGCATTCTTGCGGCAATCTTCTCACGCAAGAGCCCAGAACTTAGCAATTAAGCTTCCATCAAACGATAAGGCTTGGAAGTCGCAGCCCATTTCCATGATTTATCAATGCACATGCACCTCTTTTGAGAAACAAAAAAAGCTGGTACGGCGAGTGTGTGTACTGGTTAATAAAATAATTAAGAACCAAGATTTAAGTAATCGTCCTTGTAGTTTAATGTTCAAATAAACACAGCACATGGATAGCTCAGCACGGTTGACTCCTTAAGAAAAGTTTTCCAAAGAGGCTAATAACAATTACCTAAAAGTTTAAAAGAATCAATGGTGGGTGGCAAAACAAGAGGACGTCATCTCCTGTGCTATAAATATTATGGGGAAAAAACTCTCGTTGGGAAAATCATCTGTATCTAGACCCAACAATGCTCAAGCACAGATTAGTCAGTAGTATAAAACACCAAATAATTGTTACAAAAGAGACTTCAAAAATTTTAAAGTTCGTTCTATTTTCCCGATATGATTCTAAACTTTGTAAGCAAGCTTCTGAGAAAAAGCTTATTGGTGAACTGTAGTTAGGGCGTTTATGAAGATACAGTAGATTGGCTATTAGCCATGTATCACTGTTGTGACTTTTGACAACCTTGGTTAGTGGGATCCTTTCAGCAACTTAAAATTTCAAACGGGATAAGGCTGCGTCTATCATTTCAAAATTCTACATAGATACTATTGTAAAGAAATTATAAGTATCTATACAGCACTCACAGATGAGAGATCCCAGCCTAGAAGAATACAAGTTACCAACAACCAATTCTACCATCATAAGAAATTTGCTTCAACGTTATCGGCTAAGCTTGGACACTAGCAGAGACTTCATCTGCTGCTGATTTGTCTTTTTTCTTCGGTGGTTCTTGTGCTTTCTGTAGAACAGCTTTATTTGGAACCAAAACTATGGAGATGTTTCTGTCACGGAAGTTTTTAGATTCCTCTGCCGCAAGCTGCGCATCAACCCAAGAGTGATTTGGATTTAGTATTCAATTAAGCAATAGAACCAATAGCCTCCACTAACATACGTAGAAACAGTAGTTAATATAAGAATACTGTGAGGATGAATGCACTGATGAAATCTGAACAGATGTAATTAAGCAAAGATTGAATAGAAGCGAGGCGAACCCATAAATAACATTACTATAAATACTACTCTTGTAGTCATTTTGTCATATATTTGGATATGATATAATCGTGATATATAGCACAGCGGTATCAATTACCTCTCCAACATCATTCTGAAAGCGTCTAATAAGCTCAATAGCAATATTCCTAAATTCATTTTCACGGCCCTTGAGGTTTACTATGACCTTAACCTGCAGGCATTGATCAAACAATCTCTAGGCATTAATAACTCGCGGACCGTTTATCTTTGTTCTATATATAACAAAACATTTCTTAGAAATCCATGTAACCTTGTCCCCATCTTTCAAAAACTTCTGTGCAGCTTTCAAGCGGACAGAATAATCATGTTGATCTATGTTGTATCTGTTAAAATAAATTATCAAATAATTAAAAACAATGAACATTCCCTACTAAAAATGGGTGCATTGCTAAAACTTGGAATCAAAGCAAATAAAGACCATGTTTACCACTGCTATGATGAGGTGAGTCATCATTTAAAAGTATAACTGATTCATAGCATAAACTTTATAACTCTAAAGGGGTATAACAATATTGGGGGGCATATATAGATAGCATCTTCAATGCTAATTTTCCTTTTTCATATTATTGTCTTCGACACAAAAATAAGAAAAGTAGGAAGAGGGAAAAGGCCAGTAAGTTACCCCATTTTGAGCTCCTTCAAATCCATTCGACTAGCTACATTCAAAAGACTATCTTGTCAGTATATTATGGTTTACTCGAAGAGACCAAGGATACAATTTAAAGGAAAAACAGAGAAGTCTAAGAATGCAATGCCCACCAGCACTTTTCTTCTGCTGGCCTCTTTTTTTCTTTTGTTGCTCGTATCTATATTTACTGCAAAAGAAGAAAAACTAAGTTTCACAAACTTTTAGGTGGGTCAAAAGCTCACAGTTTCTCTCAAAATATAAAAAGAGCATACTTGTAATCTATTATTCTAACAACTGGGGGATCTGCATCTGGGGATACTATTATCTGCACAGAAGATAAAAAAAAAGCCTCCAAACTCATGTCAAAGGTAGCATTTATTTCAATGATTATGAATTAGAAACTTCATCATAAGAAAATCTCCACACAATCCATTGCAAGGGCACACCAATGGAACTACTTGGAAAAGTCACCAGGTTAAGGTTTTCACACTGAACTAAATCTGATCCCTAACAATTCTATTGTCTTTTTCTAATACCTGTCTCATTCTCTGTCCAATTAAATTGCTAGAAATAACTTCATTCTCCTCTATCTTAATTTATGTCAGATATGAAAGGCTAATATCACGAAACAATAAATACCATCTATGAATTAGCTTCAATTATCCAAAAGAACATTCAATGGAAGTAGCCACGAGATATGGATAATGTTGAACGAATGCTACCATTCTCTTCCCGCCCTCTTGTAAAATAAAATCCTTAAGAGGAAGAGAGATGATTAGGACACGAGAGAGAGAGAGAGAGAGTCATCGTATTTACGGTTCAATGCACTTGGATAAGTATGTAGTATCCTTCATGAGTAATAAAGAAACACAGGCCCTAACCAGCCCTTTAGGATACAATTATAACTGTCTTCAAGTGTCAAGACAAGTAAAATGCAGCATACCAAGTCAAGTTCGGCATCTTCAGCCATTTGAATGGCTTGACTCGTCGACACTACACCAACCTGCAACATCCGTAGCAAGACATTTTCAAAATGAAGAACGATACAATACCAAGAAGATGAACCAGACTCTCGACTAGTAGATAACACAACTGCGGAAATTTCAAAATGCCTACTATAGGCAAAAATAAATGAATAACCAAATTAATAAATATTATACTTCAGTTCCATCAAACGAACCAGATGAATACCCAATTTAAAATGTAAAGTATACATAAAAAGGAAATGTCACTTACCATATTCTGATTCTCATCAATAAGCCTCACAGTGTTTGACCTGTCACAAGCCATCAAGCAAAGAAACTCTTCAACCATCAAATTCCACGAATATTCGCAAAGTAAACAAATTCCCATGAATTCGCAATTTAGTACCTAATATTATTCACGTCAAGGACTTGCTCGTCGTCGGAGTCATTTCGGTACCTCCTAGAATCACCGCCACCATAACGAGCGGTGACGGGGGCAAAGGAAAAAGTAACAGGAGGAGGATCAAGCCTGAGGGAATTGGAACTAGGGAGACGAAAGCCAAAGACTTTAGAATCAGAGGAAGAGAGAGGAGGGAGAAGATAGGGTGAGGTTGTAGAGGTTCTGGTGTGGATGAGCTTGAAGGGGAAAGTGCTGGTGATCCCAGCCATGGAGGAAGGTGAGGGAAGAGGGAAGTAACAGTGAGTCTGAATCCTCACCTGGCTTGGTGAGTGATTTTGGTTTTGGATGTTCTTATCCACAATTTTTGATTTGGGACGAAATGAGAAGCTGGCAAATTGGAGGGCCCATCGGGTTTTCGGGTGGGCTCACCTGACAAACAAATTACTAGAGAAATTATGCAATTAAGAGGTAATACCTCCGGTCTTTAATATAAAATCCTATTTGACTTTTATTTTAATCCTAAATATAAGATCTCAATTCATTTTACCTCTCATATTTACTCAATTTTTTTTAAGATAATCCTTCTAATAATTATAGTTCTAGTTAATATACTTGATTAGTAAGGATATTTTAGGAAAGACAACACCTATTTAGGACAAATAACTAACTCAAGTTACTTTCTCAATCTCCTCAAATTAGTCAACTGGCTCTTATAATTAGAACCAAAAGTAGTATTAATTATAAATTACAAATATAAATAATATTTTTGCCAAAAAAAATGTTGCAAGTGGTAGTATAAAATATGTTAAATGTTGCACGTATATTAAAAATAAAAAATGGATATCTAATTATTATACTTGTTTAATTTTAAATGAAGAACAGCTTCATATCTCTATTCAAGTTTTTACCAAACCATTACTCTATTTCAGTCTCACATGAGGGATGAAGATGAAATTTCCCTCAAACCAGGAAAGTGATGAAAGTGAAAGTTTGAACTTAGGATGCTATTGAAGAAAATAAGGAGGGGGAGAATTGATGTTATAGCTACAAGTTGGGTTTTAATACTGAAAAATTAGTTATATCAATTAGAGAAAGAAGTGGATATAGGCATAGTGATAGCCATATTATCTAAAGAATGAAGATGGTGGGTTGTAGCTTTGGGATTATAATTTTCCTTGTGAATGATACTACCTCCGATCTAAAATATAAAAGTTAGTTGACTAATTTGAGTGGAGTAAAGAAATAAGTTAAGTTAGTTATTTATAATATATAAGTGTTATATTTTCTAAAATATCCTTACTAATCAAATGTATTAGCTAGAACTATTATTATTAGAAAAATTATGTTGGAAAAAAATAAATAAATATGAGAGACAAAGTAGTTCAAGGTTTTGTATTCAGAATCAAAATAAAAATCAAACAAATTCTGATATTAAGAACTGAAAGTAGTATTTGGTTGTGGAATTGTTTAATGAAAAAATGTTGAGATGTGATTTTACTTCAAGGGCCATGTGAAGCAAATCAAGGGACAAGTATTAGTATAGTCTTTAAATCTTTGTAAATTTCATGGTAGTTTGAGGGTGTAAATGTTAAAGTGGAATATGACTTTGCCACTTTGGCTAAATTCTAAGTCTATATATATGATTTATTTCCAATTATTTGTGGAGGTATCTCAAGGCTTAAATGATATTATATTATAGGCTTTTCAAAAAATATATCTTCATCAAAATTTTATTCATCTACCATCCCTTGATCCTAAATATAAAATCTGCTTTATATTATATTTAGAACCAAAGGTAGTAATAAACAATTTTATTAATTGGTTTTCGTAATAGATTTAAATTTTTATCCACATTCAAAAGGCTATTTATCTTTGAGACCATATAACGCGTAAATGGTGGCTCATTAATTGGTATTCTTTTGAAGATAATTATGAGCTAAATATCATCTTGTAGACATTTTAGTGCTGCTTTGTGGACGAAAGATTCAGAAGTTGTTTTCTCAGCCATGTGACCATTATAGTCACTAAAAAGTAGTTAAACCGACTGGATCAAATGTAGACTAAAATATTAAAAGTTAAAATAATAATAATAATAAGTGCAGACTAAATATACATGCTGTTGGAGTATTGCTAAAGGAGAGCTTTGGAGAATTGATAAAGGAGAGCTATCACTAGAACGTATATTGTTGTTCCTAGATGACTGTGACTCGGAGAATTAATAGTTTAAAGCTAGTAATGCAAATTGGGATTTTAATTAGGCTCAGCTAAACTTGTAAATGTGTCGCCTAATTATGAAATATTCAAGTGTAATATTATATTAGTTTTTTTTTTCTAAACACTTTTATCCCAATTTAGTCCTGTTAGAACACCTCTTAACAAGAATTCAGACTTCTATCTCACCATGAGAAACTAATCATCAAACAACATGGAACTGTAACTGAAAATGCGCTCCACAGAGATAAATCCTTCTGAGAAGATTGGAACTCTTAATTCAGATCCATCCACGAAAGCTTGAAACTTCAGCAGAACACTGAACCCCAATTGCTGTATTCCAACCTACCGGAAAACGCTCTCTTTAATTCTTCAGCAGCATGCTTCTCATCATACAGACATTCGATCCCATTCAACTCAAATTATAACTAGATGGTCCACACACATGGATAAAGGCAGTTCAAAACTAAACCAGTTCAATTTGAGCTATGATTATGAACAAAGCTGAAGATATAAAGCTCACGGCCAATCCACCATAGACTAATGCCCAGACTAATACTTAAAAACCATCTGAATAGAAATCTCAACTTTTATTTAGTTCCATTAGCATCTTTAAAACAGAATACAAAAGCACCCTTTACTATGAAGCTTACTACGTGCTTCTCAACTGGTAAACCACACACAAGGACTTGGCTCAACTTCAAGCAGAGCTTCTACTTTAGTCAACTTCCTCGATCTTGGGTCCAGCTCCCGATCCCGACCCGCCCGATTCAGAACCCGGCATGTCCTCACCCGTTCCGCCAGCAGTGCCAGCACCACCCTGCTGGTACATCTTAGCTATGATGGGGTTGCAGATACCCTCCAGTTCCTTCAGCTTATCCTCAAACTCATCAACTTCAGCCAACTGATTTCCGTCCAACCACTCTATCGTCTCCTCCACAGCCTTCTCAATCTTCTGCTTCTCATCTGCTCCTAACTTGCTTGCAATCTTGTCGTCCTTGATCGTGTTCCTCATATTATATGCATAGTTCTCAAGTGAGTTCTTCGCCTCCACCTTCTTCTTCACTTCCTCATCCTCTGCTCTGTACCTCTCTGCATCTTGCACCATCTTCTCAATCTCTTCCTTGCTCAGCCTTCCTTTATCGTTCGTGATCGTTATCTTGTTCTTCACTCCGGCTGTTTTGTCCTCCGCAGATACGTTCAGGATCCCGTTGGCGTCTATGTCGAAGCACACATTGATCTGGGGAACTCCCCTCGGCGCCGGTGGGATTCCGGTGAGCTCGAATTTGCCGAGTAAGTTGTTGTCTTTAGTTCTTGCTCGTTCTCCCTCGTAAACTTGGATCAAAACTCCGGGTTGGTTATCGGAATAGGTAGAGAAGATTTGTTCTTTCTTCGTGGGGATTGTGGTGTTTCTTGGGATTAACACCGTCATGACCCCACCGGCGGTTTCGAGCCCAAGGCTTAATGGGGTCACGTCGAGCAATAACAAGTCTTGAACTTTCTCGTCCCCTTCGCCGCTCAAGATCGCCGCTTGCACGGCCGCACCGTACGCGACTGCTTCGTCGGGGTTGATGCTTTTGCAGAGCTCTTTTCCGTTGAAGAAGTCTTGAAGGAGTTGTTGGACCTTCGGGATTCGGGTCGACCCGCCTACCAGAACAACTTCGTGGACTTGTCCTTTGTCGATCTTCGCATCTCTTAGACACTTCTCCACAGGTTCCATGCACTTCCTGAACAAGTCCATGTTCAATTCCTCGAACCTTGCTCTTGTGATAGTCGCATAGAAGTCAATCCCTTCGTACAGAGAATCAATTTCGATCGTTGTTTGTGCCGTCGACGACAGTGTCCTTTTAGCTCTTTCACAAGCGGTCCTTAATCTCCTCAAAGACCTTGCGTTTCCACTTATGTCCTTTTTGTTCTTCCTCTTGAACTCAGCCACAAAATGATTCACCATTCTGTTGTCGAAGTCTTCACCTCCCAAATGGGTATCCCCGGCTGTAGCTTTAACTTCGAAAATTCCTTCTTCGATTGTTAGTAATGAAACATCAAAAGTTCCACCACCAAGGTCGAATATAAGCACGTTTTGTTCACCTCTTCTAGAAGCTTTCTTGTCTAATCCATAAGCTATAGCAGCAGCCGTAGGTTCATTGATGATCCGGAGTACGTTCAACCCAGAAATCGCTCCAGCGTCTTTAGTGGCTTGCCTTTGAGAATCGTTGAAATAAGCAGGAACCGTTACGACGGCGTTTTTCACCTGATGACCCAGAAACGCCTCGGCGACTTCACGCATTTTCGTCAGGACCATCGACGAGATCTCTTCGGCGGCGAACTTCTTCTCTTCGCCTTTGTATGTAACGACGATCATCGGCTTCTCTGCTGGCCCCGGAATGACTTTGAAAGGCCACAGCTTCATGTCGTTTTGAACAGAGGGATCGGAGAATCGCCGACCGATCAGACGCTTCGCATCGAAGACGGTGTTCTGTGGGTTCATAGCCACCTGATTCTTCGCCGCATCTCCGATGAGCCTCTCGGTGTCGGTGAACGCCACGTACGACGGGGTGGTCCGATTACCTTGATCGTTCGGGATGATCTCAACACGGTCATTTTGCCATACGCCCACGCAGCTGTAGGTAGTTCCCAGGTCTATGCCTATCGCCTTCCCTTCTTTCGCCGCCATGGCGAAGCTTCAAACTTCAAATTCACAGACAGAAACAGCACAAAAAATTGAAGTACTGGTTTAGGTTTACGACCACAGACTAAACAGTGTGTTTTGAAACGTCAAGTGAAAAGAAGAAAAGAACTGAAGCCAGAATTTATAACGCTGTAAAAGAGAGAGTTCGGGAAATTACGAGACTAGTGTCGGGAAATGCCAGAGAGGACTAGAATAATCTGAGATGTTGCATGAAGATTCTAGGAGGCGGGAAAGGATGACGGATATGAAATGAGTATTGCAATTAGGATATAATTACGCGAATGCCATGCAATGGTTCGAGGAGGTTGAGGTTGCAGGTGTAAGGGTAGTTTGGGAATACGAATCCTTTTTACCTTCGGGTCCAACGGTGGGTGTGCATTGTTAGAAGATAGCGGAATAAAGCATTGAACGTGGCGGGCGCGGGGGTTGACGTGGCACTAGCTGATTGTTTCAAGTGACACGTGTTTTGAAAAGAGAACAGTAATTTTAAGATGTGACGCAAGTATAAGGTAGGCAATACATAGGATAACGTCTGGTCCTGTCCTGTTCATTGTCAAAAAGTAAAACCTGTTGCCTGCACTTGATTGGATGAGAATCTCGGGGTGTAAAAACGTAGGCAATCGGGATACTGATAACGATAAATAATAAAATATTTAAATTAGATTGTGATTATGCTGTCCGGGGCATATAAACAACACTCTTTCGGTTAGAATATAAGACTCAATTTTTAAATTAATTTTGATTCTAAATGTAATATTTATGTTTTATATTTATCAATTTTTTTAAAATTATTTTTATGGATCTCTCTCAACCATAATCAAGTAAAAGAGAGAGAAGAGATATTAAGAAAAATGATTATGATATTTTACTTATAATTAACTAACTTACTTCTTAATTTAATTAAATTAATTAAATAGATTTTATAATAAGGATCAGGAGAATATGTATTTTATTTAAAAAATATTTCGCCGATCTTAGTTATAGAATTGTAGTCTATAATTCGGACCAGAGGTAGTATGGGACATACAAGTTACTTCTAGAGATTCATTATGTTTTTTTGTTTACAAGGCTTGAAAGTTCTGTTTTTTGGGAGCGAGTAACTCACATATGTCTTGAAGAGGTCGCTGGAATGGATCCAGATGAGAGGAATCGATCCATGCAACGAGACTCTGGGCCTTGAAAGTCCAATAAGGCCCAGTTTGTTTTGGGAAAGTTCAATAAACTGAAAGCACACGACCCAGACCATGAGGAATCAGAATGTAATGTGAGAGGCTACGTGGCGGTACGTCGTTATCCGTCAACATCTCTTGCGGCGCTGAGCTCAGCTTCCAATACAAAAGGCCGCTCATTATTGTTCATTCACGAGATTATAATAAGCACGTACAATGCAGCAGGCGGCCAAGTGTGCGTCAGGGGAAACGCTGGCGTCATATGATTGGCCCATAGAATTGATGGGTTTCAGCAGCGGGAGAAACAGAAGCAGATCCCCCAAACTCAACTGGTCAACCGGGAATCGTATCAATTTATTTTCAAACATATATAAATATGAAAAATATATTTGTGAACATATATCATTTGATTTTTTTTTTTCGCCTTCCAGTTTATTATTTGATTTCTTACAATATATTTTTAAACATATAAATGATTTAATTTCAGAGTACGCAGATATGAAAAATATTTTTTCCAAATATTTTTACTTAAAAATATTTTGATAATGTTTGTTTTTATAGAGGTTTGTTATAGCCAAAATCCTATAGCTCAACTGGCAAACGACACCTCCCTGTAACATAAGGTTGTAGGTCATAATCTCAAGATATGGAATGCGGTTGATGTGTGCGGGTTCGTGCGTCTTCGTTCTTATTAATTTTTTTTTTAAAAAATAAATAGTGGCATGAATCATGATATAAAAATATTAATGTTATTTTGATACGTGTCTATCATTTTCCTTCATATCGTCTTTCTTTGATTCAAATAGAAGGGATGGTAACATTATTTCATTCAAACAAAGCATTCAGGCAACGTAACTATGTGCTGGCAATATGTGCCCCGCAAAACGAATATGCTTCCAATATTCGAGTTCTCAATAACGTCCTGGGATCACCGTCCTGGCCCAACATTCTGCCTGCATTATTGTTACTTGTGTCTGCGCGGGGTTGAAAACAGGTCAAGTCTATTTAATAATAAACCAGCTTGAACCTGACCCGTGACATATCATAGACTCTATTTTTAGTGTAAACCTGGTCCGTATAATCTAATCTAATTTGAACCTGTTTAAAAAGCCTGTAATTTTAAAATTTTCAAAATACATATTAAAAATATATTTTTTAAACAGCACATAGTTAAAAATACCTGGACTAATGAAAAATATATATATATACTAGAAAAATAATTATTTTTTAAGATTGTTTTTTTTTTAAATTTTAATGTCATAAGTATCATTTTAAGTCTTGATTACAATTAATATTATCGAAAATAAATTATGGTTATATGTTAAAACTTGGAATAAAATTAAATATAAATACACAATTAAAATTAAGACAAATAAATAGGTCAAGCCATACTTGATAGGCTTAACCGGCTTTTTCAAAAGCTTAGACTTAGCCTGCTAGATTAAACTGGCCTTTAACAAGACCTGGGCTTGTTATAGTTTTGGAACAAGCCAAACCAGATCAAATATAGGCAAAGCTAGAGGTCATTGATAGGCTACCTAGCATGTTTCCTCCCCTACCTGTGAGGCTGTGATCGCCAAGACTTAGTTGAATTTAGCATTGGTTCTTTCAAACGTTTATGTAATAAGTTGAGGCTAACATAGAATATTAATGTGGAATTGAGCAACGCCATGCCATCCGATGTTTTCCACTGCGACGCAATCTTAGTTACTGTTTGGAGCTGCTTATTTATAAGCATTTATAAATATGTTTATGTAAGCCAAAACAAGATTTTCTCTGCATACTACCCCCAATTATTTTAATTTTTAATTTGGTCTTAAATATAAAAATCTAATCTACTTTATTTCTCATATTTATTTATTTTTTTAAAAAATAGTCTTTACAGTAGTTGGATACGTTAAAGATAGTAGTTCCACCCAATATATATGATTAACGAGAGTATTTTAAAAAAAAGTACTTGTTTATCACAAAAATTAACTTAACAAATTTTTTTAGTTTTTTTAAATTAGTCAACTAATTTTTATATTAAAGATCTTAGGTGATATATGCTTTGTTTTTTGTAATCTTGTTTTGTTTGCGCGTAGTTGACACGCAATCAGATCTCATTTGTTCATCTCTTGCCCGTTGGGCAAGGCCAAATGACTTGGTTCGCTAAGACTTCACCGGTTTAGGAATCTACTTGTTACCCTAATGAAGGATAGCCAGGAGAATCATGTTGATCAATATATGGAAAGCAAGAAACATAGCCCCACGTGCCCTTTCAACTAATTTAGTCTCTGCGTTCGTTTTATTTATTAATATAATTGTTTTCATTAAAAATAATTATAGCAGTTCAGGAGATGGGAAAATTATTATGCAAATTTGTATAATTTCACCTATTTTTAATCTAACCCCTCTAATAATCCTGTTTAAGATATTATTAAGCACCAAATACAAACATCTCTTTCAATAAAAACTTAAATATTAATTTGTCACCCTGTGAAAATTTAGGCCATTTCACTAAATTTAACTTCAGCCTATTTTTCCAATAGAGGGTGAAGCTTGAGATTAGCAAGAAAACTCTGATATTAAACTGTCTATTAAAAAAGAAAAAAAGAATTACAATCGTAATAATTTCAATGAGTACATTTATTCAATTGGTTCTTCATTTTCCCTTTTCAACTTCAATCTTATGACTTTCTTTTGATCTAAATATAAAACTTATTTTGTAATATAATTTATATTATAAAATGAGTTTTATATTTAGAATTAGAGAAATATTTCTTAAATTTACTGTGGATAAATATTTCACATTTGCTCATGCTAATAAATAAGGAATAATTCACTCTCTTTTAAGGTCAAATGAGGCAAGTAGTGAAAGTGGAATGGGGTAGCACATTGTTTTTTTGGGACAATTAATCTTTTCTTTTCTTTAGTTTTGATTCAATTGTAACTTTTTTATTTTTATATCTCGACTCGACACAACTTATTTTTTATAGCTTTGACTTAGTTGTAATTCAATTCCTAAAACTGGATTCACTGTAACTCGGTCATTATAGTTTTATCTATTTTATAATTTAGTTCCACACCCTGTCTCTATAATTTTATCCATTTTAAAATTTAGTCTTTGTGAGACTAAATTATAATTTGCCTATTATGCCTAAACCCTATCATTTTACACAGGACTAAGTTATGAAATGGGTAAAACTATAGAAACCAAGTTGTAACAAATTAAATTGTACTGAGTTACATATAATTTAGTTAAAACTCCAGGAACGGAGTTACATTAAGTCAAAGTATAAAGAATGAGTTATAATAAAATCAAAACTATAAGAACTGAATTGTACTGAATCAAAATATAAGATATGGGTTACAAACTAATCAAAACTATAGGCAACAAAAGATTGATTTTTCTTTTTGTTGGACCTTCCCTGGCACATTAGTTCGTGAAGTATGGAAGTAAAGTCATGAAATATCAAATATCCGTAGCAAGTGGGATAATTTATATTCAGGAATTATCTTATTTTAAAGAAACGTGATAAGTCGATAAGATCACTGATATAACTGAAAATATATCACATGCAGATCAATAGGTAATTTATTTTTCAATTTATTTATTTTTGGTATTATTATTTTCCGTGAAAATCCTTCTTCCTCCCCTAAGAAGGGTTTCCTTTCACCCTCGCCTCATCGGCCTCACGCTCTTCTCTTCTCTGCGCCTTCTCGCAGAAGAGAGAGAAACATCGAAGAACTCAATCTCTCTCTTTATCTATCTCTGTATCTCTATACCTATCATTCAATCTCTATCTCTGTATTCTTGTATCTTCTTGAAGTATTTATAACCTAAAAAAACCAAATCCATTCTGGTTCAGCTTTTGGCGCCGCTGAATTTTATCTCTTTCTCTTTTATTCACTCTGTCTTATCTGGGACGCGAAGATTCTATTTTGAAGTGAAAGATCCTGAGTTATGCAGCAAGGTGATCAGACGGTGATTAGCTTGAGGCCTGGTGGAGGTCGTCCCGGCGGCGGTAGCAGGTTCTCATCCTCATCGGCTTCCTCTGCTTCTCCTGCTTTTGGTTCCTTTGCCTCTGATCCTTCTCTCCTCCGTCCCCATGGCGGTGTTCCTTCTTTTTCCATTAAGGTATATGTTGAATCTCGATCCTTTGGCTGGATCTGGACTTTCAATTTTTTGGCTGGTCTTATAAGTCTGCGCTCATGATTATATCTCCAAATTCTCGACTGCTTGCTTGCTTTTTAGTTGCTAGAATTATCATTGAAAGATTCTAGATTGTCATTATATGTGTTGCCGTGGGCGCAGAACGATTTCTGAAATGTAGCTAGGATGCTTGATTGTCGTATTTTAGGTGGTGTTAGTAATTTATAATGTTGATTTGGATCTCGTAGCAGTCTAATTAATATCAAGGGCTCAAGGTGGTATTTTCTGGTTTGCAGATGATTTTTGGCTAAATGTTAATTTTTTTTGGTGGCGAGGTCTTATGTTCAAGTTCGTACCCTGCGAACATTGTGTTCGCAGTTGTTTCCATTCGCTGCTACTCAAGATTTATATTTTTGTTGGCCCTTAGAAGAATGTGACTAGTTTCATGGTGTTCTGTTATGAAGTTTAACGATAGTTTGGCGACATCCTAGTACACAGAAGTTCACTGAGATTTATATCTTCCCTTGTTACTGTGTCCCCGTTGACATTCATCATCTAATTTTTAGTTAGGAGTAGGAAATTCTGTTTGAGACCGGTAAAAGTATTGGGTAAAGAAAACTCAAGCTGGATAACGAATGTCCTAATTCTTGGTGGGACACTCAGTATGTGTACCTGCTGTAAATATGGACAAAAAGCAACCTCGTGGGCTTTAGGTGGGCTTGATTAAGTTTCAGATTGCCCATAAAGGTCCCACATACAGTAGAATATATTTTGAAATTTTGGTAGAGGCAACAAATTCTCCCTAGGGCAGAGTGTAGAATCTGAGAAGTTGGCAGTCTTCTCACTGCGGCGACCTGCTTCATGAATTGGTTATTCACGTTTCATAGTCTTGAGTGGCACTACATTGCCTGTGGAGTTCTAGTTTGAGGGGTTGCTGATAAATCTTCTACTTCCTTGTTGTGAAGGCAATGCTTGCGAAAACAGCAAACCTGAAAAGTTGTCTTCAGCAACCTGGCACATCAAATTATTCTATTGGCATTACCAATGCATCTATTATAGATATCCATTCGTATAATGCCAATTTTAAGTTGTACTCCATTTACTGCCCTATAATTTTGTGCCTGTAAAGGACTCGGCTGAAAAATAGAAGAAAGTGCTTTTAGATGCGTGGTAAAAGCATATAACTAAGTACCATTGGAGATGACTTCTTTAATAGGATTGCAATTCATTTTATCCTACTAACTGTTACGGACAATTATAATTTTCTTGTTATTGACTGATTAACCTTGTTTATTTTGATCGATTCTTATTCTTATTCTTCTCGATTTTGTAGGCTGGAGATTCACGGTTTGAGGGTCGTGAGCGTGTGCAATACACTAGGGATCAGCTTTTACAACTGAGGGAGGTAATTCTTACATGCTTTCGTACATTGAGTGCTGTTGTGAATGTTCTCATCTCTTGCTGTTGAGGAGAATGTTTATTATGTTCCATTTATCTGCTGCCTTTTTCATTGATGCCTTTGTGCTTTTGACAAATACACATCTATTGGTCTGGGTTTGGCTGTCCTTTTCTCATTCGTCCACTAGGTAAACACTCCTTGTGTGTGTATGTGATTAGACCTTTGTCTCAGAGTTAAACAGAGGTTAGCAAGAGCTTCTTTTGGGCAATTTTATTTTACTAGAAGGCCCCTGGCCTATATATGTTATTCTATAAGCCCCTGAACAGACACTTGTTGGTTAATTTTCTCCCTCCTCTTTCCCTCTTTCCAGTAAATTGCTTTTGAAGTGGCACAAATCTGTGTGCTTGTGTGCTGTATAGCTAAGTCTTGACATCAAAACTGATATTTATATTACCAGCTGTTTGACGTTTGAAAATTTACTTATAGGTTGTGGAGATCCCTGAAGATATTTTAAAAATTAAACAAGATATAGAAACTGAACTTTTTGGTGAAGATCAAAGCTGGGGCCGTGCAGAAAATGTGAGTTTCCTTCCCTTTTTTGGCTTCTGTTTATGTTGTTAACTTTTGCGAGTACTCCGGGCCTTGTTCATCCTGTTTGGTAATTTGATTGTTTGTGCTATTCTCCGATGTTGAGATTTGAGCTGCTGCTGTATATTATTTAATCTTAACTTCATATTCATAAGCACTAATTTTGTTAAATTATGTTTATGCGTGCATCCTTTTATGCAGTCTGCACAACAATTTCAAAATCGATACTCTGAGCCAGACAACCGTGATTGGCGTGGGCGGTCTGGGCAGCTTCCTGCTTCTGCAGAAGAGAAGTCATGGGAAAACCTGAGAGAAAATAGGGAGTTTGGAAATCGGTTTGATTCAAGGCAGCAGGATTCTAGTCAGTTCAATCGGCAGGATCAACTGAATTCCCAGTTTGCAAGGGCACAGATTTCTTCTAACCAAGTAAGAATAAGCTTTGGCATTTTATGTTGTCTTCTCGGTTCTGAACATACTTGTGTGTCTGTTGGAAAACTGTTTTATGCAGTTTTATGAATTGTTTTGGTTGAATTTCTTTCTGACTCCATTTGAGGATGACAGTTTTTGTTGTGATCGTCCATTGGTTTTGTCCTGGGGAGGGGTGGGGGAGATGTTAGTGTATTCAATTGCCATAGCAGCATCATTCTGATGGTTATGGGGGGTAGGGGTGTAGTGTGATGTTCTTTTGAAGCCTATCCTACTCCATTTTAGATTGTAAAGTTTTTAACGCTTAACTTACTTGATGATGTCTTGTTTTAAAATAAAGCTGTTACATATAATATGGAAAATCATTAGATTGCATTGCCTGTTGTTATGATACCGTTCCCTTGTTGCCTACCTATTAGAGATGGCATAATGAATTGCTTGATGTCTCTTTCTATTCAGGGAGGACCTGCTCCAACTTTAGTCAAGGCTGAGGTTTCCATCGGTCAATGGAAGAGGAAACCTATCTGAAAAGGATCGTTGTCTTGAAAACTGTTAAAGGGTAATTTGTTATGTGTGTAATTGTTCAATGTGGATGTCTTTTAGACTGTGACTGTATCTTGGAAAATGTGGAACTTTTCCATATTCAATGCCTACCTTAGTTTTTGACTTTCGTTTCTAAATCTTAATAGGCTAAATGAGTAACCTTGGAAAATAGTGTCTACAAGTAGGTGTGATAGCTTCAAGTTGTGGGATCATATAAAACAACAGTTACTTGCTGTTGCATTTGTCTTGACTTCCTTAAAAAAGCCTCATGCTATGCTAAATGTCATATGTTTTAATGCAGAATTCTAAACAAGCTTACGCCTGAGAAATTTGATGTCCTGAAGGGTCAATTGATTGATTCTGGGAATTACATCTGCTGACATCTTGAAGGTATTTTCTTTGATGGCTGCAGAGAATATTCTATCCACCTCCTAGTTCTTAACTGATTTGCATTGTTTTTTTCGCTTTGGAATGCAGGGAGTCATTTCACTTATATTTGATAAGGCTGTACTAGAACCAACATTTTGCCCCATGTATGCTCTTCTTTGTTCAGATCTTAATGAAAAGCTGCCTCCATTCCCATCTGATGAGCCTGATGGGAAAGAAATCACTTTTAAGCGAGTAGTACTCTGAATAACTGCCAGGAGGCTTTTGAAGGTGCTGATAAACTGAGGGAGGAGGTGAGGCAGATGACTGCTCCCGAGCAGGAGATGGAGCGTAGGGATAAGGAAAGACTGGTCAAGCTTCGTACTCTTGGTAACATCCGATTAATTGGGGAGCTGTTGAAGCAGAAGATGGTTCCTGAAAAGATTGTCCATCACATTGTTCAGGTTCCTCGTTGATTTAATCCTTCACTGTGTATTATGATTCCTGTTAAATTATGGCATGGAATATATCCTAGTGTAACTAACTGTTATTTGGAACAGGAACTTTTGGGAGCTGACAGCAAGTCCTGTCCAGTTGAGGAAAATGTTGAAGCAATATGTCAGTTTTTTTCAATACTATTGGTAAAACTGATGATGAAAGCCAAAAATCAAGGCGTATTAATGACATGTACTTTAGCCGATTGAAAGAACTGAGCTCAAACCCCCAACTCGTATCACGGTTGAGGTTCATGTTCATGATTGTGATGTTCTAGATTTACGTTCTAATAATTGGGTTCCAAGACGTGAAGAGAGGTAGGCTAATAAATTTTGATGTTTTTATGTTATGCCAACTGATAGCACTTTTGCGATTTGGCTGAGTATTTAATAGCTAACTACTTGTGTAGGTGAAAGCGAAAACCATCACTGAAATTCATTCAGAAGCGGAAAAGAATCTTGGATTGCGGCCAGGTGCTACTGCAAGCATTAGAAATAACCGTGCTGCAGCTTCTGGTGTTCAAGGAAGTATGAGCCCTGGTGGGTTTCCAATTGCTCGACCTGGTACAGGAGGTATGATGCCTGGAATGCCAGGAACCAGGAAGATGCCTGGGCTGCCTGGAATTGATAGTGACAACTGGGAAATGCCTAGGACACGATCAATGCCAAGAGGAGACATGTCAGGCATGCAAGCTGCAGGACGTGGTCAGTCCCCTTTACTTTCAAAATCATCAGCCCTGAACCCAAAGCTATTACCTCAAGGTAGTGGTGGTCTTATAAGTGGAAGAAGCAGTGCCTTAGTGCATGGTGGTGGTGCGCCTCCTTCTCGTCCATCAAACTTTGTTTCTGGTGCTGAGCCTCCATCTCAAATCCCTACATCTGTGAAAGCTGGCCCCAGTGGGTCCTTCGAGAAGCCACAGACTGCCCCAAAATTGAACCTTGATGATCTTCGCCGCAAAACTGTCTCTCTTCTGGAAGAATATTTCAGTATTCGTCTTTTAGATGAGGCAATGCAATGCGTGGAAGAACTAAAGGCCCCATCCTACCACCCTGAGTTTGTTAAGGAGGCTATTTCCCTTGCACTAGATAAAAGTCCACCCTGTGTTGATATTGTCGCCAATCTTCTTGAGTATCTTTTTATTAAGAAGATTCTTACTGCTAGAGATATAGGGACTGGCTGTTTGTTGTTTGGTTCCATGCTAGATGACATCGGCATAGATTTACCTAAAGCACCGAATAATTTTGGTGAGATAATTGGGAAGATAATTTTGGCTGGGGGATTGGATTTTAAGGTAGTAGCAGAGATCCTTAAGAAGGTGGAAGATGACTGGTTCCAGAAAGCCATATTTGATGCTGCAATAAAGACCATCGGTTCCGCATCCGGGCAAGCTCTTTTGGATTCACAAGCCTCCGATATCGAGGCTTGCCGCAGTGTGCTCAAGTAACCCAAGTCATCTGACGACTTTGCATGATTATCTGAAGGTGGAGGAACGTGTCTTCCAAGAATTCCCCTTTATCCCTCAACAAATTGAGTTAGAGCCTTTTGTATTACAGTATTTTATGACAGTGGACCTCTCAATCAGGATCAGGTACTTTGGTTAAGGACTCAAGGCTGTAAATTTTTGGTTTTTTTGGTTTTGCTGTTTTATTTTTGAGGTCTTAGAGGTGTTTATTGAGGAAAAGAGTCAAACCATAAAAGCTACGGATTTTGTTTCCCCTGTCGGCTCATCGTGTGCCGTGTTACTTCCAATAGTGACCCAGGCCATCAAGGGTCCGAATGTTTTTGTATTTCATTAGTCTTTATTTTTTCCCTTGAGAAAATTCTGACATAGTAATTGTTATACTGGTCAGTTCATAAATATCATCCTCTTTTTTGGTTTTGGTGCCTGAATAAATATCGTCCGTTATCTTCACGAGCTCATTTTATTGGGGCGCATTCGGATACATGGATCTCTGTCTGAAAGTATTCTTATTTCTCTCATTCCTTCGTATTGTAATGTTAAACTGGTCAGTTCATAACTCTTTTGATTCTATATCATATTGGAGGCAAACGGCCTAAAATGTTCATGGCTTCAACTCGAGCTAAGTCTTTTTAGAGGAAAATCTTGATCTTCATTTTTGTAATGCTCATGGCATAGCTCGGTTTATCGAACAGTGCTGGGAACAATAACAAGTAGGGGGCTCCGCATGTCGTTTTATTCTTTCTTTTATTTCATGTTTTTTTTTTTTGCCAATTCCCTCCATTCTTAATCATGGTTCTCAATTTCACCTTCGTTGTGTTTTTTAATTATAATTAAAATTAAAATATACTTCGCATTAAAAAAGATGTCATAATAAATAAATTTTACAATATAAAATACTTGCTGTTTATTGTGTGTGTGGATTCTTACCAAATAAAATATTCATTCTCTTCTTAAATATACCAACTGCTCTCTGTCTTAGTATAAATTTTAAATAACTAATCTATGAATGATGAATTGCTAGTTAAAATTAGTTAAAAATAATAAATATATTAAAAATATAGTTTTGTTTCTAAATATGCTTTTATGATAAATGAAAAAACAGATAAAAGAGAATGTGTAAAAAAAAGTGATAAGAGAGAGTATAATAATAAAAAAGAATAAATAATTAAGGACAAAATTGAAAAAAATACATTAAATGTTAAGAGAAATGCCAAATTGAACTTTATAAAATGGATTACACTATTTTTTAAATTTGAAGCTTATTAATAGAACCGGAGGGAGTATATTAATTTAGATAGATTAAATCAAATAAATAATTTAATTATAATAAATGTTAGATAATAATAAATGTGATGGACAAACACATAAAACATATTGTAGTCTTATACTCCAAATGAAATTTAATTTTCCCAACTAGTTTATACATTTGCGACCTGAGATAGTATAAAGGTAAAAATCCACTTTGGGTTTTAAGATTTTACACAATGTTTTAATTTTATCTCTTAATTTTATAAAATATTTTTTTATTTTTTATCCATAATATTGTTAATTTTATTAACAAAAAACATCAATATTAAAATTTTAAATGTTTAAAAATTCAAAAGACTAGCGCATTATATTTAATTTTTTAAAATAATAATAAATGACAGAAAAATTACTAATTACTTGTTAGGACTAATAATATTAAAGATAAAAAGAAATGTTGTTGTAGAAGTTTACTTTTCTTTTCCCATATAAAAAGGAAAACAGAAGCCATAATTCCCGCCTTTTCCATCTTTCCAGAAACCAAAATGCCGGAAAGCACAAGCGTGAAGGATGATGAATCGCTGAAGCTGGCCATAGCCATCTCCCTTCTTCGATCAAAGGCCCAACAAGAGAAGAGGAAGGAGCCAAATACGCTCGATCCTTCACAATCTGATGCTCTCCGCTGGAAGCAAAAGGTTCGAGATCCTTCGATTTTCCCGCCAATGTGTTTTCCTGGGAACCAAACTGATTTTGATGTAGCTTCGGTGCTGGCATTCTTAGGCGAAGGAGAGGAAACAAGAGCTTTTGAGGCTTAGAGAAGATCTAAAGGAAGCGCAAGGTTCACTTCCCCTCATACCCGCACACATGTCTCCATAAAACATTCAAGCATAAATACGGTGTTTCACATTGCTGGATCTGTGTTTTGGATGTAGATGCTTCGCAGTGTGAACTGTTCCCAGAAAGTGCATCTTGCAAGTGTGTTATTTCTTCGAAAAGTTGGGGAATCGAGTGGTCAGAAAATTGAGAATAGCTCTGTCAGCAGATTCAACGACGTCCTTCGCCGTCGATTTCTCAGACAAGGTTCTGCCGTCGTCGTCATTGTCATCATGAACATTAAATGATCTTGCTCTCGAGGGCCAAATTGATGTCTGGATATTTGTTTTGTGTAGTGCGCTTTAAGGAAAGAAGTAGAAGAGTGAGCACTTCAAGTCAGCGAAGACCAACATTTGGTACATAAATGACTTGTGGCTGTAGATTTTCTTTGATCATTTTACTAATTATGATCAATTATCAAAATGCATAGTAATAGTCACGGGCTCCATTGTTTGTTCTGCTCATCTGAATTTGATTATTAGCCCTTGGACTTGTTGGTGCTTTAATTTGAATTTCCGTGGCTTGAAATTTATGGTCTGTAACTAGAACGGTGTTTTCTACAACAATAATGACACTCAGGTTTTGGCATGCTGGGTGAGAATTTTATTTTATTATATTTTAAAACGTCATATGCAGGTTCAACAGTCGAGGATGAAACAGAGCAGCTTAGGTCATCCGTTGATTTTCTATTGGAGCTCTGCGAGACCGTTTCACCCGTCAGTGTGCTTTACTAATTACTACCTATTTATCTCTTTTTTTTACCGTTTTTTGGCCGAGTCACGGTTTCACCCCGGTGAAATTTTCATTGACTTCACCATTATATCGTATTGATCAAGTATCCTGCATTTTTTGCTATCGATTTTTCGGTAAAAACTATGGTGTGTAAAATACTTTTAATAGGCGGAGAGCGAAAAACGGGTTTAGGTCACGTTCGTCGTAAGGACCAAGAGGGGTATAAAGAAACCTGCGAGTGATGGTGACTTTATGTAATTGCTCCAAGGGAGATTTAGAGAGGTAAAAAGTTGCGTTTTACTATACTGCAAATTGGGAGGCATCCACCGAGTGTTTTAATGATAGCACTTAAGCTCGGTGGAATAGTTGAGAGCAGCATAAGGCTATATTTATAGTCAAGAGACAAGACGCAAGAAGCTGATTAGGGAAAAGAATGCGTGTTTATCCTGCGGGCAGCATCTTTCATCATCATCATATTTATACATGTATCCCCTGACTTTATTTTCTTCTTATCCATCTTGAAATATTGAACGTCTTTTCTGCAGCTTCATTGAAGAATCTTCTGTCAATGAGAAGGAATCTGGAACTTGTTGAAGGAATTATCAGCAACTTAGTTACGCGTTTAGTGAGGCAGATGTGTTCTCCCTTGCAACCAGATGGTATTGCTAATTTGAGCCTCTGAGGATGGACTAGGATCATGAGTGTCATTTTCATCGACTATGAATGCTATAATACACTCCGCAGATTAGGGCGCAATGTTTACATTTTTGACCTTTCTTCTCCACGATTTCACTGCCAAAATTTTATGCTCATTCGTTTGTTTCGTTCTAGTAATGGACCTTTCTTCTTTCTGTCTCTGTTTTGTTACTCAAAACTATTTTCTTTCAGGGTCTGAACGAGCTGGCCCTGATGCACAGATTTATATTCAGCATTTGATTCGAAAACTAGGAATTGAGCCGTACATTGGTCAGCGAGCAATATTTTCGGTTTCTCAGAGAATTTCTGTGCTGGCAGAACGCTTGCTTTTCTCTGATCCTTTTGATGATGGCTTTCCTGATATGCATGAATGTATGTTCATAATGTAAGTTTTCCGCAGATACGCATTAGACTGCATTATCTCCATATTCATAACGAATAGTTCAGAACCAATTTTCTGCCATTCTGTTGGACACTACGGACTCGTGCCGCGCCTTGCTTATATCATCAAATCACGAAGTGAATTCATACGTTGTCCCAACAGCTTCTGTCAACCTGAAACTGTTTTCTCTATATAATTTCTATATTCACATGTGGAGTTTGGTATGAATTCTACGGCTCATGTTCAGCTTCATTTGCAAATTAATCCAATAGCAATCTTCTAACTGGCTCTAGAGAGCCTGTAGGTATTAGTCTTTTACAATTTAAGGGCATTATGTTTTTTCATGATAAATGCATTTATTTGATTTATTTTTTGGAGGACAGGATCCAGCTTATCGAGTTTTTGGTGTCAGATTACTTCTTAGAGTGGTCAAAAGCTGAAGATTTAGACAACGGTACGCTTGATAAACTCTGTCCATGTTTATTATCTTTCTCGCTTATGTTCCTACTCTGAATCTTAATCTTCAAAAACCACAGACTAGAACTTTTTTTTTTCCCCTTCCTAATTTCTTAACTGTTATATTCCTCTAGCATGCTTCTTCAAATGATTAGAAATAATTGATAAGGACTGTGACCTAACAGTTCTCCTCGAAGATTGGGTGACGTCAATTCTGCATGCAAGAAAGGCATTAGAACTCTTGGAAAGCAGAAACGGACTTTATGTTCTCTATATGGACCGACTCACAGGTGAATTGGCAAAACGAGTGAGTCAGGCCTCATCTCTTCAGAACTTTAAACCGGACATCTTTAATGCCTTGTTCGGTTAAGTATGATCTGTTGGCAAATTGCAAGTAATCAGCTAAATCCTTTTCTATTTCTTCTGTTCATGCGAGTTAGTATAAGGGTTTGCTGCTGTCACATGCAACACCTTTTTTATTTTCTCGTACTCATCAAAATTCATTTTAGCAAATTGTGTTATGCCTGATATTGCACCTATGAGGTAGATTGGATTACTGGGGATGGAATTGCTATTTTATGTAGACTTTTCCCCCAAAAAAATAATAATAATAAAACGATAATGATGCGACTTGGTCTAGAAAAAGTTTAAAGTATATGAGAACTTGTGGAAAAAAGGATTCTCACAGAGGGGTAAAAAGGAAAAGAAAGAAATGGTAGGAGGAAGAAAGAGACATGATACTTGATAACATATTTACGTAGGCTTTGCCTCTCTTCTTTATGCATGGGCATCGCATTTTGTATAAAAGCAGATCTTTCAGAGATTTATTTCTTTTTAATCCACACGCATGGATACCATAATACTTTAGTTTGGTCATGTATTCTTTTCACAGAGAAATACTATATTTGGCGAAACTTTTAGGTATCATCTGGTTCATGTAATGCTTTGCTTTGGTATGGATAGATGGCATGATGCATTAACCCTTGGTGGCGTGCATAGATAGTCCTCTGACATGATCAGTGTAAGAATTAGATTCTATTAGGGACAGCACTTGTTTGAATAACCGTTTATCTTTTTCGTAGCACAGTCAACTAATAAATTGCGAAACAACTTTCTCATTACTCCAAACCTCTAGAAAAGATGCTCCTTCTCTTGTTTTGGCCCAAAAATGTTATTACCTCCTGTCCTAATTCTTAGATTTAGTTTGTATTAAAAATTATACTACAAACTAGATCTTATATTTAAAACCGGATGTGATATTTTTTTTCTTTTCAAGTTTTGACTTTACTGTTCGAATCTTCTCTTGATTTGATTGCGACAGACTGGGGAATCAAGCAAAGCTAACCAATATATTCAGAGATAAAACACTGACGTACTAAGATATTCATATACACATGTATACATAGACACATAAAAGAGTAAGTGTTAAAGGTACGAAATTACAAATGAGATTGAATTTATGGCGTCATGCGTATATAAGAATTTTCATATTCATTTATATTTACTACAATATAGTACGTAAGTTTCACATCGTGTGTAGATTCGCAGCGTGTTTCAGGTGGCAGGACGCCTTTTCTCAAAAGCAAAATGTAGAAAAGTGACCTCCAGGACCACGATTGCCTTTTACAGAAGCCAAACGTGGTTCGAGGTGGTGTTCTTCCACTCAACCATATTTTTTGAGCTTACGAAAAATGAACCATAAAAATGAACATAGTGCGTCAAAGAGGACAAAAATAAGTCGTTAAGATTATCTACTGTTTATGGTTTGCTTAATTGCCTCATAAAACACACAAGGGTTTAAAAGATCAGAAAATAACAGAACTATTAAAAAATATACCTTGCATAATTTGATAATATGATAAATTATACACTAGTTTTATTTTAATTTTTAAAAAGAAAATGAACCACAAACTCTTGCCTTTCGTGTCAAATCAAATAATAACATTAAAGACGACAAAAGAGACGGCAAAACAATCTCATTAGATTCATTTTGTCGAATAATATAATAAATATTTCAAGATTTTCATATAACATATTGAAATTTGAGAACAATGAATTGATTATCTTTAAGATTTTTCAGTCTCTGCGTACAAGAAGAGACTATTCAATCAGAATTCTTTCTACCAAGAGGCACCAATGATATTGGGTAATTGGTGTAGACTATGTATACAACATTCATCTAATAGAGATTTAGACAAATCAATTTTTACTTTTTTTTAATCAATTTTAGTAATACCGTAACGATGCAGAGTGTCAAATGGTATCATTTTTATATCTATCAATTTATTAACAAACATTTTAATTATCTCATTTGAATGACTCATAATACAGGGGACTATTTAATCAACATTTGGCATCGGATTTTTTTATATCCATAAGATTTGTGAATACCAAACAAAATTATTACTCCTCCTGTTCTATGTATAACACTCATTTTGTAATGTAAATTATACTGCAATATGAGTATTGCATATAGGACTAGAGGAATATTATTCAATGAAGAAACTAATTCTTACATAAAAACAAAACAAAAAAGATTCAAATCAAAGGTTTTCAATCGACCAAGTCGAGTTGACAACCTCATCGTATCCTATTCTAAATTCTTCTTTATCGCTACCCAGCTTTTTCTATATTAGATAATCATTTTGCACAGAAAACATTCTACTTCTAGTGTTCGAAGTATCAAACAATTATTAATCATATATCAAGCTGAATCTGGTTCTTAGGCTATCGGAAATTTATTAGTTAATTTCTTTTAAAATCCCTTTTAAAAGACTTCATTATAACTTTTAGCTTTTTTTTTTTCCAACTATGATCGTAAACTATGATATATTTTGAAACGTACTATTTTTTTTGACGTCAACCTAAATAATCAGAATCTTGCTTCCACACTGCTTAATCTCTGCCAAAAGAGAGAACTCGGGAAAAAAGGGAAAAAACAGTTAACGGGTGACTTTCTAAAACTAGTTTAAATGACAAAAAATGGGGTGGAATGTGAATAGATATCATAGATGTAAACTCCACTGATTTCTGAACTAAAACAGACTTTTAAGTCCCAATCCTTGGTTTGAATTGAAGTTCACTAGTATAACCTTTTCGAAGTAATTTTTCAAAGTGATTAATATAAAAAGAATAAACAATAAAAGAGTTTCTTTATTCCTTTTATTTTATTCCAATCCCATGCTTATCAGCATATAACAATATTCACAAGGCACTAAAATTCCATTCATAATAATCTTTTGGAAGAATTGCAATAACTACCCAAATGAGAAGCATAATTACATAATAAAATAGCCTGCAATAATAAGTTTTAGAATAATAAATAACGAATATTCACTTGTTATCAGAGGTTACTAGTAATTATCTTTTCTTTGAGATTTCACAATCTTTTCCCTTACATTAATACTGCGGCGTTCATACTAAGATAACAAAAGCAAAATTCACAGACAATCAAAGAAATAGAATATTATATTTGCTCTCAATTTCTCGCCAGGAATCTTATTCAAAGGTTTCAAAACCACACCGTTGATGTTAAACCCACCATAGATAAGTGCCTTTCTTTTTTTCTTTTCACATTTCCAAATTGATGAAGTATAAATGCCCTCTTATATCTGCATATCTGCCAAACCAAAGTGCCTTTCCACAAAAACAACCAACAACTTGCAGGTTAATAATTAATTCAAACAAAAGGTTCAAATATGAGAGTGACACCAGTTCTGTGTTTCTTTCTTTTGTTCTTCATCGTTCTCCTGTACTCAACTCATGGAACTACACTTGCTGCAGAAACACGTTCACAAAAGCAGCCTAAAGGTAAAGTATTTCTACACCCTTTTGTTTCTTCCTCCTTAGCTTTCTCTTTCGGTATTTAGACTTTCTCTCTTTGAGTCATTAAGAAAAGGAAAGGGGCAAGTCATTTTCTTATATTTTGAAGTTCTTCCAAAGTTTGCAGAGAAAATTAAATCTCTTCAACTCAGCTTTCCTTCTTTCCCTACATAGGATCCATGTTTCTCGTTTCTAAATTGGATTGTTTAAAGTGACTTTATTGAGAATGAGAAGATGGCTCATTATTTTGTGTCTATCTCACTTCACTTCAGAAAACTAAAGAATCTCCACATTTCAGATCAATCCCTAATCTCTCATTCTCTCTTTTTTCCCCCTTCCCTCAAGTACCAAACACACGAGTTTCAAAATGAAGATTCATGGGTAGTTTTTATTATATATAATCTCTAACAAGTTTCAAAGCATGCAGTGATGCATGGTAGGATCAACGGGTGGAGCAAAGTAGAGAATCAAAGAAGACAACCAGGATTATGGCATGTTGTTCAACGTGCCGGAAGTGGTGGCCGGACGGTGAATGGACCACGTCCACGGGCCGGTCGTCGGAACAGTGCAAATTCTTTGTCAATCAAAAGCTCGTCCTTGTTCACGGCAGGGTCCCGGCATCTCATCTTTGCACTGCTACTTGTTGTTTGCTTCTTCTAAATTCCCTATTCCGCATTAGCCTTAATTAAGATCTTAGTTGGCTTGTATCTGGAGAAGAAGCGTTTCTTTTTCTCTCCATAAAAATCCATATGTATAATATCGAATATACTTATGTTACCACTTTTAACTGATACTACCTTCGCTCCTTAATATAAGACCCTATTTGATTATTGTTTTGATCCTAAATATAATACCTCAATCTATTTTGTCTCTCATATTTATATTTTTTCCCAAAATAGTCCTCATAACAATGGTAGTTATAACCAATACACTTAATTAGTAAAGATATTTTAGGAAAGACAACATATATTTATTACAAATAACTAACTTAACTTCTTTCTTTAATCTTCTCAAATTAGTCAATTAGCTCTTATAATTAGTATCGGAGGTAATATTATTTTAAAGTTACCTTATTATTTGTACACCAAAAAAAAAAAGTTACCTTATTATTTTTTTTGAATTCAAGAAGAGAAGACCACAAAAATATTTTACCGTGTAACTGAATATGAGGACTGGAGTTGCAAACCAACCAAATCCCCCGCATAACATCAATCTTAGTCGATCTTTAATTAAATTGAGCTGAGTTTAATGTCAATGATACAGTCTCTCACCAAACTCTTCTGAAAAAGTTGAAGTGAAGAGGAAACAAAAAGTGAATAGACAAAGAACACGAGGAAGTTTGTAAAGGAAAACGAAAGGAGCATAAAGAAAATTTCACAAAATTTCATGCCCTCATATACATGGACGTGATGTGTTAAAAAAAAAACATTTTATTATGTTTTGTGAAACAAAACTACTCTCACATATTTATTTTATATAATATAAAATCACTTAAAATAAGTTAATCTGATCATGAAGACTTCGTAGCGTAGTTTGAGGTTTTCGTGAAACTAAAAAATTATACACAAAGGTTTGGTATCAATTATCAAAGGATGATGCATAAACAGGAGGTCATGTTTAAATTCTCTGATTAGCAAGTAAAACAAAACAAGAGATATTACCCCGATCCTCATTATAAGACCTCATTTGTAGATTATAAACGAGGTCTTATAATTAAGACTAAAGATAATATTAATTAATATATAATTAGGACCAGAGGTAATATTAATTCATGTGGCCGTTTGGCTCATTATTTTCCTTTCCAAACTGAAATTTTATAGACGGATAGATAATTACTTGGAATTGAGATATAGCTTTAACCTCTGCAAAAACCCAAGAGTTGCTTAAATCATAACAAATCAGTAGAATCTGGATCACAAGAAAAAATTTTGAAACTCAGACATGACAAGTAATCCCTTCAACTATCATTCCTAACAAACTTAAATCCTTAATCTTAATTTTCCTAAACTTTGTACTCTTGTGATGGGTACAGACAGATCAAAGTGTGGCAAAGAAGTGATGAGATTGAACTTAGTAAAAATTTTGTATTTTTTAAATAATTTTCACATTTTAAATCTAATTTTCATAGTCAACTAAATTAAAATCATAACTAATATACTAATTTTAATCTAAAAAATTATAATAGGATTTAATTCTCTCAACCGTGCGGATAATGCTATGGTACCTAATGGTATACAATCCAACCTTCTAATGGAACATAACTTAAACAAAGTTTGAAGTAACAATGGTTAATTTTTTTCTGCAAAGCAAATCATTTACAAATTTGAAATGTTTTTCTCTCTATGCATGAAGAGAGATAAATTGATATCTAAATTTTAAATCTAAATAATAAATTAAATCTTGGTTAGATCAATAGATGATTTGCATGTGCAGTTTGTAGAGAAGTTAGAACGAATATAGTTTCTCTTCGTTACAATTACAAATCATTCAAATCATATTACAACAGTAGAAATTATCATGTATCTTTGAAAAAATATCAAATCTAAAGCATCAAATTTATTCAAAGATTCCACTATTACACTGCACCTTCTTCTTAATGGAGAAAAGCTATCGAAGAAACTAGATTAGAAGTAACATGACATTCGACCAACAAAAAGAATCAAAATCTTCTTTCTAATCAGCTTAATGTATGTGAGAATCTTGCAAAAGAATAATTAATCAATGAACCAAAGAATCTCTTTTGTTATTTTATTGCCAGTCCATATCTGTCACAGCATAATATATTCACAATGCTTTACACTTAAACCGTCCACCCTTTTCCTTTACAAAAACAATGGGTATCGTTCCAAGAAAACTCACCGGCAATCAAAGAATCAACACATTCCAACAATGGCTCTCATTTTCCTGCAAGGAATATTATTCGTCCATGGATTTCAAAATGACGCCACACATAATTACTGTTAAATTCACTATAAATATTGACCAACTAATAAAGCGCCTCTTCATAACCACCAACCATTTGCAGTTGAATCATAGAAGATTCAAACATGAGAGTGACACCAGTTTTATGTTTCTTTCTTCTGTTATTCATCGTTCTCATGTATTCAGCTTATGGAAGCACACTTAGTGAAGAAGCACATTCACTAAAGCAGCACAAGGGTAAAGCATATTTTATGGACTTCTTGTGTCCTAGTTTTTTTCTTTCTGTATTTACCTCTTCTCACTTCTCAGTTCTTGTATGAAAATGAAATTCCAATTGAACAAACATTTCTGCTAGTTACCAAAAAGCCACTTCACCTGAAAAGCTTTAAAAGGCATTACCTCCAATCCTAATTATAAGACCTTATTTATAGTCTACAAATGAGGTCTTATAATTAGGACCGGAGGCAGTATGTTATTATGATCCCTCTAACAGCTTTAAAAACATGCAGACATGTATGGTATGATCGACAGATCAGGCAAACAGGACAATCAAAGAAGGCATCCAGCATTGCATATTGTCCATCATAGAACAACTATAAAGAGAGCCAAGGCAGTCTATGGTGGTGCAAATGACATAAGGCATCCACGTGGCAAGAGTAGTGCTCAGTCCTTATCAATCAAACACTCATCCTTGTTCATGGCAGCTTTCAGGCATCTAATTGTCGGACTGCTACTTGCTATCTGCTTCTATTAAATTCCTGTTGAATCTACGAGCTCTAAACTGAAGGGCTATTGTACTGTGCTACCTTCCTAATTTTCATTTGCTTTCTTATACTCTTGCTCTTGGCTTGTGGTATGTAACTAAATTTGAGAACTACGGTGTAAACCATCCTTTTGATATGAACTTTTCCTTTCTTTTTTTTTTTTTCCGGTTACTACCTCGTGAACAAGTCAGATCCCATCCATACAAGCAACAAAAGTCAATAAACTGATGATATTTGACAACACCATCTTAGTCTTCAAAGGTGAGGCAAGCTTAATGTCAAGGATTAAATTTCTCCTCATACCCTTTTTTCTACTCTCTGATGTGGACATGGATGGCGCATAAGCTCAATGTCAAGGATTAAATTATGTAAAACGTTGGATAACTATTGCTATCTAATTGGCCAGTCACCAGCTAAGCCACAGATTGTTAATTTCAAGTCTGAGGCCTCTTTACATGTTACTTTGCCCTAACTAACGATCTTCAATATGAAGGAATACACTGAAACACATATACAAGCGTGCGTACTTGCACATTTCTGGGTCTTTGACAAACCAGGGAATATATAAACGTTGGATAACAAAATGATATGCAAAATAAAATGTGTGTGTGTGTGTGTGAGAGAGAGAGAGAGAGAGAGAGAGAGAGAGTTAGTTAGTTAAGGGAGGTTAATGGGTAGTTAGTTATAGGTTTAGAGTTATGGTCTATTAAAAGGCACAAGAAGGGGTCTTGTAATCAGCTATTGTGAATTGAGTCTCTCCCCGTTTTCTCTTCCTCTGTTCTCGTTTCTCTCATCTCTTCCTTCTGTTTCTCTCCCTTTCCCTCCCTTTCTCTCCCTTTCCTACATCTCTCATGCATCACAAAGGATGACACAAAATCAGGTCCTGGCATGTTCAAACTCTATGATTTGCAGACAAAGCAGAGTATTATTTTAGCCATTTGCTCACTTCAAGTTGCCCCTGAAATATATGGTGACCCAACCCCTAAAAAGACCCTTTTCCAAACTGAAATTGCTATACAGATTATTACTTGAGATATAGTCTCTAAAGTTCTTAACCCAATGCAAAACCCAGGAGGTACACAGACCTTCAACATAACAGCATAATCTTGATCCCAGAAAATTGTTAGAAAATCTGCGGCCTGAAAAGTAATACTATTTACTATCGTCACCAACATGCTTATAAACTCATTTTAGGAAGCCCCGAATATGAACAGCTCTCAAACAATCAATATCATATCTATCTGTGTCAAGAATATATTCATATCATGGACAGTGGAATTACTGTTTTCTGGTTCATAATTGATAGAATGATAGTCCACTGGGCTCGAATACTAAGAGACGATGCCAGACAAGGAGTATTCAACATATAAAGGCGAACCAACAGGATGACAAGATCAAAGCAATATCAACGGTATATTACAAGTGAAGCTGCATCCATTCAATTATTGAGTGTCTGAAAAATGACCAAAGTGTGTATAAACTACGAAAAGTAAGTTGACAATAAAGGTTCTACTAGCCTACTACTACGCGTACAGAGGACGCCTTGCTTCATCAAAGTACTGGTCACGATCCACAAAAACAATGGCATAAAGAGCATAGACTATTCCTGGAATGTACCCAAGCAGAGTCAAGAGCAAGCAGATTATGAATTCAACCTGAAACAGAGTAAACACACTTCACTTTGTCGCAATCAATTTGCAAGAATTTCACATTAAAAAAAAAAACAAGACAATTTTGAGAAACGCATAACTCCCCTGGCTTCAATTTTATAGAGAAACACAGAAGTGATACTGAAGGAGATTTTCCACCTCGTAGTTTTAAGAAGTGATACGGTTCAAGTCAAGCCTATTACTTCTCAAACAAATTCATTTTTTCTCTCCCTAAGCACATATTTTTTATTGAAGACAATCCTGTAGATATTAAATATGAACACCTCTCCTAACAGGAATTCAAATCTGATTCGTCACATTATAAAAGACTAGCCAAATTCTTTTCTTTTTATTTCTTTCTTCTTTGTTTAGGTAGATAGTTCTTGAACAATTTGAATTAACCGAGTCGTCACACTTACTATTCTAAAATGTTTAATCCATCATACACAGCGGAAATGACCATTGCAGGGCTAAAATTTTCCAGGAAGGTATATAGAAAAATGAGTAGATAGATGAGAAAAAGCAGAAATAATGTAGTAGGTTCTCTGCATCTGAAATCAAGGGGCCACGTCCCAGACAGGAACAAGCACATCTATATATACACAAACAGAAAGAGAGAGACGCACACTGCAGCAACCATGCCTGAAACATACTCCGATTGGAGGAAGTAATACTGCTATCAGTATCTCACAGCAGATTTCACAGTTATTCACCATTTTCACTACTCAGATAGCAAGCGGGTGCTTCGTCTTCACTCTTGTATTGATGATGGAAATAGAAATGTTAGATTTTTAGATCTGATTCTTCGGCTCCCCAATCCCCTGTACGCGCGTCTCTCTGCCACTCTTCAACTGAGACGGTCAAAGGATCACAGATTTACAGTTATTAGACCAGACCACGCGATTTCAGCATGCCATGGAAAAGTTGGCAAACAAACCGATTGAACTCCGCCAATTCAGCTCTCCTTACAAGATGCGATTTATTAGCGGTTAATGTCATTCCGGATTCTTGTTTGTTGGTAGTCTTTAGGTAATTAACTACTGTATTATATTTATCATTATGATGATCAAAACTCGTTTTTCTCATTGTTTTCTCGTGTCGTCGGTCGGATGTCCCCGAAGGGATTCCCATTGTTTTTCTCGTACAAATCATTACATGCCTCCGTCCTCAAGCATCATCCAAGTCATTCGTCTTAAATCGTTACTCAAATGGGCAAATTTGCAAAGCTTTTCAGATTCCAATCTACGAATAACCAGAACCATGTGTTGAACCACCAAAGTATGGTCCCATCACTTGATTTCTTAACAGTTTCTACCATTAGCGTTTCAGAGTCTCAATGTACTTGTCTTCGTCTCCAGCACCTAGTTTTAGAAGCATATTTTCGCCAGCTAGCTGATTTTCAAGCCTATTTTCATGCAAATAGATGCGACAAAAACCTTTGAAAGTGTCCTGGAAAAGCTAATTCCCCCGATGTTTCTCTGTTTACGCATCAGTGACAGTAAAATTCAAACTTCTGCAGAATTTCATTTAATTGTCATTTGGTTTTGCTGTGTATTACAGTAAGGAAATATATGCTAGCCAGAATTGCTAATACAACATATAGATCCTGATAAGACAACAAACTGAACACAAACACAGGCCAATCTTCAATTTTGGCCAGAGGACAGAACCTTCATTAGTTCGAAGCCTGAACCAAACGAAACAGCAGATTCTTTCAAGAACCACTAGATCAACACTGGAATAATCAAAATCCCACCTCGGTCTACTTTGGGCATATCATCAATAAAAGACTAAACAAACTGTGAAGAGAGATACTACTGTCCTGAGCAGAATTACACCGTTTAATCTATATGCATATGTATAAAAATACCGTATATTTTACACAAGAAACATAAAGCTATAACAGTTTAGTGAACTTAGAAAATCCACCACGCCTCTGTAAGTCTACAACGTTCCAAAAGAGCAGCTTTTGCCTACTGTACTATGATCAAACCCTTAACGCCACCTGATCTTGCCATGAAATCTTCCTCTTCCGCGTCCTATTTGATCCATTTCCCATGCTTCTACAACCCGATAACTTGATATCACCGTGCTCCTCATTGCATGCACCTTTCCGTGCACTTCTCTTAGGTTCCTCACTTTTCATGTTCTCAATGTCACCCATCAACTCCTCTTCTTCTACCTGGATTGCATCATTACGGAATAAGATATAAGCTAACAACAATTAAAATAAATAAGGACTCGTATATGTAAATAAAGTGTTGTACAATTAATTAGTACCGAAATCTGGTTCAAGTCAAATAGGCTTATACTCTTCTTTGTTAAATCCTTCCCACTGTGAATCCTATCATTTTGATTCAAGTCAAACAGTTGAGCTGAAGAATTGATGAAAAAAGCATCTTTTCCAGTAAGACTCCTAGCATTCTGGTTTAAATCGAACACACGTGCGGGTTTTTGTGATTTACCCTCAACGCCGTCAGAAACCCTTTCTTTTGCATATGAACGAGAAGCAATACGGGATTGCAAACTGGTTTCTTTTCTACTGTACTTTCTGTTCTTAGAGACAATGGAAGCTTGGATTTTAGGATTATGCAGGGGGGAAACATCTTGCCGTGGTTGAAGCTTGGAAGAAGGATTTCTCATAAGGTATCTGCATCGTTGCCTACAAAATCTGCACTGACATAGAAAATAGTCAAGAGGACAAGTCAATAATACGGATGATAGCCCTTTGGCTCAGCACTAGGCTCACTCCTGCACATAAGAGATTGTGGGTTCAATCTTGCTAGCTTTTAAGCTGGTTTCAGTATGCCACTTGTACTTTAAAAAAAAGAAGTATAATTGATATGACAAACTAGTTAATCAGAAGCCAAGACCATACCGAACTTCAGTTGATAGCATCAGCTTTTTCTGCTTCAAAATTTGCAATTTCCTTCTCATGACTTCCGTCTCCTGAACATGTTTAATATCATGAGTAAAATTTTTGAATCTCATAAATAGTGAGCCTGATACAGACAGCGTTTGCCCAACAAACTGTACCCATAAACCAGTAATACAAGTGCAGGAAAACAATCACAGATGATCTTTGGCGTATGGAGTTTAATTATCCCAAAACTAAGTCGTAGCCTATTTATGATATAATTCAGAATTCAAATTTGCGTGTTATAAAGAACACAGCAACACTGAATTTATCTGACATGTTTCATAATCATTTTTTCATAAAGTAGATATATTTCCAGACACTCGAGGAATAGGGTTCACATAAACTCAAGGATATTATATTTACAAAAGACGTTTCTTAGCAAAACTAATCGAAAACAGAAGTTGTCATGGAGACCAGATAAACTACACTAAATTTTAGGATTCAAGAAAAAACCCTAATAAGTAATAAGAAACAGCCAAATAAATCTAATCAGCTTGAAATCCCAAACGAAAAATCGCAACTATGGAATAAACAGTTCTCTTTCATTAAGGAGCTTAAGAGTAAGCAAGATATTCCGAAAACACGAGATCAAACAAAATCATCCCTATGGTAAAAGAAAAAAAGAAACCCAGCAGATCAAATTCTTCTTTTGTAACTTCAACAATTATTCCCTCAGACAAATTGTTTATCAACAAGAAGTAATATAGAGGTAAAATCGACAAAGTCTTGAAGAATAGCAGATCTAATGAAAGCCACAATACGAATCAAAAATCTTCATAAGCTAGATGAAGTAATACCCTCTCCAACTCTTCATAGTCCTGCAACAGACATTGATGCCTATACTTACTCCTCTTATCCTCGCAAACAGCATAAGGAGATTCGAAAGAAACAATCCTTTTCATCTTCTTCATCAGATCAGTGAATATCAGAGCAACCCCCAGGCCCAAAACCTAAACCGAACAACTATGGGGGAAGAGCAGAGAAAGGAATAGGGCAGGATACAAGGCAAGTGTAGAAGAAGGCAGAAGAGAGAAAAGAAAGAGGAGGTTCTGGCTTTCCTGGTTTCTCTGTGAAACTCTGACCGAGACAAAGAGAGACATAAAAGGCCCTCATAACTCTGTAGAAAATTTTGTTCTTTTGGAGGACCGTGATGAAGATGGGATTTTTTGGGCGCTTGCAGAAAGGGCATTTCGGGTAACAACAACATAACACCTATGACAGACAGAGAGAGAAAGAGAGAGGTCGTAATGTAAGGTGGGTATGGTTGGAAGAGATTTGAAGACACGCCCAAACTTCTCTTTCCTTTCCTTTCTTTCCCATTCTTTCTCTTTTTTGTTTTTCTTCCACATAAATTTTGGTCCAGCTGGGCCATTTATGAGAGAAAAGAGAAGGACAGAGAAGGGAGAATTGGATCTTGGGATAGCAGTAGGTCGTAGAAGGATGCGTAAAATTTCCATATTTCTGGACAGAGAGAGAATGGGTCAGAGGAAGTTAGAAACAGGGAAATAAAAAAGCAGAGAGCAAGATAAATGGGATGAACAGTTTTTCTTGCTTTCGGTAACACTTAAGCATGTTATTACTACCATTAGTTGTCGGACTCACCTTATTTTAAGGCTTTGAGTGTGATTTTATGCTGTTGGTGCTTGCCCTCAGTAAAGAAGATTCCTTTTCAATTTTATAGCTTTTCAGATTTCACGCCCATGTTTTGGGTGGAAGTGCAGGAGAAAACCCAATAATCTGCCCCCGTAGCTTTTTCATGATGAAAGGTAAAGAAGAAAGTGAATAAAGGATGCCTATTGGATTTAGCCTACCTCCATTATCTCCATTGGAAATGGTCCAAGAAAACGTAGTGGAGGAATATGAGGAGTGGATCAGAAAAATCAATCTCTCATTTAATATTTGATGTTTGCTGTATCATCTTCTTAAATGGGAATGCGAAAGATCCCACCAAATCAATACCACCACACCTACATTGAGTCTGCATGCTAGCTTACCCATCGGTGTTGATGGAAAGTTTCCATGCTGCTGCTTCTTTTTTTTTTTGGGACATTACCGTACATTTTCGAGATGCTATATGCTATTCGCATGAATTTCATTAAATTTGTGCCGGATTGATTGATTGATGAATTTCATTGAACTCATTACTTGGGGAGCCAAAGAATAGGGGGGCCACTCTCACCTGGGTTAGGTTTCCCACTGGGTGCCATGTGAACCCAACCACCTCTGGGGCAAGAATTCAAAGCAGAGCTCCTGAAATTACAGAGAGGAACGAACAAGGAACAGTTTAATAAACAACAAAAGCAAACAAACAATAAAAAAGATTGCCGACACCTCTTGGGCTTTGGGTCTCGCCGCAGCAAACTCTCGTGTACGTCGGTGAGGGTCGGCATCTTTTCCCTTAAAAAATTACATTTTAAAAAATCAAAATAAATTAATAAATTGACACTGACACCTTAATATTATACTACTACTATCTTTTGTATAAGATTTTGATTATAGTTTATAAATAAAGTACTCCTCCGGTCCTTATTATAAGACCCAATTTGACTTTTTATTTGGTCCTAATTATAAGACCCAATCCATTTTGTCTCTTATATTTATGCATTTTTTTCCAAGATAATCCTTCTAATAATGATAGTTTTAGCCAATATACTTAATTAGCAAGGATATTTTAGGAATAACAACACTTATTTATTATAAATAACTAACTTAACTTACTTCCTTAATCTCCTCAAATAAGTCAATTGGGTCTTATAATTAGGACCGGAGGAGTATTATAATTAAGATTAGAGATAATATTATATGAATTTATTTAAAATGATTAATAAGATGATTCGTTTTAAAATTAGGTAGAGTACGGCTCCACACCCCAGTTATCTTTTAAATTGGAAACATATCTTTATGTCAAAAATTATCTTTCAATTCATTAAAGAGCCTACAAGCATTTTCAGAGGAAACATTTTGATTGGGATTAAGTATCTGGGGAGTCAAATTAAGGGTAGAATCCAAAAAAATACCTTTAAATTATAAATTTTTAAATCAGTCTTATTTACTATATTTTGATAACAATTTACAACACTTGGCAAAAAAATAACAACATATTTTTATAATCATTTCTGATTTGAGATTTTAAAATTTTAGAGGTATTTTTTGGGATTTTTTTTAAATTAAAAGATCATATATTTAAAGGATCTAACTAGGACCAAGGCAATGCTTTAATAATTTAATTAAATTATTTTTTATGATATCAAATAATTTCAAGAAAATGTAAATTTTAAGAACTGGATTGTTAGTTTAATCTCAAAATAATTCTACTTATGTTTTCCTAAAATTTTCTCCCAAACCTTTTTTTGGGGCAATCTTTCTCACAAACATCAACATTAATGAAGCTCTGCCAAAAATTAGTATAAAGTTAGGAAAAGAATTATTGTTGAATTTCAAAATTTCAAATTAAGAATTTTTACAAAAAAATGTTATCATTCAATTTTTAAATATAGTAACCAATACTAATTTAAAATTTCAAAATTCAACAGTTATTTTTTTAGAATTTTCCATAAATTGGTAACCTTTTGTTATTTGGGTAAAAAATGTAAAAGTAAAAAAAGTTATCATTTGGGCCAAATTCTATATTTCATGGGCAATGGGTATATGCAATATATAATATTACGGCCCAACCTCCACCAGTCGGGCCCAGCAAATCCACCCTGGCGGAGAAGGACGACGTGGTCTTCTATAATTGGCCAGTTTACAAAGAAGCCTCAAACCGGAGAGACGATAACCCGGAGTCACCGCCCGCCTCCCAATCCGATTCAATACAATATCAAGTAGATATGAATGGGAAGGAAAAAAAAGATCTTCTTTTATCTGCATTCTTCAAAAACCCCAAGGTGTATCTTCTCTCTTCAAAACCCGTGCTCTTAACAATTTTCCTTTTGCAAGTGGAAACCAATGGCGTCCACGGTTTCTCTAACTGGTCAGCTCTCAAATCCGCATGCCAAAAATGACTGGAAAAGGCTCTGCCCTTTATCTGCTTCTCTCTGTAAGTAATCCTCCTCATATATTCTCAGCTGGTCGTAATTTTGGAAAAAGTTGGAGTCTTTTTTTATTCAAGATGTTGTGCGGGCTCATACTTCTTGATGGGTGAAAACTATTAAATGCAAATTCTTGGATTTTAGGTCTGCGGTGTCGGTCTCCAAAATTAGTGGAGAGGGCGTTTCTTCATTAAAATATCATTTTGACATTTCTGTCGGGATATATAGTGTCTATTATAAACTGCATTCCCTTTAGTCGAGAATATAAGCATGACGAGAAGCTGCCAAGGAATATGTTACGTAAGGCTAAAGCATTTTACATGTATGCTTTTGATTTTTCAATTTTGTATTCTTATAACAGTCCCAAGGTAAACTATCATTTGCTATTGTTCAGGTAACTTGAATTCCAGTGCAAATTTTGTTGATATGAAGATAGTATCTCGGACTGATCTTCGAAAAGTTGGGCCTGAGCAGCATAGATGTGTCCGGGTATACGGACTATTTGGAGGGAAGAAAGACAATAATGGAAAAAGTGATGATGCGCCATCCAAGGTTAGCCAAGTTTGCTTACTCTTGCCATCTGTGATTCTTGTAATCATAGACTTCGGTATACTTTTCACTTATGGTTCCTACTGACTTCGACTTGCATTGTACATAAGTTTCATGCATAATATTAATGAACATAATTATTGATGGTTATTTGATTACAGTATCTTTGGGCTTGTTTTGTTTACCTGTTTAATCTTCTGTTCATTGATTTTAATCAGATGTTTCTTGTTTTCTTATCTGATAGGGAAATGAATAGCCCAGATTGATTAACAGGATTAGCATAACATTCATGCTTTGAGAATACAGCGAGCCTTCTTTTGAAAGAGCATGGAATTCATTGAAAATTATTTCTCATTCTTTGTGACAACTTCTATGATGTTCGGACAAGTTTCTTAGGAAGACAGATGTACAGAACCTACCTAGAAACTGTATTTTGCTTATGATTTCCCTACCGGACATAAACCTTCCTACCCGCCCATGTTATTCACTTTACCTTTTCAGAACTAAATCATGATGGTTAGGTTAGAGTTTGTTAAAATTAAGGTTATGAGTCCCTGTGTTTGTCTTTCTTGTCTTATTTTGGGTGAAATGCATTTCACAGCTAGACTATTCACCACAAATAAAGGCATTTATCGCAATCATTGTGTTCTAATCTTCAGATCTCTAGACGTGATAACTTTATCAAAGTTACCTTTTTTAAGATTATATACATTCTTAGTGCAAAAAAATGTGTTCCAATTCAACACTGTTAAAATTTATTGGATCAGTGCGTTTCAAAATAATTAATAATTTTCTCTCACGTTATAATATCTTCCTTTATTCTAGGCTTAAGATTAATTACTCTGCACTCCCCTTAACCTCTCTTCATGGCTGAGGGGAGCAGTATTTTATTTCTTGGTTGGTTTGTTTCGTATTTTTTCAATCTGATTCTGATTTGATTAAACATATTATCAATAACAGACCAATATGTATTCACATCTGATTAATTTTAGGCTGGCATTCTTGGAAACATGCAAAATCTTTATGAAACTGTGAAGAAGGCGCAAATGGTTGTTCAAGTTGAGGCTGTGCGAGTGCAAAAAGAGCTTGCTGTGTATGGCTTTCCTTTAAAAGCATTGTAGCTTTTCTCTTTTGACTTCAGTGCAGGTTCATTGGCATTAAGGTTATATGCATTTTATTTTGTTATGCAGAGCAGAGTTTGATGGTTATTGTGAGGGTGAGTTAGTAAAGGTATGATTTGTGCTTGCTGGCTTCCTCCTTCTCTTTACCTTTATCTATGTAATGGCAACTTCTGTATGCTTGTTTTTGCTGATTTTTTTATGCCCACCAATATTTGATATTAAACTCGTTAAAAATTAGACATTGGACCAACTGAGAATTATTTGAAATTTATTCAAGTTTATATGGATATATGATATTACCTTGTATATAAACTGTTCTTAAATTATGGCCATTAAAGAGCTGTTCTTAACCTGTTCTTTTAGTGTCCCTCCCATGCTACCATCGTCTCCCCTATTTAACTTAGAAGGGGGAGCCTATATGTATAGTTCTTATGGTTTTTGCCATTTGTCCAAATAAGGATTTAGTTTTTCGGTGAGGGAAAAAAAATTTGTCTGCCTCTTTATTTTTTTTTTAGCTTCATACATCGGCAGTCAAAATAACAACCGACATCATGATGTGCTGGATCACATTATTAATTTCAACATGTAACTTGATACCATTTTTTTAGCTTAACTTTATTGAAGTTTAATTTTTAGGTAACGCTATCTGGGAATCAGCAACCTGTACGAACAGAGATTACTGAAGCTGCCATGGAACTGGGATCAGAAGTGAGTATACGATACAATGCTTGACCTTGTAATCATTTATGTTGTTTCTCTGTTGTGTTATATCTTTCTAGGTTCATGGATTGTTTTGTGCGCTAGCAGTGCAAGAACGTGTGATATAGCAATTTCAAGATCTCCTTTATCTTCTTTGTACCTTTGCGTCTCAAGACTCGAGAATAGAACTCCAAAAGCATCTAGTGGAATCTTATGAAGTTTTGGAAGACATTCTTAGCATGACCCATAAAATTTGAATCTGGAAAGGGAATTGCATATTTAAGATTGCACACTTTTGTCGTCATCTATGATCATTATGGCTTAACATGCCAAAGGTAAACCACTACTAATATCAGCCATCTTCCTGTTGCAGAAACTTTCACTTTTAATCACTGAGGCATACAAGGATGCCCACCAAAAGAGTGTCCAGGTAAGACTATATTAAAAGAGAATGAAAACTTGGTTTCGGCTTTGGCTATTGAACTGAAAAACTCAATCTTGCTTATGTTTCCAGGCCATGAAGGAAAGAATGAACGATCTCGCACAGAGCTTAGGAATGCCACCAGGTCTTGGTGAAGGACTTAAGTGAGATAAATATTCTCATTTTGGAGTATGCGATGAGTTTCAATTTTGCATACGTCCCATGGCAAGAACGCTTGTTTACTATTACCATGGAGTTTAAATTTTGCTTATTCGGTATTTTAGGCTTGAAATCCTTCCAAATTGTGTAAGAAAAGTAAAGCAAACCCTTTGTCCCTGCTCTATTTTTTGTTGAATGGAAATCTTGAGTCCTGTTAATTCCTTGTAGTCTTGGCAAAAACAAAGGAAAACCTCACCAACGTTGTGATTGTCCCTTGTCTAGTTGAAAGTGAAGAAAATGAGGAAGACTCTGGGATTCGAATCCCCTTTGTAAGGGGCAAAAAGAAAAAATTGATGCTGTTTATTTTTTGGGAAATAAGCAACAAAGTCAGTGAGTCTATTGTCTGAAAATGGAGCTTGCCTATTTATTATTGGAGGCAAACAAAATTCAACGTGGTTTTTACAAACCACAAACTACAGTTTGAATATCTGATTGTAATTTCTTATTAAGGCTGCTCAACCCATTAATTGCAGGGGAACAAAATAAATGTAAATGCTTGTACTGCGACTGATGAAATGTTACAATTTTCACTGGTAACGTCTTAGCTTTTAAGACTTTGGTAGCTCCTTCCCTGCTAAGAAAGACTTGAAGAGTGTGAATGCTCGCCTAGGCTGAAATAATGGTACTTCGTGTCCAGCTCCTCTCACAGCGGCAAACGTGAGCCCTTCATACACCTCTGTCCATCCGCCTACCTATAACACCAAAAGGAAAATCGAATAGGAGGAGCTATTAACACAAGGGAAACAAAAGGAATGGAATTTTGAAGACTGATGTTTCCTTGACAAGTATCTAACGTTAGATCGTGGTGTTGTCGGATTCAAACATTATTTTTCTTTAAAGGCCGCATGGCTTGAATTTGGTATTTTGTTTTGGAAGAACTAAAAGTAATTTTTACTTAAACTCAAGGGGTGTCTAGTAATTACAAAAAGTATTTTTAAAAAAGTGTTTTTGTGCAAGTTGATGTAAAACTTCTCATATTTTGTAAAATTGCTTTTCAAATCATGATATGATTTCCTTTTGAATATTCTCCTAACTGCCTTTGATAAAATCGCTGTCTTGATTTATATAAATATTTATCGCTTTGTAACTTATTTTCTGTTCAATGTAGTCATTTAAAAAAAAGTGTTAGGACCTTTCATGATCTTGATTACCATCCACAACATATTTCACCTCCATTATCTAGGCAATCCTCCTCTAGTGGTATGTAAATTCTTTTTCAAAGATTAAATTGATGCAAAAAAATCAAAATAATATTTCATTTCTTAACTAGATTTAGCCGGGCTTAAAGGCTCGGTATATACCTGTCCACCTGAGTACCACGGATACCAACGGGTTTTAATGGTGAGATTGAGATGGTTGAGGGAAAACCTGGTGGCTGTCACTGGAACCACAGAATCTGTGTCCCCGCTGCATTATAACGAAGGCAATGATCACTGATCAGAGACACGTTAGAGTAAACGTTGTTCACTAACCAGAGACAAAAATAATTTTTAATGGATTAGTAACATTTCACATATAATTTCAAACCCGTTCATCTCCCACATGTATGTGTCCGTATACATATATTATTGATTTGATTCACATTTCTTTAGTACACTAAACCTGTTTAAAATTCTCCATATTCGTACCAGTAATGTCATTTATAATAAGCTCACTGCATGTCACCATATGAAAACAAGATCTGGGGACCGATTTGGATCTTAATAAGTGTGCTATTGTCTAATTGAATTCTGTTAATCTCCTAAAGAGAGTTTGTAAAAGTGGAAAACTCTCCAATCCTGAAGGCTTTACTGGGAATTCTACTAGTGGGTCAAATAGCAACGTCATAAATAGGCCACAAATGGTCAAAACTTATGGTCAATTGCCTGATGCTCTTTCATGCAATAATATCAGGGAAAGAAACCCTACCTGAAAACCCATATTCTTAACCCAGCCGCAATCAACTCTTTGTATATAGGCAATACAGAAACTGGAGAATCCTTCCAGTTTCTTGTGAGCACATTACTGTACAACCAACAAAGGTACATGTCAAAATTTTTACTTCAGAAAATTGAGCAGAAAATTTTCATTTTTTGGTCTAGCTAAGTCGGTAAGCAAACCTGCAAGCAGTCCACTTGTAAGGGATGCTTGTAACATTTGCATGCATTGCTTGCTGCACTTCAGGACGGTTATAATATTTTTCTGCACGATCTTCAGTACATGGATCATACCCTGAAACCCTATGTAAGATTGTACTCTTAAACCTTATATATCTTAAGGTATTGTTATGCCGAGTTGGGCATGTTGGGGTATAAATACTGTATGTATCAATTTTTCCAAATTCATGGTTAACTGCATAACTCACTGCATCATCACATTTTTTGGAAGTCTTTTCTGATGTGAAATTGCAGTATTTGAGGATTGAATGGTATGAGAGATCAGATATCAAAGCATGGCTCCACCAATATGTGATAGTTCCGATCCCATCATAATAGTCATCGGTTACAGCATTTCCCACCTGAATTATCAGAGTTGCATGCAGATTATTACTAACTGAAGGTAAAATCTTGATTGGTAGAATGAATGAAGGATTCACGGTACTTCACTTACGATGAACCCTTTTAGATTCATGATATGTGGATGTGCTTTATTATAGTCATAAATTTGCTTAGCCAACTGGGGTATGTAATGCCCTGAACGGAAGATGAATAAAAATATCAGCTTTTAATTGTATGATTTTTCAAAAAACACAGTAAGTTGCCGGCAGTGTTGTTCATCTACCTGCATAGCTCTCTCCAGCGATGTAAAACTCTCTGTCTTTATAGTGTGGAAACCTTGACATCCATCTAATTAAAAAAATCAGTGCATCTTGAGCTGTATTATAAAGTTCAGGCCAAAAAAAAAAACAGAGCTGTATTATAAAGTTGGAATTCTCAAATTAATCATATAAGAGGAAAACAACTCTATAAATTTAATACTATAGGTCCTTCGTATCACTTTAATATTTGAGAGTGTAGTTTTATTTGAATTTCAGATTACTTTTGAATAGGGTTCTTGTCTCCCAAAAGAAAATAATAAAGCAAGGAGCATCAAATCCATACCTGTCCTTTTGTCCCCTGTAGTTTTGAGGTCCGAGCTTGTATTTGTGTAGGAGAAACCAACACCAGCAGGTGATTCAAGAAAAAGGATATTTGCTTCTGAACCAGTGATATTATCTTTGTAGATATTATTATTCTGAAAGATTAAGGTTAAAATAATTTCCTTGTATTATAACCATTACCTCTGTTCCATGCATATTTGTTAAGATATAGGGAAGACCCCCTTTTGTTTATCCGAAAGGGACCAATTTCCTCTGATGCCCCATACGCTACAGATGAGCAACCAGGCCCTGAAACAGAGAAAACATACATGCAAACAAGGTTATGAACATGATTTACTCAACTTTGCACGTAATGTTCTAAATTTTAATCAGGTCGTGTATTATGGATCATGGTACAGATAATACTATGAATTGTGAACCCTGGAAACGCACCCCATGAGTGACGAATATAAAATGCAAAATTTATACCGAAGTTACAAATTCTATCATTCATAAGTTGTTATCAAAAGAACTTATTTCTCAAACTCCGTATGGTACGGTAAAATATGGTAGTGATACGGATGTTGCATTATACTTTGTCAGAAACTGTAAGCCCCAATTATTTTAAGCTACGTATTACCGGGCAGCAAGACATCTAACCGTTCATTTGGCTGCGTCATTTTCAGGAACACGTAGAAGGCATCTCTGTGGATATCAATGAATATGCAATCATCAAACTTTACCATTTCTACAGTAAAATAGGCTTTGTTTAACTCAAATTCCAACCTTCCATTGATAACTTTCATGTCAAAGACAAGGACCAATACAAAATCGCTGGTCCACGAGGCTTCCCAAAGCATCTGATCCAACGAATTTCCGTAGCCCCACAAGGTGGTCGTAATGCAGCATGACCACCACTAGATTCTGAATGCGCGTGCTTTGAAGAGTGAAGTAAAAACAGAGGCAAAGAAAAAAAAAAAGCGGAGCATCTTTTTCGTTATACAGACAAAATGGAAAAGCTAGTTCACTTTGCGTTGTTGATTGTTGTTTCTTTCCCACTCAGATTCGAAAAGCGAAAATAAATAGGAAGTGAAAGGGAAAAAGATACTGAGGAAGCATAACTTTCTGTGTTCACTGTTCGTTTCTTCAGATAATGAATAAATTATGAGCCTCTGTCAAAGAGGGAAGGGGAGGTTTTGAAGAAAATCATTTAGACTACAATTCCATAATAACCAGAATCTCGGGATTTTCAGCCGATTTGAAGTAGTTTATAAGTAATTGTAGTCGCAGGCCAAAACAGCCCGTGACGCAATGATATTTAACGTTGAAAGTTGAAACTTTTACATCGATACATCTTGAAAAAAATTTCTTAAAAAAAACAGTCCAAGAAAAAATAATTAATTACCAATAGATTTTCTGAAATTGAGTTATTATTAATAGGTTTATTAAAAAATTGCAAAAAAAACACAAAATAAAATGCGAATTTCTCAATTTAACTTGTAAGAGTTGAAAAAAATGGTACAAATTTTTTTCATCACAAAACAATAAGATTCTTCTTTAGTAAAATGCGAATTTCTCAATTTAACTTGTAAGAGTTGAAAAAAAATGGTACAAATTTTTTTCATCCTGTAATAATTTACAAATTACAATAAGATTCTTCTTTTAGTAAGATTTTTTTAATGGAAGAAACTCACGTCGTTATCAGAATGAGCCATGTCCTTGTCCTTATCATCTAGAACCAATGATAAAACCAAGTTTTTTTTTTTTTAGTTAGTGGCACCAGAGGAGCGAATGGGGGAGTCCAAGTTTTATTTTGTTAATTAATTTAATTTTTTAATTTAAAAAAAATAATAAAATTTATCCAAATGATTATTGAAAACAATTGTGATACACAAATGGTGGATGGGTTTGTGTTAGGTGAGAGGGCAAGGTAATTAAAAGAGTGGGGTGATGAACATGTGGGAAGAGTGAATGAGGCTACTAATTACTGTGGGCTCCAACGAAATGGGAGAAGCCACTAAACATATTCCATACTAGAACACATTTTAAAAGGACTAAATGCAATTGAGACGCTAATGACGATTGGATCTAGTGAAAAGAGTTAGTCCCTCATAACGTGACAAATCAACATGATTATTTAGTATTTGATAGTGTCTTAAATAAAACTGCTTTCAATAAGAGGATATATGTGCCTAACGAAAAAATTACCGTTGAGACTAAGCTAGAACTTAAGTATATTAAGTTAATTAATGCACCATTGACTCGGAAAGTTTAAAGTGAAATTGTGTAACTTTTATGTATATGTATATGTATATATTTCATTTCGGTTTCAAATATACATACACGCACACTTAAGCAGTCAAGATTAGTAATATATCTCCCCTGGTGCTTATTATAATGACTTCCTGCTTATTTTATACTATAAACATGCTTTATTTGAACTAATTTTTTTCATCTAATATTATTAATTATAAAACTCTAACTAATTAAACAACTCCTTAATTAACTCATAATTTTATTCAGAAAATTTTAATATTTTATAAAAATAACTAATTTTAACTAATTTCTTTGATTAACATAAGGTTATTAATAACTTAATCCAACTACTTATGAAAAAGGACTGCCGGAGGGAGTATATTTTTACTTTATGGCACTGTCTTGTTAGGTCAAGATGAAGGGAAAGATAACCTGTTATTTAGGATCGATATCACAATAATACTCAAATTTGAAATTAGTGAGATACTAACAAATATTACTTCTGTTTTTTAATATAAAAACTAGTTTGAAATTCAATTTGACGTTAAACATATAAAATCTCAATTCACTTTATTTCTAATATTTATTTATTTTGTTTTCAAGTAATTTTTATGGTGAATATACATGTTAAAAAATTTTATAATCCATTTATTATAAATAACTAAGTTACCTAATTTTTTTTACTATTTGTAAATTAGTTATCTGGCAAATGAGAGTGTACGTGTGTGGTTAAGCAATGAGGGCCAGCTAGGTGCATCGATGAACCCAAATAGTAGTAGCTTCTACCCTACTGCAGTTAGTGGAAGAAGAAGCGTAAATAAACCAGAGAAGTTGCAGAAACTGAAACTTGTTTATGACATGCTGCAATATGCTCCCATGTCTTCTGAAAGAAGAAAGGTGAAGCCATATTGAACTCATTAAACTAAATACCTCCATTGAGCCAGAGAACAAGAGGCTTATTGCGCGGGGAATAGGTAGACTCAGTAAGCCAGTAGAACAAAGCTCGCCCATGTCGGCGGTTCACGGTGACGTAGCCGGAGAATTGACTGAACCCCACCGGCGGCTGCCCCGGCAACTCCTTTATTCGATCATCCTCCAGACACCATGAACAAGCCAATAATAACAGTAACCACCACACAAGAAACAAGATCCAGCCTTTGCTTATTTCAAATCCCATTACATATATAACTCTACGCCTTCTAGTAGAGAAATATATGGTATATATGAGAATGTGTGAGTATATATACACATAAGGACAGAGGCTGTAAGAGCAAGTTGTGGGTGTGGACCTGAGAAAGCAACATGATGAATAAATGCAGAGAGGCCAGTGAGCTTTATATTCCTTGGGATGCCACGCAAACAAACACTTACTTTATTAGCTTCTCTCATCTGTTAGTTAGTCGCTGCATCAAAGTTGTGCAACAAATAGTTAACTAGTTGTTCAATATATATATATATATATATATATATATATATATATGTATGTAGTATGTATACAGACACACAACATACTGTGTTTAACTTGTGTGCGTAGGGTCTTCGTTTAGGTACCTGCATTAATTTGGAAGCATTCATTAGCGCAGCTGGCATCCAAGTCCATGGTTTTTTTTTTTTTTTTTCCCTTTCTCTTTTCCTTTTTTTTTGGGCAAAAAAGGTACACTACTAAATGAGAAAATTTCCTAACATAATAGGTGAATCATAATCTTATCTTATATTTCTCCGGGTCTAATTGGAAACTTGATGTTGGTCTTATATATAAAACTTATTTTATTTGTTTATTACTCCCTCCGTTTCTTATTATAAGAGACAAATAATCAAATTACGTTGATAAAAAAAACAGTTAAAATTAGTTGAGGACAATTAATGTGTAAAAAGTATAATGTTTTTTCCAACAATACCCCTATTAATAAGGAGAGAGAGTATGAAAGAGAATAATTAAATTATTAAAAGAAAGAGAAGTGGGAGGGAGAGAGAGTATGAGTTGGAGACAAAATAAATAGGGGTAAAATAGGAAATCAATACAAAAAACTAGAGACAACTTTTAAGTGTCTCTTATATATAGGAACATGCCATAAACATCAAATGTCTCTTATAATAAGGAACGGAGGGAGTAATATTTTTTCAAATTAACCTTATTGATATCCCTCAAGAGTAATCAAATAGGGTAGGGAGGGGGAGAATATAAGAGGATACTTATGATATTTTAAAAGAAACATATCATATTAGCTAATTTAACTAACATTCTTAATCTATTCAAATTAGTTAGTTAGGTCTTACATTAAAAACCGAAGGAATCGTTTGATTAGGCTGCTTGATGCTACCTTAAACCAGGAGTAGTTTGTTTCTACCCACCATGCCCGTAGCAAAATCACTTAAAATATAATTATTTTTAATAAAATTACAATCACATATGATAGTATCTCAAATCTAGATTTAGAGGGTGCATCTGATCGATTATATGCAATTTAGCATTTTTGTTTGGAATTAACAAGCAACAATAGGTTCTTGATGAAGCCCTAGGAGCCGTGTCTTTCATTAAAACCGAATAGGTTGACGAAATATAAATGGTGTAAAGTCAAAGACACTGATTCTTTTCCTTTGAAGCACAAAACCAAAGTTCAATTATTGTTTTCTACTTACCGTATTCAGTTATTGTTTCTTTTTGTGACAATTCAATTACTGTTTTTACATATACAATGTCCGACGTTATACATGCCAACAGGCCCATCCAATTAATGTAACAAATTTTCTCGTGAAATACTCCTAATCCTGTTTAAGAGAGATTTTTAACATCATCACTAGAATTGAAAGAATTAAAATTTATTAACTCTATCGATTCATTGTGTGTTTGTAACCAGTAATGTGCTCCTCTGATCCTATTTATAAAGCACTTCCAGTATATTTCATAGAGATCAAGGAAAATCTTAAAATGCATTAACTCTCTATTAAAATATAACAAGTTTTCAACTTTAGTCATATTTAATATATACACATTTTAAAAGAAATAACTACCTACACTATAATAAATGAAGGACAAAATAATACATTTATGCTGAAAATTTAATGAAGTGACTTATAAATAGGACCAAAAAATCCTTCTCTCTCTACCCTATAAATAAGACCAGAGAAGTATATATTATAATCAATTAATCATCAACAAATACAATGCATGTGAGTTCATTGGAATTAATGTAACACAACATTAATTAATTGCATATAATAGACCACTTGGATTAATGCAAATCGATCACATCTCATTAGATGGCTACAATTGAATACGTTGATTATTGGCAATAAAATCTATATATAAAATGGTGAAATACATTTTTAGCTTCGAGGTCACCAGAGTTAAGATATGCTTAGGACCTAATGAGTTATAAGTTAATTCCTTGCTAACTATACCAACATTTGTTAGTAACTTCTTTCTTATTTTAAAAATATATACTTTAGTCAGATAGATATTAAATTTTTTTTATCATACTATTTTCTTCTAACCTAACTATTTTTTGAGTGATTTTTATACTAATAGGGATGAGAGAGAGAGAGAGAGAGAGAGACTATCAGTTTAGGTCCTTGTACATTGAAAATGAAAGTTTGTGTTTGCGAGTCGGATTTCTGTAGTCTAACGACAATCAAAAACTGTAGGGCAGGTGTTTGCTGCTCGATCTCATGCATGCACACTAATTTCTTAATTAATTCACTTTTGTCTGATTGAAAATTTCTCCTTAGGATCCCTTTTAAGTCTTTGAAACAAAAAATTGCGGGAGACTGAGTCAGTTTCGTCTTTGGTCGATTTTGATCTTGTAAAGTTATTGGTTTGCTAATTAATTTGTATTAATAAGATACTTTTAAGTGCAAAGCGTGTTAAAACTACAGTATCGATCCCTAATTATTGAGCTAATTTTAGTCCTATATATAAGACATATTCATCATATTTATCAATTTTTTCTAAATTATCCCTTGGATATTCCCTCAACCATAATCAAGTAAAAGAAGGAAGAAAGATATTAAGAAAGATGATTATGGTATTTTAGGAAAAACATGTCATATTTCTCATAATTAATTAACTTACCTAATTTTCTTAATCTAGTTAAATATGTCTTATATTAAGGAGATGAGGAGTAAGGTTTGACTGATTATTGCAATGTTAAATCAAATGCAAGAATTAGATGGTATGTAGCACAATTAATTATGGGGGCCTCTTAAGCAGGAAATTTGTGGACAATTTTTGACTTAGATTTTGAATTGGAGCGTAGTAGATACGGTCGATAATAACAAGAAGGGTTAATATCTTTTTTTAAATTACTATCACTAACCTTATATTCTTTTTATAAGAGATAAATAATTAAATCATCATTGTCAACACTAAGAAATATGATTAAAATTAATTGAGCTACTTAAATATGTTACAGATTTAAAATTGTTTCAAAAAATGCCCATATTAGATGTTTTACATAGTAACTTATTAATGACACTAACTTAATTATGTCATAATTAATAAGAGCATAATGGACATAATGCATAATGCACGCAAATAATTCTCGCACGCTACTTAATTCAATATTTTTTATGCTTTGAAAAAAATACTTCCATCCATTTTACCAGACTATCACTTGTTGGTTAATTATCTGTTTGACAGAAGAAATTGCTTCGCAGTTTAGTTGGTGTTCACTTTTCCACCGTATAAAATAAATTACATTTTTTTGAGGGAAAAAGAGCGTATAAATTCAATGATATAGTCCTTCCCCAAAAAAACTGAACTAATAAATATTTTTTTAAAAAAAGTTACATTTCAATTTCAACGTAAAAATTTTCATATTTTTAAGATAATAACATATTTGTGTATTTTTTTCATAACTATTTTTTACCCGCTTCTTTATTTTTGTTTGTATCCGTATTATTTAAACTATTGACTTTGCTTAAAAGATATCCAATTCTTTTAACTCAACTATTTTTTTTTTGGATTATTTTTAACTCAATTATTGATTGTGATTTTGTGTGCGGAGATTCTTAACTTTGTTTTGAAGATTTTTGGTTTTTAATTTTGTGAAAAACGGATAAAGAGTTATCACTTAACCCAAATGGATGTCTATCGGGCCTAAGGCTTTCATTTATTTCGTTTTCAAATAGGCCTGCATTTGGGTCGTTGGCCCAAATGGATGTCTATCGGACCTAAGGCTCTCTTAGGCGAACGGAATTTGGGTGTCGGAGCTCGTATCCAGATCATGGCTCGAGTTTCAGGTTTGGTTTTTTAAGTTTTTTATTTTATTTTTTGTTTTCACTTAGATTTTTTTTCAATACCAATTACTCCTTCTGTTCTTAATTATGACATAATTGTAAATAGTCTTTATCCTAAATGTAAGACTTATTTTTTATTTATTAATTTTTTCAAATCATTCATATTGATATTGATACTATCTCAATCATAATCGAATAGAAGAGAAAAGAGGATATAAAGGAAAATTATTAGAACATTCTAGAAAAACATGTCATATTTATTATATCAAGGGAAGTAGAGGAACCATTGAATTGAATTGCATGTGAAAAGGGCAGGAGAGGAAGAAAAAAGAGTAGATGCTAAGACTGGGTGCAAAAATCGCGTATAAATGTTCAATAAATAGGTGTAATAGGAAGTTCCCATTTCAGGTCATGTATGGCAGGTCACCTAACGGTGTGCTGGATTTGGTGTCTTTACCATTCAAGTCTCACTAATCCTAGTTAGAGATAAGTCCGAACTGAGTGATGTTAGAGAATTAGCGGATGAGTTGGTTAGGGGTAAAATATTACTCAAAACCAGAGCTAGCTGGTTCCCCCCGAAATGTATTGAGGCATAGCAGTTGACTGGACATACTTAACTCTCTTAATCTAATAAATTAGTTAAATAAATATTACATTAAAGATCATAGGAGTAACATTAAATATTAATTTGGTATTTAAAAAAGTACATTGCACCAAATAATACAAGGCAAGGCATATAAAAGCAAGGAAGGTTACCTAAGAAAAAAAGAAAAAAATAACAGAAAAGGCTGGTATAGGTGTTAAGAAAAACACTTTGATGGAGTGCTAATAGAAGAAAACAAAATAAATAAAGATGATATTCTACTCTCTCTTTTTTATATGTATCAAAGTAAGCATAAAAAAACAAGTCATATATTGATCACTTGTTAGTATGATTTATTTGTAGATTT